CTGGTATTGTGGCGAGCAAAGGCATGACAAATGCCTCCAATGTGTTGCAGTTGACCAGCAACAGCGCCATTGACCATGTCATCATTAGCATCCATGCCAACGACCCACTGAGCACCACCCCGAGTAGCCAAAATATGGCAGAGAGTTTGTGGAACATGGAACTGAGCATCACTGTTGTGGCGGTACAGAGAGCCGAGAAGTATAGCTTCTTGAAGGCCATGACACTCCACAAGAAGGAACTGCCCTTGTTCACTTTCAAAGCGCTGCAATTCCACAATTGCCAGGGGAGGTCGGACCAGAACAGCAACTCCTCGAGCTTTGGAAGTGGGAGGCACATGAATAGCTTGCCAACCATATCTGTGAGCTTTAATTCATCATGACCGCAGTAGAAATCGGGTTGATGTTTGTTTCCTGAAGAAGAAGCACATCGATGTGCCCGTCATTGGCATCTGTTAACAAGGCCATACGGTGTTCCAGGATCTCATGTTCTGTGACCAAATTTGTAAATGATCAGGACCAGGATTTTTTTCCTCTCCAACTCTCTGGCCTCTATATCCTCCACACGTGGGTCTGAGGCCAGCAGCCTTTCGGGCATCTTGCAAAGCTTGTTTGCCTTTCTCAGCGCTTTTCTGCCACTTGGCTTTCCTGGTTTCCCTTTTTGGGATAGTTTTCTTTTTTCGCGCTGGGCAAGTAAATTCCCACCAAGCGCTTCTGCTGACTTCGATTCCACATTGTTTGCAAGTATGGAAAAGACTGTAGACAGTTCCGCCAGCCTTTGTTTTATATTGACGCCACGAGGTGGCTTCCATTGGCAGGTCGTGTGATCCAGACCATCGGAGCTTTTGAAATGCCTTCCATTGGGCTTGCCACCGTATGTCGAGAGCCTGTCTGCAAGCAGCAATTCTCTTAGGGGTGTATGCTGCACTGACCTCACGCTGGCCGGCATATCCATTTCTGAGAATGCCATGTTCCTGTCGCAAATGGCGCCATTTGGCGGTAGTTTGAGTTCTTTCATCACTATTCCGAATTTCAAAACCACAATCGCATCTCCACCAAACCCTTGAGCCAGGAGCAGGAGGGACTTCAGAGGCAGGGAAGATAGGAAGTTTGAAAGAGAATTGCAAATTCGGACGAGTCGTGAGGACAGGAGACTGAAGAGATTTTTGCAACTGAAGCCTCCTATCGGCTCTTTCTTTTCTGGTAATGGCCTTGAGCTTGGCCCCGGTGAGGGCATGAGCTCTTGTCAAATGCTTGCATTTTTTCAGCAAGCTGAGTAGTAGTCATCATACCGTTCGTCTGGAACTCACATTTGGGAATGGGACATTTCCCAAACCTTTCTGACTTTTGATGGCATGCTGAGGTCTTCGCCTTCATTGCCTTAGGAGATCCATCACTGGGTTTTTTCTGAGCTATGCCCTTATTCTGTGATGACCTTTGACTACGGCTAGGCCCCACACCACTGCTGCTGGGCGCGATACGACGGTCTAGGGACTGTTCAGACGGCATTCATGCAAAGTTTGCGCCCAAGGATTTTTTGGGTCTTGCCGTAAAGAAGGTCCTGGGCCGCATAGCCGACACCGGTTAAATGGGGGATTTGACAAAAGCTGATGTGGCCGGAAGGCATTTTCTTTTGGATGATGGATCGGGAAGTTTTTGCAGGGCCATGACTGGCTGATTGGAAAATGTGTGATGAAATTTCAAAGAGGCAGAACGTTTTCTCCAAATGGACCATGTGGTGCAGGGCATGAGGCCTAGCACTTGACATCCCCCAAGTTGTGCGAGAAAAACGGTGTGCAGTTCAGCTGCCCTGATTTCACTCAGTTGCCATGTGTGATTTTTCATTTCGATGCGTTTATTTTTTCGAACATGTTTTTGTTTGGCCGGGTTGAATGTTTTACGAATCCCGTGACGATGCGTTGTCTTCGTGGCGTCAGTGAAGCAAAGTTAAGCTAGCGGTCAACGCAGTTGATAACGCTTTAAATTTTCTGAACAGATATTTTTCAAAAAATTAGCCACGTAGACCGCCTTAGTTTTCTCTTGCCTTTGCTCTGCTGAGCATCGTACGCCCGGCTCTTGGTAAAACCAAACTGTGTAATGAAACTGCACAAGCCCAGCTCTGGGAAAATTTCCAAACTGTGTAACTTTGTTGGGTGGGACTACGACAACGCTGAAAATCCATCCTGCCAAACAAGCGAAACAACCGCTTGCATGTATGAATGGAACTTCGAATGTAGAATTGTTTCCAGAGTTTTCTTGGATGCGATCAGCTTGTGCATTTTGTCAAACAGAAACACAAAATTTGTTGCCTTGTTTCTTTGCCAGTGTTTGATTTGCAGGGATGGTCGTTTCTGAATAATGTATGTTTCCTCAAGTTTTGGGTTTTTCAAGCTGGCCTGTCCCTACCCTAATCCCACCCAGGCCAGTGCAAACCCAAATTGACCTGCATGCCCTCTCTGACGCAACTCACCCTTGCACTTTGTTTCTGAGCTTTGATCACCCGATTCCATTGCAGTTTTTGCTTTCAAGGCACTTCGCACTGACAAGTTTTGACAGCTTCGCTTGATATGCAGACGCCAGATAACATCAATCTGACCGTCATGGCCACCATCGGCGTGGCCTACATGCAGCGACATGAAGACCCAGCTTTGAGAATCATGCAATTGGAGACAATAGTGGCGGCCCTTTCAGCGCTCCTTCAGTGCGTAGGCCGCCCACCGTTCATGAACTCCATATTTCATCTCTGGAGTGGGCTTACCCACAGCCTTGTCATATTTGAACATATGCTGTTTCCCGAGCAGGAAATCCAAACCAATACGGCCCGCGCACTGCCGCAAGCCAATTCACCGTTGACAGCTATACAAAAGCTGATGCGGCTGGAAGGCAGTTTCTTTTGGATGATGGATCAGGAAGTTTTTGCAGGGCCATGACTGGCCGATTGGAAAATGTGTGATGAAACTTCAAAGAGATCAGAACGTTTTCTCCAAATGGACCAAAGCTGATGCGGCCGGAAGGCATTTTCTTTTGGATGATGGATCAGGAAGTTTTTGCAGGGCATGACTGGCTGATTGGAAAATGTGTGATGAAACTTCAAAGAGATCAGAATGTTTTCTCCAAATGGACCATGTGGTGCAGGGCATGAGGCCTAGCACTTGACATCCCCCAAGTTGTGCGAGAAAAACGGTGTGCAGTTCAGCTGCCCTGATTTCACTCAGTTGCCATGTGTGATTTTTCATTTCGATGCGTTTATTTTTTCGAACATGTTTTTGTTTGGCCGGGTTGAATGTTTTTTACGAATCCCCTGACTCGGAGGTGTTGTCTTCATGGCGTCAGTGAAGCAAAGTTAAAGGAGGGTGACAGTGGACAAAACCATGCAAGTGGTGGAAGACAAACGTCTTAGTGGAGCAGAACGATCAACTTCAATGGAGTTCGGGATGCTTGGAATCATGACAGTCTGACAGACAGCAACTATTTCCTCAGCAGCGTTCCTATGGCGAATTTGTTCCATATTACGCCAGTACCGAGAGTGCGTGATGCTTTGGATGACTACCACTGGGATTTGCTGATGCAAGGAATTGGGCCAGAAAACCGTGTAGTGTTGAATTGCAACAAATTGGCCAATTTCATTCATTTGGAAACAAATCCAATGGAGCAGCGACGTCTTCAACGTCTGTTGGGGAATTTGCAGAACTTGCTGGTGAAGTTTCAACCTGGGCGTCCAGAATTTTGGATTGAAACAGCTGAACAAACAAGAAACTGGTTGAATGATGATCGAGATGTAGATTTCTGTGAGGAACCCAATACAGAGTTTGGGAGTCCTTGACATGAAGAAGGTGAAGAAGGAAATGTTTATAGAGAAGATCTTGCACAACCAGGAGACCGAGATGACCCAGACCATGATGATGACAGAAAGCGGAGACGAGAGAAGGAACTATGACTATGATGACGACGTTGAACATGGACATCGAGAAGGCGCTGGCGGCTCTGGTGGCTGTGGTGGCTCTGGTGGAAGTGGAGATCACCATAGAGAAGTCGCGGGCAGCAGCGGCGCTGGATGAACCGTAGGTTGTAGCATAGTACCTTGACATAAAACGATGCACCAACAGAAGAGATTGGATGGATCATGAACGATCCTGAGGTGCAAATTTTTAGGAACAAGGAACATGCTGCAATGCAAAGAAAGGCTAAGACCAAACAAGTATTGTTTGACTTCGAGGTGAGGTCCCAAAATATAGCTACAGTTTGAGACCGTCGCATGTATGCAGCATGAGCAGTGATGTAGTATCTGTTCTTATCAGTGTGACTACCGTGGCAGTGGCTCCAACACAGAGCAAAACGCCCGCTCAACATTTTGGCAGTACTCCATGTTCCCGTGTGTATCTCACCTTGTATGGCTAATTCCAAATTCTCCATGCTTGCTTTCTTCGCATCCACAGTTTAGTTTTTGTTCGCCTGTTTTTGATGAACATGTTTGCGGGTCAAAAATTGAATCTGGGAAACGGGGCTGCTCCCCAAATGTTGGTTCGAGGGATTTGGCGTATGCACGCTATGTTCATTCAAAACTCGGAACGGGAAAATTAATGCCACTGCTTGGTTTAGTATCTTAAGACCATGGTGGTACACCAGCAGATTATGGTGCAGCCGTTCTTAGTTGTTGGTTTGGGATTTGACATGTCGTGGCCACAGGTTTGCGTGGGTAGTTTGTGTTGTTGAGTCAGGCATGCATGTGCAATTTTTGAGACCAGCGCCATGTTGAAAACAAAAATGAAACATGGACAAGATATTGACTTGGTGATTTGTTGCTAAGTTTTTGGTTCGAGCCCCCCGGCCGCGGCGAGTGGTTTACAGCCAACACCGACATGGAGACTCGGAATTAATTGTCATGGTAAAACCAAGATTTTGGTTGCTGCTCTGGTTGTTTTGTACATGAACCGTTTGATTTTGTAATTCGTGATTTGAAATGTCAGGACCGTTCCCGCAGTTTTTTTTGCGTGGTTGGGCTGATGGCGCAAAATTCTCAGATATTTTGCAACTTGATGCTGTGACAAAACAATTGCGAAACGTGCTGCAACACTGTGGAACTGGCAGTTTCTGGATTGTTGCATTGTAATGCACCTTGGCCAAGGTTTTGCCTGGCTAGCCATGCTTTTGTTTCCGGTAGGCATGGCACATTGGAATTGCACAAACAACTGTTCAACAATCAGTTTGCTTGAAAACTTCATAGCTTTGCGTGGATCGTTGATTCACATGCCGGGTTTTGCCAAATTGATCCAAATTGTGAATTGTAGGTCTGGTTTGGAAAGGAAACCAACAAAAACTGGATATGAAGTGCAACGTGGAAATGCCGCCAAACTGTTTGATGCCATTTGGATGCAAAAAGTACACGTGTATTTCCAAACAATTCATTGTTTTTTGGCCTCATCGCACATGTTTGAATCATTTCGATTACATCCAAAATGGATTGTTTGAACATGTTTGAACATGTTTGAATACTGAGGATGCATCAGACCTGCTTTGGTCGGCGACTGGACAAGCGTTGAGTGTAGGTGCTACATTGGGAATGGTCTTCGCAGTCACGCAGGTGGCTTGTACCGGCGATTCAAACTGCAACCCAAAATTTTCTCAGCAACTGTTTTGACCGTTTGGTTTTGCCGTATCTCAGTGTCCATAAATCTATGAAATGCGACATCTGGAAAATTGTTCTGTTTTTTTGCAATTTTAGTTCGATTATTTGCTGGAGTTGTCGTTCCATTTGGAATGATGCGTTGTGTCGTTTTCCCCCATGTTTTGTTTTTTTTGCAGATGTTCAATGCTCATCACCACAGTTGTTATTTTCAATCAAAGTCACTATCGTTTTTTTGACCGAATCCTACAAAGTATTATAATGCTAGTTTTTGGCCGGTCTTTAACATTAGTTTGTTCAAGGCCTTCGATTGCTGCATGTGTTGTGATTCTACGTACATTGACTTTGATGGTTGGGCATGGTTGGGCTGGATGCTGGCCTTGTGATTTTGCCAGGCTTCTGTTCGAGCTGAGGAGATGCCCCCGGCTTAGCTTTGGCTCGAGACTGAAACCAAAAAAGAAAAGGAGGTACGCTCCAGGTACACCATGGACTGGCGAAAGTGTGTTGGATGTGTGTAGACCAAAACCATAATCCAACTGGTAAGAACCGCAAGAGAACCGTAAGAGAACCGTAACAGAACCATAACAGCAAAATATTTTGTCCAAACCCACAACAAGTAAACGCTGCACAACAGGAAAGCCTTCGGCGACTTGGAATCGCAGGCCATGCGATTCGCATTCGACAAACTTTGTGCAGACAAATGCCAACATTTGACAAAACATTTGACAAAACATTTGACAAAAACTTGACATTAATTTGGCACAACGTGACAATATGTGTCAATTGCTTCAGTGTTTGCTTGCTGCACTTGCCATTTTTATTCGTTCTGAAAGGTAACTGTGGCCAAGATTGACAGAGATATAAAGGTAAAGGAACTCAAGGCACCGGCAAGACGGACAACTTTGGCATTTGGGCAATTTACATGGCTGTTCTCTTTTCGATCAATTTTTGCATTTGCTTGGGCTACAGTACTCACTTGCTACTTGCTTCCAAGGTCAACAGATTACAGAGGATGACAGAGTTTGCGTAGTTCCAACCGCTGAAACCGCTCAGCTCTTTGGAACACTTTCAAGATTTGCTTGCTAGGCCGACGCGCAGAAGGTCGATGAGTTCACAAAAAGCAAGGCCTGAACATTATCAATGTAGAAATTGCTTCGCAAGCCTTGTTGATTCTTGCTGGCCTTGTTGCAGCATATTGACCTGATGAAACTCGTTGTTCGAACGATTGAAAGCGTCAACGCAATTATACACAAATACATAACAATGACATAACCATTACATAATAATTACATAATAATTACAATATATTGAGTACACTTATTCCATGCTATTCCATGCTATGCCGTGCTGTGCCTGTGCCTTGCCAGGTGCGAACCTCTGAGGACTGGGAACAGAAGAACGGAACTGAACGGAACTTGAACAACCTCTTCAATTATGTCAAAATATTTCAATCTATCCCAAAAACATGAAAAGAATTGAAAAGAAATTCAGACCATGAAAGACTTTGGCCCAGAGTTGTACTGATTTTTGACATACCAAAGGCAACAGAATTCGGTTTTCAGAGGAGAAGTTTCGAGAGTTTACAAAGGATTTCGACACGAAAGCTGCTTTGTCTGCACATTTCCTGGGGAACCAGTTGGAAGATGCAAAAGACACTGCCGCAAACAGTATCATAAACATTCATAAACAACAAAAACACCATTCATGTCCGTTCTGTTCTTCGAGTCTTTATCTAAGTTTGCATCCACGGAGCGCTCCATTCGAGCTGGACCAGGGTCACTCAGATGCAGCATTTTGTTGGAAGACGCCCTGATTTGGAGAGATGATTCATGGAAGTTACTTTCTGGAGAGATTTGTGGTCCGCCATTGCATATGGACTTACAAACTCAGGGTGAGATCTGTGGTCCGCAAAAGTTTGCAGAAGGCGTGCTTCTTTTGAGAATTGAGAATCAAGGGTTCGAATAAGTCAAGATGTTGGCAGTATTAGCCTTTTTCACGACGATGTTGGTGGGTTGCGTCAAGAACAAATGAGTGCCTGGGAGTATCTTGTCATTGCAGATTCCTCTTTGTAGATTTCTGTTCTTCAAGTGGCACAGTTGGGTGATGGGTGTCAATTTCAGAAATGTTATGGATTTAATGCCTTCACTGTTTTTGTGGTCTCTTGGCATCTCTGATTCTCTGCGTATAATACATCCTATGTGCACCTTTGTACAAATAAATCTCTACATGTGTATATATATATTATATTATATAAATATATAATATATTATACACATGTATACATACACGTACTGTTTACATATAGAACAATAATATATATATACACACATATATTTGCTTTCTGCATCCCGTCGCGGAAGCTGGCATTTGAATTCGGCTGTGTTGTACGTATACACAAATGAATCACTGTATATATTGATATATACATATACATACAATCCATACAGATGAAAAAATATATGATGATGTATTTACATCAGAGTACATGGAGGCTTTCTCCTACCTACTCTTTGGGACCTCGAACAGGGTTTGGATTGTGGGGTTGGGCATGGGTGGGGTTTCAAAGCAGTACAGTCAGGGACTTGCAGCTGATTTGAACAATGACGATGAGAGTACCTAGGTGGTGGCCATGACATATGCACTCCGTGCTTGTAAAAGTACGACTGCCATGCCAGATCAATTTTGTCGCAAAACTGTAGCTGCTGCATGGCTGCCCAAGACATTCTTTATAGCGGGGCAAAACGGCTTGTGCATTTATATAATATTAGCAAACAGGACCACCCTGAAAGTCAAGCAGAAAAGCGTGTGAGGAAAAGCTGGGTGGATGCACAAGTGGGCAAAACATGGCACAGCACAACAGTCTTCAGTAAAATGTTATGGCAAAAGGATGTAAAAGGTACAAGTGAAAGGCTCTGGGATTGCCTCCCAGACTCCACGAGACAATGTCCCAACAAGAATGTGCCATGCAGCCATGCATGATTAGAAATCACATCTGGTCTTGTTGGAGGCATGCATTCCCTGCTGCGAATGCATAGCCCCAACAAGACCAGACTCAACGGACCAACCATGACAACCATGACAAAGTCTTAGTTTTTGTAAAGACAGTTCAACAGCTCAACGCCTCTAAACGAACATTCCAAGAAGTCACACCAGGCCATCCAGGAATAACCAGGCTGCACATCCTTTTAGAAAGTGTGGTTTTCCTCTTGGTTCCTGGTCTTGTGATCTTGCGGTGATTTTGGTGCCAGGAAAAACCCTCTGGTATTACCTTCACCGGCTTTGAGGGTCTGCCATCTTTGCCGGCGCTGCCAGCTTTGCCAAGCCTCAGCCTTCCTGGCTTGGCTGGGTGCCTTAAATGTGCAGAACACTTCGGAACAGACGGAGACAGCATCAAAGGCATCAAAGGCATCAAAGGCATCAAAGGCATCAAAGGCATCAAAGTTGATTCAAGTTCCAAAGTCAAAGTTTCAGAGTGATAGTGTCAACCCCAGATTAAAGACCCCGTGGATAGTTCAATTCAAAGGGCACCCTTTTTCGTAGCAGATTGTCTTTACCTGGGGGGTATGGCCTGAATCATTACTCAGGGTTCGTTAATGCAATGAACACACTTAGGGCGGTGGTTCTGGTGGAGCTCCTCCCACTGAAGATGCTGCTTTGGGTGTCCTCTCAGGAGGGTACCAGCTACAGCACAAGAGATCATGATATCAATATCAATATACAATGTGAATATATATATATTATACATAATATTATATCTGGAAGATCATTTCTCAATGCTTCATGTGAACATTGCAAGAACTTTATGGGAACCAACAAAAAATATGTCTTTGAAGTTTTGAAGTGTATTGTCCAAGCAGGAGCTGCAATCTCCTTGGGCGTGCCTGCAGTGCTGGCTGCTGGCGTTGCTTGGCCCAGTTTCGTCATGTTTCGTCCCAGTTCGTGTAAGATATCTCGCAGCCGTTCTCACAGCTGTTTTCATATTCCTCACTCCGCCATAGTCTACCATGGTTCTATGTGCCTTGACTGACTTGACCGCCTTGACACCACCTTGACACCGCCTTGTTGACCGCCTTGACACCGCCTTGACACCGCCTTGTTGACCGCCTTGACACCGCCTTGTTGACCGCCTTGACACCGCCTTGACACCGCCTTGACACCGCCTTGACACCGCCTTGACCCCGCCTTGACCCCGCCTTGACACCGCCTTGACACCGCCTTGACCCCGCCTTGACCCCGCCTTGACACCGCCTTGACACCGCCTTGACACCGCCTTGATACCGCCTTGACACCGCCTTGACACCGCCTTGACACCGCCTTGACACCGCCTTGACACCGCCTTGACACCGCCTTGACACCGCCTTGACACCGCCTTGAGACCGCCTTGAGACCGCCTTGACACCTCCTTGACACCGCCTTGACACCGCCTTGACACCGCCTTGACACCGCCTTGACACCGCCTTGACACCGCCTTGACACCGCCTTGACACCGCCTTGACACCGCCTTGACACCGCCTTGACACACCGCCTTGACACCGCCTTGACACCGCCTTGACACCGCCTTGACACCGCCTTGACACCGCCTTGACACCGCCTTGACACCGCCTTGACCGCCTTGACCGCCTTGACACCTCCTTGACACCGCCTTGACACCGCCTTGACACCGCCTTGACACCGCCTTGACACCGCCTTGACACCGCCTTGACACCGCCTTGACACCGCCTTGACACCGCCTTGACACCGCCTTGACACCGCCTTGACTAGATCAAATTCCATCCAATTCCAGGTCCATCCAGGTCACGTATACACGAGGCTGTCAACAACCGCATCCAAGAGAAGAAGCGAGAAGATGCTGAGAGGTCGCAGTTGTCCCAGTCGTCCTAGTCGTCCAAGTCGGCAATCGAAGTTGTCATCGCTTCAGCTTGATGCCATTGATGCCTTCATGGGTTGAAAAGTCAAATGACGTGAAGGGAGAGAAACATAGGGATCAATCAACATAGGACCCAATGGAATGAAGTGGAACGAAGTGGAACGGACGTGGGATTGCAGGAAGGCGAGGGAAAAAGTGGATTCTGCGGCTACGGGCTCGATCCTGTATCTTGGCGCAGAATTCGACATGTGGAAATACTCCAGCCCAACTCTATATCTGTAAAGCTGTGACAGAAAGTGTGTACAGTTTTCAAAGAATTTCTTTGTCAGTTGCGGCACATTCCGTTCAACCCGGCTGTTGGCTCCTGGCAGGACTGCTGTTGCGGGTATTGGAGCTGCTGTAGTTGTTGGGAACTTCATTCTCGTGCAGACCTCGTTGCAGAAATTTCCTGGCATGCAGATGTTGAAATGTGCTGAATGCATTCAGTCGATTCAAGTTGAGTCAAGTCGACTGTTATCTTGGCATATCTTGGAACATCTTGGGACATCTTGGCACAACTTTTGCACGGGAATCTGCACTGAGACCAACCTGCCGGCAGAGGCTGGGATCCTGAGCAAAAGAGTTGCAAAAAGTGTTGCTACGCGAGAAAAAACTTTATGAAGTTAATGAGTTGTTTGGCTATCTGACGTTCTCATTTGTGCAGGAGTATGAGATTCATGTTGACGATGTTCAGGAAAGCATGACATCTATAAAAAGCTGTTGGAAAAGTCATGGTCACCACACCATTTGGATCGTGATACAACGCAGCTGCTAACTCATGGAAGTAAAGCGCGTGGCCAGGCCCCTCCAAAGCAGGCACCTTCAGTTCAGACGACAACAACGCAGAGTGCAGATACTGCCGCAGCCGAGAAAGCAGCAGCAGCAAAGGCAGCCGCTGACAAGGCCGCTGCTGAAAAGGCAGCCGCTGACAAGGCAGCTGCAGACAAGGCAGCCGCTGACAAGGCAGCTGCAGACAAGGCAGCCGCAGACCAGGCAGCCGCTGACAAGGCAGCTGCAGACAAGGCAGCCGCAGACAAGGCTGCCGCAGACCAGGCAGCAGCGGACAAGGCTGCCGCAGACCAGGCAGCTGCGGACAAGGCAGCTGCGGACAAGGCAGCCGCAGACAAGGCAGCTGCGGACAAGGCAGCTGCAGACAAGGCAGCTGCAGACAAGGCAGCTGCGGACAAGGCAGCGGCTGACAAGGCAGCGGCTGACAAGGCAGCTGCTGCAAAGGCCGCAGCAAGCAACAAAGGGGGACAGGTGAGCCGTGTTCAAAACCCATAGGGAATTATACCAACCAAAATATTGGGGATTATCAATCCATTGGGGGTATAATTTAACGACGAAGGGTTTTGAACACTGCTCAGGTGTGTTCAACATTGAGCAGCTGAATTTGCTTGGTTCAAACAGTTTCCTTGTGCAATGATCACAGGTTTTCCAACGAGTTTATGGACAATCCCCAGCAATTGTTGTGTATTGAAGTGTATTGTTGTCATTGTTATGGACAGGTCGAAACTCCCGCAGCACCGGAGTCTACCACGGCGAAGATTGCCAAGAAGGGCGGCTATTTTGCCTACATGAAAGAGAAGCGACAGCAGTAGGGCGAATCAGCAGCGATATTGTTTTCATACGGATGGTTCACTAATGGTTTGCTGATGGCGGACAATTTTTAAAGTGTGCCAAGACCTCATGCGTTCCTGTGCAAGAGCTCAGTCTACATCTCCGCCGGTTGAAAACATGCGTTTCTTTTCGGATGCAAGCTCACGCGCTTTCTAGTTGCATTGAGATTTTTCTACGGTTCTCTCATTTTGAATTGGATCAACTGCCTCCAGACTATTTACAAGTTACAGAACAGAATGTGCAATCAGAATGCCTTGCTTCGCGTATTCTTTGAATCGCAGCTTGTGGCTGTAGGTCCTTTAGCCACTTTAGTCCCTTCGGGCGTTTTGAGGACCCTTTTTAAGCTATGACCCGCCGCCCAGTGGCTTGGAGAAGCCGATTTCCATCGATTTCCTGTTGTCTTTTGGAACTTCTACCAATTCTTTACAAATCGCATGCCGAAACGAAATCAACCGACCTTTTAGCATCCTTTAGCCAAACTGTTCTTGTATCTTGGCATATCTTGGCGTTTTGCTGCTTACTTTTGAATTCGTGTTCTCGCTTCTTTCTCTCTTCTGACTCAGCAAAATTGTGTCTTCCAATATGCTCGTGTTAAACTCGTGTTACCATTTTTGGCCATTGGTGTTACCTGGTGTTGAGGTTCTTCCTGCATGTTTGGCCATTGCCGCTGGATTGGCTTGCATCAATGGGCTTTGCCAAGCCTTTGTAGCAACACCAGGTGAGATGACAACTTTGCGACGGTGACATAGTGTGACAAGCTGTCTCATTAAGAAATTCAAGATATGAAACTTGTCTAATGTCACGTGTCATGTAAAGTGACTCACGTAAAGTATGGCCTCATGTCTCACAACTTTCTCGACTCATGACATGAAACCAGAGGACAGCGTATTTTGGAGGACAGCCTGAGGACAGCGTAACCACAAGACGAAAAAAGTTGGCGTTCCAGACTTTGGCGGGACATGACCGTGGCAGGCCCTTCTGGCGCTGCCATGAGTGCCAATGCCTCAGCTGCCTCAACTCCTCAGCTTCTTTGTCTCATTTTTCTCTCTGTTCCTGGTCCTCTTACAGCCTGCCTAGGCCGCCCAGGCCTATGTTGCCAGTTTTTCGCTTTTCATCTCTTTGCCCATCTTTGCCCTGAGATCCCTTGCATCGGTAGGTTGATGTAGCTTGTTGTGCCAAGGTCAGACCAGCAAGCAGCTCAAAGTCAACGAAGCAAAGTGATTTTGCTGGCATCACTTGTGGTATGGTGAGAACGCTCAGTTTTATTGCAGATGCATTTGTAGACACATTGGTTTGAATCGCTTAGTGCTTTTGCACTGGTATCATTTTACATCATTTCGTATTTCTTATCGGCCTTGCTTCTTGGTGTTAAAGGGGGCTAGTGCCTTCAAGAAGTTTCAAGTGATTTCACACGTCATTTCACACCTGATTTTACACGTGATTTTACGTGTGATTTCATGGTTTACACGTTTTGAGCTTTCCAAGGCCACAAGCGTGGCTGTGGCAGCCATTGCATCGCGGGCTTCTCGTGTCTCCTGGCAAAAAGGATCGTTCTTTTGTTCAATTTTTGGTTGCACATGTTACAGCCTTACAGGCCTTACCCTATTTTTCATGCTGGGTTATGTTTGGGTGGATAAGGTGGTGAACCTAGAATTTCCATGAATTTCCATGAATTTTCCTCTGTTTTTCGATGTTTCTTCCGTCAGCTGAGGTCATGGTGAGGGCAAATCAGGGGTCTCCCAGCTTGATCCAGGCACTGCTCCCTGAACGGTCAGACCTAGACCAACCCATCCGGAACGATTGCAGAATACTGGAGATTTTATTCCTATTTTGACACTTTTTGATATACCTTTTGATATACTTTTTGTTCCTATAGTCATCCTAGTTATTCCAAATCTTTGTCTTCGTATTTCCTTTGTCTTGACCTTCGGTGTCATTTGTGACTCTGCAGACTCCACAGGGTCTGCAGACTTCTGCAGACTATGTAAACTGTTAAGATCTGTTAAGGTGTTGGAGCAGAAGAAGCTTCTTTCCACCTTGGAGAGCAGCTCGGATGGTCAACTCTGGTCCCCTCACGATGTCTACAGCCTGACAGCCTGACAGCCTGATAGCCTGACAGCCTGACTGTACTTGGTTCTTAGTGGCTGTCCCATTGAAAGTCTGTGTGACAGGGGAGAAAGGAATTGATTTCCCGGGTGCAGGGCCTTCAACAAGCTTCAAGCATCAAGACAGATTCTGTCACGAAACCTCAAAGCCTCAAACAAAACTTCCAAGATCTTCAAACCTATGCAGGAGTCATGTACGGCTGTGTTAATTCTGATGGCTACTGAGACCTTCGCCTGCTTTCGGCGGCGGAAAATGCCGGAGTCAAAGTCGACACTGTGGAGGACGATGCGACTTGATATTTTCATTCTAAAAGTTTCGCTGTTGAAAGCAATCATAAAGCGAATCTTGTAAGACTCTTGTAAGACTCTAACAATGGAAGACAATGGACCCTCAAAACGGCCACGCAGAGTCAAACTTGGGCTGCGCGTGGCGTGGAGCATCGAGTGCCAGGAGCTCGGCCTGCTGACATTTGCTGAAAGGCTGGGTCTTTTGAGCTTGGCAGAAAACGTCGAGAGCTTAGACGAGTGGAGACCGATAGAGACCGGCACCACCGACGGCCGACATGGGCCGACGGCCGACATGGGCCGACGGCCGACATGGGCCGACAGTGATGGTGACTTGCTGTGGCAGCATCTTGATCGCCTGATGACGAGGTCTTGACCAATGGCACCACACCCTTCCTGATGCTCGCAGGCAGAATATGGCAGAATGTTTGCAATTTGCAACTGTTTATCTTGGAAATAGTCAAGTTTCAAATAGGCCAAATAGCTGTCTCACATTTCCAAGTTGAAAGTGGGCTAAGTGAAGAACTTGATGAACTTGATTTGTTGGCAGGATCAGGTGTCTTGGGATTGCTTTCCCTTACTGCCGCCAGCCTTTCAGAAGGAAGCTTCTTGCAGTATTTCATTGCAGGCCAGTTCTGAAGTCTTTCTGCGTAAAGATCGGTTCAATTTTAGCAAGAAATTGTTCGCCGATGTGTTCGCAATGTGTTCGCAATGTGTCGTTTTCTCATGTTTTCTCTTCCGTTTTCTGAATTCCTTGGGGGTTGAACTTTGTTTTGTATCGCTTTGTCCCGAGCTTTCTCTATCTTTGGGTGCCTTTGGTGCTTTGGTGCTGCGGGTGCAGGCGCTTTGGGCGCTCCTGCTTTGGTGCTGGCGGTGGCCGCACTGGTGATCCTTGTGGTCTTCGGCGGTGCTCGAAGGACATGCCTAGCTACCCTGCTGCCCTGGCTGCCCACCCGATCGGCAAAACAGTGGAGACGAACGATGGAATACGATTCATACGATGGATGATAGCAAACGTAGCAAACGATAGGCAGAGGATAGGCAGAGGAAAAGATGATAGAATCATCAAGAATGTTTTGCGAGAATTGCAAGTGGCCTTTGCTGGTGCTGTCTTGCGGGTCTTGTGTGATTCTTTCTCACGGTTCACCAAACAGAACTTTCCTACTTTCCTTTGTGTGTATGGTGGGATGGTGGGTGAAACTCAGCGGTTCGACTCTGCTCAGACACACTCAAGGGCAGTGGACGGTTTTGAGATCCAGACCTTTAAGATTTAGAACATTTTGAACCACTTTGAAACTAGAAGAATCAGCCGAGTAAAAGCATTTGGTGGAAACAGTTGAAGCACAGCTGGAAGGACTCGCAACATCGATGTTGATGAGAAGGCAAGAGATTTGAAGAGATGCGATATTTTGTCAAATTGGCGACTACGACTTCTCGACCATTCATTGCGGCTTTGGACTTCTGAGGTTGTTGAATATGGGCCGAAAGGCTTCAACTACAGCTCCGGAACGCGATCACGATCTTTGCTGGAGGATTCCACAGCCCGCGTTTGTTGAGAGCGTTGTGAACAACAACATACAACAACGATAACAATGTTCAAAATACATCAAAACACGTTCAATACATTTCAAGTCATTTCAATACCAGTTCGCACAGATTTCGGCGATCCATTTTGCACAGCCATCCGATGGCCATCCCCGTACTCTGTCAGACCGTGGAGCAGAAGCGACTGCTTTCTTTCTTGGAAGAAAATCGCCTTCTCAGTCTGTGGCCCAAGACATGGCTGTCAACATGTCAGCGGCAAGCAGCCTTGTGTGCTGAGTTCAGACATGGTTGTTGACTCTTATACTCTTATATAACAATATGTAACAAATTTGGTAACAGATGTATTTAATGTATTTAATGTATTTAATGTATTTAATGTATTTAATGTATTTAATGTATTTTGTTGGGAAGTTGGATTCTTTTCTGCTTGGGCAGCTTCCCTCCATGTTTCAGACTTCCGCCATGCCGTGCCCGTGACACCGTGAGGCTTGGCTGGGTCCCTGGTGAATCGACCTTTGACACTGACAGAGAATCTCCGAGTGCCAGAACCTGAGAACCTGAGAATGCCTGAGAATGCCTGAGACGTGAAAAAAAAAACATTTTGAAAATTTTGCGGCCAGGAAGACTGTAGATGGTACATGATTCCATGATGATACTGATATGTACTCATTCACAAGTTACTTCAGGTTTCGCAACATGAGGAGAGCCGAAACCAAGAAAAATTGGGAAAAGATTTACTGGTATGAGTTCACCACGTTGCACTTGAAGTTCTTTATTCGCAGCCTGATGCTCTTTGGCTTGTTTTTGCTGTCTCGCTTTCCAAGGTCCTGCATTTGTATCACTTTGCACCACAAAAATGAATAAACAGTAATAAACATGACAAAACACTATTAGTAATACATATATATATATATAATATTAGATATTATGTTTGTTTCGTTTGGCGACACTTTTTCCAGGTTGAGCACCCTGGAGAAAGCTGGGATCCTTTCCCAGGTGGAGAGCTGCTTGGCAGAAATGATAGAAACCCATGGCAGCACTTTTGGATATTCACGTCGCTTCGCGACGGCAACCGCCCGCACCGCATCGTTGGGCACAAACCTGATTTCATAGAAACCCAAACAACAAAACGGGCATAGAGTATAGAGGCGATACTGTTCTTTTTTTTGCCTGGTGTGGATCCTGGGACGGCAGGTTTGCGAACTTTCCGTCCGTGAGCGGCCAGGGCAAAAAAAAGAACTGAACCTGAGGTTGTGTGGTGCTGCCTTGCACCAAGCAATAAATTTGAAAGCTTTATAAGTATCATATCTGCAAGATGTAGGCTTTTGTTGTCTGGACGCTCCACACTGGCAAAGATGTCGGCCAACCAAAATAGATAGAGAAAGATAGACCGATAGATAGATAGAGAGATATATCTATATATATAAAGATCATATATGTACATATCGAGTGAACGGTCCACACTGTTAATGATGTCAGCCATTGTTCTCTTCTACTGCCATTGTTCTCTTCTATTGCCGTCGCTCCGCGACAAGAACCCCTGTGCGGCCGCCACGGTTTGAACGATGTTGTTCTCACACCTTCGCGACCGCTCGTAACTGCCAATGATGTCGGCCATTGAGACCAAAAACACCCGAAAGTACTGATTGTCGGAAAAAAAAACCGCGAAGAATTTGATAGCCATGTATTGCGGACCAGCGCAGGTCAAAAAATAACGAAAAACATGAAAAAACGGCGAAATTGCTGTTATTTACAATGTTTTTGCGCGGTGAGAAGCAGAAACCACTGCAAATACCATGGTTTTTGAGGGTCAGGTGGCCAAAAACACTGTAATTTACAGCGTTTTTTTTAACCAACGTCAAAAAACACTGGTATTTACGATGTTTTCATTCACACCGTAACATAAAACAGCGTAATGTACGAGGTTTTTGGAAGTTTTGAAGCTAGCCGTCAAGCATGCAGAAAACAGAAAAACACTGTAAAAACCAGTGTTTCTGCTATCACAAAACGACGAAAATCAGTCCGAAAACAGGTCCAAAAACTCAAAAATCCGCCTCCGGGCCAGGCCACCTGCGGAACCGCAAAAAAAGATGTTGCAAACCAAAAAAATGAGGTCAAAAAATTGAAAAACACGGGTTTTTTTCACTTTTCGCTTGCCGATTTTGGACGGGCGCGTTCACGAACAGATGTCTTCCGTACTGTTTTTTTACAGTGTTTTTTGAAGGCGAGCGTCACGACCTATCAAAAACAGGAGGTTTTGGCCGAAAAATGCCCCCCCCCCCAGGTAAACCTGTAACCTTTTACGAGTGCCATCCGGACGATCACGCCCCAGCACCTTCGGTGCGGGCGGATTTTTGGATTTCCGCTGACAGCGAAGAGTTTTTCAAGTCTTTGCAAGTCTTTCAAAGTGTCTTGTTGAATTTTGGTTAATATGAGCCATGAGGAGCCTCTAATGCACATCTCATTGATTCTCCACAGGCTCCTTTAAGTGTTCCTGTTGAGCCACAGACTTCGGAGCGATGTTCTCCTCAACCAGAATCGATGACAATTTTCCTGCTCTTGTATTGATAGTCAAGTCACACCGTTTGCAAACCTTCCATAACTTTCCTTCATTTGAACCAGACTATTTCTTCAGATATTTTTGATTGTGCTTGAAGGATATGCGAGACTTTTGTGAGACGTAGAGAGTATGATTAGAATCTAGCGGTGACTTCAAGTGACTTCAAGTGACTTCTGGATGTGTTTGCCTTGTACTTTATCCATCGCTAAGGCCTCGCAGCGCAACGCTATGGAGGTGTTCCCTTCGGCCTAGGAGGCTGATGTTTATTGCCGTCAGAAGCAGCTTTGACGCATGTTTGATCAATGAACTCAGCGGGTTGCGCTGATCCTTTTTCCCCTATAAATTTACAGAAATGCTATGAAATGTGTACAAAATGCTATACTTTTCAGGCAGGCCACGTGAAAGGAATTTGGGAGATCCTGTAGACATGAGAAACACCTAGAAACACACACGCTTTTGGAGCCATGTTTGGAAGTTTCGATCATTGTGGATGGAAAACTGCACATAAAAAACAGATCCACAGGCAGAACCCAAAGTTTGGAAGTGAATTTTCACAAGCACTGGGACACGTTGCAAAAAACCACAAGAGACAAAGGTCACAAATGGGAAAAACTTTGGAATATTCCAGGAACGAAATGGGAAACCCTGAGACACTTGGGCCATTGGGACACCCCAAAGGGGGGAGCGAGAAAGATCGAAAAGTCTGGGAAAGTCGAGAGCCCTGGGTGGTCAGAATGTACCTGTGATACCGCAGTGATACCTGTGGGTTACCTGTGTACACACTGTGTACCTTTGAAGTTGGAATCGGAATCGACATCGGGTGCAGTGCAGGCTTCGCAATCTTGGCCGCGGCGGTGTTTGCAGCGTTCACACTGCCCAACGGACTGGTGCCGGCTCTGCTGCTGGCACTGCCTGGGCTCCTTGGCGCCACTTAAGCCATCTTAAGCCGCTTAAGCCATGCTTGAGCCTAATAGGATCCAATAGATATAGCATGGTATAACGGTATAACATCGATATCATTGACGTAGAATTGCAGAGGAGTCTTCCCTCCTTTGACAATTTTCCGGTGCTTTGCATTCGATTGTTTTCTTTCTTGCTGCTTCGGAATGTTCAGCTGCAGCTCTTACAGGTTGGTTCTGGTCATCATTGGCGTAGCAATTGGACTGGTGAAGCCTCCCTTGTTGGGCAGCTCAGGGTGGAGATTTGGATGGAACGAACAGTCAGCGGAGTCTTCTTTCATGTTCTTTCATTTTCTTGAGTTGCCACTGTGTGGAAAGTGCTAAACAGGCTAAACATGTTATATGAATTGATGTGCTCTGAGGAAGAGTGAGAGCTTCTCAAATGCGTAGTTGCCTAGCCCTTAGACATCTATTGCACTTCTTTGTGCCGTTGAAGCAATTGCACAACACTTTCTGAAAGTCTGAAAGTCAGCTGTGCCAAGGAACATGAAGAGCGTAAGCTCTCGCATATTTTCCGTGCTGTGAGACTTGCCACTTCGAGACTTTGAAACCGCTCTGGTCTCTATGGTCTCGATCGTCTTAACTTTTTGTCAGTTTTCAGTGAGCGACGACAGACGTGCAAAGACCAAAAAAGGTTGTGCCCGTTTTTTGTTGCATAGTATTTATTACACAGATGCCAACAATGGATAACAATGGTGAATTGATTTCATACTTGGATGTTGATTGAGGGCGGATCCACTAGATGTCAGCGCATGTCAGTGCTCCGATTACGCTGTAGCGTTTCAGCGTTTCAGCTCTGTCCAATGCTTCAGAACTCCCACAACTTCCATCTGTGAAAGACTCGCTTGGATCTGTTGGTCTCACTGTTTCTAAATTTTCTAAGGATCAAACACATCCGAAAACCAGAGGTCGCAACACTAAGATCGGACTTGAAACCCAGGAAGCCCAGGAAGTAAGTGATTTCGACTACACTCTCTTTTTCTGGCGCAGCAGACAGCAGTCTAGAATTGAAGGATAGCTGCCGTATGCTTCTGCTTTGGAAGTGGTCCCACTACTGGCTTTAGGGCTGACAGTGCAGTTGGACCTACAGACTTCTAGGGCAGACGCTTTTAAACCTTTTTAACAAAATCACCACAGCATCACTTCAAGCACGCCTTCGCTCCAACTACGTGCCTGCACTCCCACAAGGAAACAGCAGTCTAGGGCAGATGGAGGCGTTTTCATGATGAGGATGTGCCATGTGTATCGAGGCTCGTTCACAGCTGTCACGGAGCATTTATTATAGCGTGATTTCTTTTTTATATTTTGAAATTTGTTCGAACTTTTCATTTCTTATCTCTTATCTCATCTCATTCTATGCCCATATAATCCATATACTATGCATATACTATGTCCATTATGTCCATGATGTCCATGTGGAATTTTCGGATCCTTCGGGAATCGAACGCTTGTCCGAACGCTCAGCATTGAAAGTGGCCAGGATGGCTTGTAGTCAGAACCTGAGCACCTTGCCCTTGCCCTTGCCCCACCATAAGTGCATGTCTTTGATCACTTTCTCAATTTCAGATCAAAAGGCGCACAAAGTTTGAGAGTCATAATGAGTGATGTTCTAAGATTCCAAGATGTGTGTTCAATATCGTTCAATTGTGTTTTGACTTGGTTTTGATTTTCGCAGGTGCTCAATTTGCTCATTGTTCTGAGCGAGGCCAAATTCCAGGCACTTCTGCACCCGACACAATTTGCATGTTTTGGATTGTTTTGGATTGTTTTGGATACATCTTAGGCTTCTAAGATTTCTAAGGCATTCTGTCTTGAATGCCTGTTGAGTCAGTTGAGCTTCAATGAGTTTCAATCCACGACTCGTCATGTCTCGGGAACTCGCTGCGTGGTACGACGGTACGAGGCGTCGTCTATCTCATTGGGACAGGATCAGAGGCGCTAAACTAGAGCAGCTCCTTTGGCTCGGCCACAGATTGCGGATGAAGAATCGTTTTCCCATGTTTTCCCTTCAAGATCCTTCAAGTATGTTTCAAACAGGATTCTACTTCACTGATGTGATTTTAATATGATTCAAATATGATACACTGACATGCATTAACAAATAATGAGGTGAAATCTGGACTTCTCAAGCCTACAGCTTTCAGGGGTGCAGTCGTTTCCTTATCTTTGAAGACGTAAGACTCACTACATTTGAGTTGGCCTCTTTTTTACGCTTTTTTTTGCTTTCGTTGGAGTTGTCTTCTGTGCCAAGCTTTGCTGTCCTTGCTGCTCGTGTTTCTTTCATTTGTTTTCTCTTTGGTGCACAGGTTGATGTATGTTGAAGATGTTGAAGTCAGATTGCAGCCAGGTGGGGCTACATCTCAAAGTTTGGGTATAGTCCAGGGACTGGCAACTACAGCCTCAAACTTCGTGCTGTTTCACTGAAGGGAAGGCTTGGAGACACAGCTATGTTGAACCGAGACTCCTGGGCCGTTCAACACTTGTGACATCTTGTGACCAATTGAATTGACTGTTTCTTGATTGTTTCTTGATGAACCCTGTGACCTAAGATAAGAGGGTCTCGTGACTCGGTGACAGTTCCAACAAACAAGCAGCAAGAAACAAAGACTAAGACACCAGAGGTATGCAAAGGTACTGTATAGAAGAATGCATATTGCGGCTGTTTCTGATTGTGCTTTCTGTGCTTTCTGTGCTTTCTTTATCTTTCGGTATCGGTATCTGTGTTTCGGATGTATCTCCTGACCAATTGTTCAACATCAAGGCCATTGAGGCTGGAAGTCAGCTTTGAATCTGAGGCAGAATGCTCTGCAACCTCGCTTGGAGACTTACTTGGATGAGGCCGACATCCGACAAACAGATGCAGTGAAGTGCTAGGCCGCTAGGCCGGCCTGTAGAATGGGCAGTAGGTGAATCTTGGAGCTGGCAGGATTGGGACACTGTCTTGAACATGAAGGTGCACTGTCTTGTTTTCACATGTTTTCCCTCTCAGTTTCCGCAGTTTTCACATCTCTCCACATCTTTCCATAGCACCTAGACCCACGATGTCACGGAGAGTGACGATCTGAGAGGATGCCTGTAGTCGGAAGAGCAAAGCTCGCAAGTCCACGAACATGTCGGTTCCAAGTGACGGCCAGTGCTGAGCTGAGCGAATTTCGCAAAATGATCTGTGTTTCTTGAGAGCTGTGCAAAACTACTTAAGAACTCTAAAAACATTGGAGATATTCGGAGATATTCGGAGATATTCGGAGATATCATGATATTGTTTTCCGATCAGGTGGAGTAAGCTTTTCACTGGACAGGTGAGGAATATGGTGAGGCGCTTTGCTTTTCTCTTCTTTGCCATGGCTCTTTAGTCGCACTTTGCGATGCTTTGCGATGCTTTGCGACTAGATCACACGTGTGGTACTTTGTCCTCGTGGACTGCAGTGCCTTGCAAGACAGTGGGCTGCCAAGTCGACAGAGTCTGCTGCACTTGGAGATGACTGATGTAGTTAATGGATGTTAACGGCGTACACAGTATACATCAGTATACTTTATATTAACGTGCTAATGTGCCTTTGGGAAATGTCGGGATGCCAGGTTGTTTCATGTACATTCTGTTACATCAAGTTTCTTTGCTTTTGGACTGAGGTGTGAAATTTGAGTACGAAATATCTCAGCTGAACCAGGCTTGGCTGTGGGTTCCTTGCTCGCGTCTCTGTGCCTGTTCTGTCTGGTTTGCAGCTTGATGCTGAACTGAACTTTGCAGGGCCAATCTCACTTCTCTGTAGAAACCAGATGGCGGGTATCTCAGCCTCTTGCTGTGCCCATGTGCGCTTTGACGCTGTAAAAGTCGGTTCCGCGCATCTACAGTCCTACAGTCCAGCAGAGCAGATGCGAAAGATGCGAAAGATGCGAAAGGGCACAGAGCAGATCATAGCCATCGCTTCCATCATAGCAGTCTTATAGCAGTCTATAGCAGTCTTGATCGTTGAATCGTCGAGGACGCTTCCGTCGAACATTCTTTCGCTTCTTTGCTTCGTGCTTTTTTGCGGCCTCTTTGCAAAAAGGTGCATCACTTAGATTGTGAAGAGAACATCTGGGAGAAGCTCTTGTCTGAAAGGCGCCAAAAAAGAACGCCGAGAAGCTGCCCGTGTTCCCATCTGCCCTGTTTGTTAAGCTAAGGTGCTTGGCAGAAATGTCCAGTGTGGGAAGATTGCATACTGTGTCTTGTCATCGTCACAGCAACGGTTTTGGTGCTGAATAACCTACCAACCATTCTGATATAGATTGAAAACATGAACCACCTACAAAGCTGTGACAATAGCATGATTCCTTCTATCCAGCGTTGTAGTCTCTATAGTTCTGTTCACTGTTACATTGCAGCTTAAACATGGGTCAACGCTTTGTTAATAATCTATCCTTTTTGGAGGAAACCATGGAAACCTAGTAATGACGGGAACGAAATGAGACCAAGCAGACCTCGTCAATTTGCTGCACTCAGGTGATTTGGGCTTTGGCCGCCGTGATTGCCATGCAGCTTCTGGCACAGTTGGGACTCAGCAATCACTCAGCAATTGACTAAGCAAAACACGCTCAAAGCGCAGCAATCACTCAAAGCATCTCAAAGCGCTCAAAGGCTCTTGTGTCATACTTGTGGATCTCCTCATGAAGCCGCACAGTTTCAGCACATTTCAAGCATTTTCTTCAGCAGAAATCAACAGGCATCACTAGAGCAGATGCCTTCGCCAGGTCGCTACATGCCTTGCATTTGTGGAGGCGAGGACAATGATGCAATCTGTTGCAGAGTTTTCATTGAAGACTTGCACCTTGGACCAATTGCATCAATTGCATCAATTGCAAAGGTACAGCTACAATGGCAGTGGTATCAAAATCTTTGAAGCTACTGCTGAAATCATGTTGCTTGCCAGCAGAGTGAGCAGCTTGTAGATTTGTGTCTTGATTGGTGTACTTTTGGAGTCATGGTCGGGTCACCATTTGACAAAATCTTGGTCAAGCTTTCACAGTTGTCTCAGGTTCATTTTGTCTCAGCTGGTCCAGTCAACGCTGCTGATTCTGATTGGGTCGGGACCTTGAAGTCGAGATGATCACAGATGATCACAGATGGACAGTTCATGCCAATTCTGACGGTGTCAACTTGAGGTATGGTTACACGCTCATGCCTGTGGATGTGCAGCCAGGAACAGTCACTTAGATGATCATCCTTTCGGGCAAAGATGCCATATGCTGCCATCATTTTGACGTTCCACTCTTGTTCTGCAACTTGTTGAGATTCGATGTCGGTCCGGTCAAACATCTCTCAGCCAGGTCTTGCTGATTTTCAGCATAAGTGCCGTGATTCACATCATCTTAGTTCTTCTCACAAAGGCAGAGGCGCTCACAGTGACACAGCTGGACATGCTGGTAGTTGGGGGGCTTTGAATATCTTTAATCATCTTTATAGTTTTTGTTTTTGTACATGCCCAACGTGTACACCATCATTCATCGGTTTCACCGTGTGCCAACCCCCAAAGCCTGAATGCACATGAACTTCGTCCTTTATCGTTTTAGATTGGGTGGACTTTGAACTTGGTATAACTTGGTTTTGGATGATTTTGGATGGTTTTGGTGTATATGGCAAGCGTCGGAGGATTCGGCGGACAAATTCCACGACTATGATGGCCTTGCGGGAAAAATGCTGCTTGTGAAGCTGGCAAGTTGATACAAAGAGCACCCTAAAACAAGCTGGATGCCAGATACATCCAGATACCATTGCACATGAGGCGGTGGCAACAGTGTCACCTAGAAATAATTTTGCAATGCCAGGGCTTCCGCTTGGCAGCTTTCGTGGTCTTCTTAGTTTCTTACAGATGCAGTGTAGACACTACGACAGTGAAATGTATGTAGCGTGTAACAATGTGTAGTGATGTGTGGTGATGTGTAGTGATGTGTAGTGATGTGTAGTGATGTGTAGTGATGTGTAGTGATGTGTAGTGATGTGTAGTGATGTGTAGTGATGTGTAGTGATGTGTGTAACGATGCTTCATTCACGTGTTTTCCGTTGCTTTTCGATGGAGCATCCAGGTCATATTCCTTTGGTGCTTGAAAAGCACCATCAGAGGCGCACCCTTCAGGTCCGGGTCTCTTGCCGAGACAGCTCAGACAGCCAAGACAGCTGAGACAGACAGCTTCAGGATTCGCAATTTGCTGACAAAGTTTGGCTTTATCGGCCAGTTTCTCAGGGCTTGCTTGAACGGGGTCCAGTATATAATGCTGTGATATCCTCGGTGCCGTGCTTGCACATCTTGGAAATCTTGGAATCTGTACTCCAGTCTGAAGATGTTTGAAGAGTCTTGCTGTCAGGCACTTTGTATTTCGTGGGACCTCCATGTCTTGTGCTGTTGGTTCTGGTATTTGCACCGTGCGCAGGGAACATGGATATGGGGCACCCATAACCATCCATAACCATCCATAACCCATGCTTGTGAGTCTTCTGCATGACACTGGATGACGGATAACTCTGACACCGGGGGTTTGAGGTACTGGCGGCCGCCTTTATTGAACACGAGCTTGATGTTTCTGCAGATTGGCACTGCTTGGTGGTTGCACAACCTCTTCCTATCCAGAGGAGAATATTTCAAGGTCAGCTCCTGAGGTCCGAAGAGGTCCGAAGTCAATTCTTTGGGAGCTCGAGCAGCTCGAGCAGCTGGAGCTCTTCCTACAGTCTATACAAGACTTGGTTATGCGATGTTTATACCTTTTTGAAGCGCTACAAGACCATCTGGCCATCTCACAAACTGTCTGTGAATTGCGTTTGGCGGAACTGAGTCTACGGATGTCTACGGACAATTTGCCATCGCTCAGAGTTTCCCTTGGTCCGTCCAGGTGTCGGAGCTCAATTCCTCGAGCCTTCCAGGGGGAACACCTCGGTCTCCTCGGGATTCGCCGTACTCACCCAAGAGTCTTGGCAAGACGTCTGATAGAAACAACATGTCTTTTTCCACTCTAAAGGCTCTCACCACGTCAGAACATTGTTGTGGAGTCCCCTGTATGGTACATGCCCAGCAGAAAACGCATTTCTCGTTTCCTGAAGGAGAGATTAGTGCAGCAAGAGCTTCCGCGCGTGGTCCTGAGTCTGAAAGAGTAAGACTGTAAGACTATGAAGAAGCAGTTGCAAACTGTTACAAGATGTAGCAGCGATGTAGAGCGCGTCAGCAAAAGCTGCAATCAGCATCAAAGAATGCTGCTGGAGCGCATGCAACATTGATTGGGAGAAAGGCTACTCGGAGCTGAGCGTTTCAATGCACAAATGTGCACAAGTCAGATCTATGTTTCGCCGTTTCGTTTTGTTTCTGAATTTTGTTTTACGATATTCCTGTGGTTTGGAAGTCGGGATGTACTGTATGTTGCTTTTGAAGCGAGTTCCTGCGCTATTGGCTCAGAGTTGGACGCAATAGCTTCGGAAGCATCAACGCAACACAGCACATATCGATACAAGACCATCAGTGATCACAAGTCAACCACTGGCCCGGTTCCAGATTCAATTCATTAAGGTGGCATCGGTGGCATCATTTTCATTCATTTTCATTCATGTTCATTCACTTTCAACACAAAGTCACGTTGCATTTTGGAGTCTTGCGCAGCGCCATGGAATGCCTGGCATGATTTGGAACTTGACAGATGTGAGACTTTAGAGACACAATGAGACACATCATATGAAGCAAATAGATGACCTGTCTGACATGTTACATGAAATGTCATACAACACGTCGACAACGTCGGCAGTGACCAAAACTCTGGTTGCGATAGCTGCTCAGTAGCTATTACATGCTATTACAGGGGATTTCTGCTTGCTGGTTTATTCGGGATTTTTGTGGTCCACTATCGGAATCCCAACCAACCAGTCTACGGGGATGGAGGGTTTAGAACACATTAGAGCACTGCTCATGTCACACGAGACGGACATGACACATGGAGATGATCGAGACGCGTGGTGTACATCTGACATCATTTTTCAAATCATCTGACAGATCTGACATCATTTGTGTTGCAATTTGACATCGAGTCCATCTGGAGACGGCTTTGATTCTTGCAGGCTGATGGACTTGGACCGTTGTTTCGGAAAGCGGATGGGCTCGGCGCCCAACACCGTGACGTGCGTATGAAGAATCAAAGAATATAAAGAATCAGAGTCAGAAACGAAAGATTTCTTCAGGAATTTTAGTGATATCATTGATGCCATGAAGAATTGAGAATTGTTACTCTCAACTTCCAGTTCCTGAAAAGCGAAGGCTGCAGGTATCTTCAAAGTGTGTTGAAACTGCACAAATCTGCAGACAGAACATGGAAGTTCCGTTTGTTGTGTAATTTGTGTACTTAGTAAGACTTACTGTAGTACTTGTTTCTGCACAGCAAAAGATCTCAGTGATTTTGGTTCTGTTGCTTTCTTTGCTGTCTCCTTAGTTAGTACATCTTAGTACTTTGTGAAGGCTCAAGAGAGATGTGGACTCCGCCCTCGAAGCGATGGCTGCTCCAAAGGACGACTGAGAGAACTCCGAGAGTTTCAACACTTTGGATCTCCCGAACCTGCGAAGCCAATAGGGCGCTCCGAAGCACTTCTCCCGATCTCCACAGGCGCAGCAAGGTTCCGACGTGGCTCTACAGCAGCGCTGGAGCCTCAGCATCGCCGAAGTATTGAGGCAGAGGGCCGCCGACAACTTGCCGAAAGCATCACATAACACGTACACTTCGCATAGCAATGCAGAGCATAATAACTTCCCCGGCTTTCTGTTCTTGTCTCTCCTAAATCACGTCACATAGACAAGAGAGACCAAGAGAGACCAAGAGAGACCAAGAGAGACCAAGAGAGACAACGACAGAGACAAGGCTTAGCAGCGCTCTTCGCAGATTTGACAAATACCTCTCAGCGGATACGAGAGGAGGCGATTGCCGAGGGGCGGGACCCCGGGACATCGGGAGCTCTGTGATGAGTTGAACCATTGAACGAGAATGTAACGCCGTACCGCCGCTGTAGCCAGGTTGATGCGATGCCTGAGAAAGGAAGAGCCGGTTGGGACAGAAAGGTGAATCGTTTGGAGGAGGATGTGCTACAAACTCAGAGCTAGACAGTTGACGAAGACATACGAAGACCATGAGGAATGAAATGCCAACACATGTCAAGGCATGACAAGAAGAACATGATATAGAAAGGTAGAACTTATGACATGGGTCGCATGGTTCAAATACAGTGTAGCTCGAGTGTTTTAATTGAACATCAAGCGAGTGTCGACATATCAAACAGCCAAGGTCTGTGATTCAGAGTGCTGTGGACAAGCAGCTTGGGACTTTTTACCGAGCCCCAAACCCAGCCAGATATCCCGTTGTTTCCAACTCTAAGAGGTCGCCGTAGACCTGTAGACGTTGCAAAAAGCGAGATCGGGCCATCGGGCGTGGCTTTTCCTTCACTTTTTTTTCAAACGGAAGCACTTCAGTCACTTCAGGTCAGAAGGGAGGAGGAAAACTGGAAGAAACTTCTGGGCGATAGAAAGAAGCGAGATGGGCCTGACGATGAAATGCAGGCGCGACTGAGAATGGAGCTTGAGCACAGCATTTCGATCAGCATAGATTTAAAATGATTTAGATCCACCAATATTCCCGGTTCAACAGCTTAGCTGATCTTTATCTTTTGCAAAAAGCATGCGTATGAAAAAGGCGTGGGTTCACGACGAAGGCAAAGTGCTAACGTGCTCACTTTTGCTGTCTCCTGCAATCAGCATTTCCTGCAGTCTGTCTACGTGTAGACAGTCTATGACAGTCTACAGATGCCTAGTGGTTGTGCCAGGGCTTGGCCAAGGAGAACAAGGCGCTGCGAGACTCGGCCTCTGCATTGGACGAAGTCTTGGACCAAGCCCGCTCCATCCTTGGCAATTTGGTCTGGACCCCGGAGACAGAAGCACTACCAATAAAGATAAGTAGAAATAGATAGGAATGGTAGAAAATATAGCTAGAATATATGAACATATAATGAGGCGGAAAAGAAAAAAGACAAGAAGGAAACACGACAAAACACACAAAGCAAGCAATGAAAAGGACATAATAAAACATCAGTAACGGCTAGATGAAATCTGTTCCGCAGAAGTGTGGGTGGTGATAGGTAAATGATAAGGATGGCCGTCACCAAAATATCAAACAGGTTGGTAGATTTGGTTAGCTCATGACTGGCCGATGGATTCCCCGATATCTCATCTGCCCCAGAGGTGCCAGCAGTCAGAAGATTCACACAAGTTTGGAATTTCACAATGCAAACATGCGGATGATATGATCCTGCTGTGCCTCTTAGACCTTTGTATACCTTTGTATTCTTGAGAAATGCGGCTAAAGTTTCTGATTGCGTTTGGATCTCTGGGCCGCATTGTGTGAAACAGCTAGAGTCTAGAGTCCTATGGACTGCTCCAACAATTTTTTGCATCGCCAGCGCAGGAAGGTGAAGGTGCAAACTGCACAAAAATAGAAAGTGGAAAAATCAAACAGTGAAACAGAAACAGTTCACTCCCAGCAAACACCACCAGCGGATCTTGGTGTTTAGGTGTGTTTAGCATGTTTGGTTCCAGATGTGGGTATGGATCAATACCTATACATACCAGATTTAGTGGGATGAACATCCATTTACCAGCTATTTTGGGGTTCACTAGGGGTACAAGGTTTTGACCCATCCCCATGTGGTATCTGTTTTACACACCGCATCGATCCGAAACAAAACTTTCAACATCTTTCAACACACGACGCTTTCAGAGGGATTTCAGATCCGAGATCTGAGGTGAATCAGAACAAAGTTCTGAAAAATGCCCGGCGGAAATTGTTGGATGCTGCCAGCAGTTTCGGAGCACTTGACTCAGATCTCAGATTATCGATTCTTCGGCGAACTTCACGGAAGCAACGTTTTTGTACGTTTTTGCATGGTCTCCAAATGTCTCCTACATATCAATGTATTTTTCTCCCAAAGATGACGACAAAGAAATTCCCAACGGCAGGAAGCTGTTGGGTTTGAATCTCTAGAAGCAGGGCGTGGTATCACGTTCCTCCTTCCTTTGGCATGTATGCGCAGAGTTCCAAGTTCCCGGAACCTTGGAATCTTGTCTCCCGGTGTGTCCCACTTTGTCTCCCACCAGGAACCTCCGAACCTTGTCTGCCACAGTGTCGCCCACCTGGAACTTTGAGAACCTTGTCTTGCTTTGTTTCCCACCTTGTCTCCCACTTGTCTCCAAGCTGGTCTCTGCAGCCTGCTTGTCTCCCAGCTTGTCTCCCATCTGGAACCTTGGAACCCTGTCTGTCTCCCAATGTGTTTCCCCTTGTCTCCCACTTCTCTCCCAGCTGTCTCCCACTTGTCTCCCACTGTATCTCCCATTGCGTCTTCCACTAGAACCTTGGACCTTGTCTCCCAGCTGTCTCGCAATTGTCTCCCGATTTTCTCGCCATTGTTTCCGTATTGTCTCCCAATTGTGTCTCAATTGTCTCCCACTTTTGTGCCGCTTGTCTCCCACTTCTCTCCCTTTTGTCTTCCAAATTGTCTCCCGTTGTTTTTCTATTGTTTCCCCATTGCCCATTATCTCCCTGTTGTTGCTCCATTGTCTGCCAATGTGTCCCACTTGTGTCTCCCAGCTTGTCTCCTGCTTTTGTGTCTTCCACTGTTCCGCTATGTCACTCACTGTGTCTCTCAGTCTCTCTCCTGCTTTGTTTCCCAATTTGTTTCCACTTTGTCTCAAAGTTTGTCTCTGACTATGTCTCCCAGCCTGTCTCCCACTTTATCCGCCCGCTTGTCTCCCACTTTGTCCCCCGCTCTGTCTCTCACTTTGTCTCCCACTTTGTCTCCCGCTTTTGTGTCTTCCACTATTCCACCATGTCACCCACTTTGTCTTTCACTTTGTCTCTCCCTTTGTCTCCCACTTTGTCTTTCACTTTGTCTCTCCCTGTCTCCCACTTTGTCTCCCACTTCGTCTCCAACTTCGTTCCACTTTGTCTGAAACTTTGTCTGACTATGCCTCCCAGCTTGTCTCCTGCTTTGTCTCCCAGCTTGTCTTCCACTTTGTCTCCGCTTAGTTTGCCAGCTTGTCCGCCACACTGTCTCCCTCTGTGTATCCCCTTTTGTCCTCCACTTGGTCCCCGCTTTGTCTTCCACTTTGTCTCTCACTTTGTTTCAAGCTTTGTCTCCCACTTTGTTCCCCAGTTTGTCTCTCACTTCGTTTCAAACTTTGTTTCAAACTTTGTCTCCCACTTTGTCTCCCGAATTGTCTCCCGCTGTGTGTCCCCTTTTGTCCTCCACGTGGTCTCCTGCTTTGTCTCCCACTTTGTCTCTTGCGTGTCTCCCACTTTGCCTCCTTGTCGCCCACTTGTTTTCCACTTTGTTTCAAACTTTGTCTCCGGCTGTGTCTCACACTTTGTCCCTCACTTTGTCTCGAACTACTTTATCTCCCATTTTGTCTCCCACTGTGTCGCCCACTTTCTCTGTCATACTGTTTCCACGAGTCAAAACTGCGGCCCAAACATGGAGGCTAGTTGCGGACCTTCTGACCTTGAATTTGGAACCGTCACTGTTGTTGGGTTGCAAAGCTGGGTTAATTAACTTGCCTTATCAGAACAAACATACATTCATTCAGTGGACGCAGTTGCAATAATTTGTCGGCATGGGCGCCACCATCACAGTCGATTTTGTGTTCTGCCTCTTCACTGTCGCTCATGATGCAATGTGCAATCTATATATGCTGACTAACACTTCAACATCGTGTTCCCCCTGTGAGATTGATCATTAGGTTGCCCAGAGCCTTGTGAACGTCATCGATCGCAGACAAACTGGCGATAAGTGGCTGGTGTATGGCGGGCGGGAAACCCAGCTCCAATTGCTGGAAACCCATTATGTTCATATTGAGAAACATATGAAACATAATGAAACATGTTACTTCCAAATATTTCCAAATTAGAAACAAAATGGCAGGGTCCGGGTCCGGCACTGTTTTCGATTCGAACGGTCGCCTTGATCACTGATCCCTCAGGATGGCATTGACGCTCTTTATTCTGTTCTCACTCTGGTACTTGCTGCGCATGTGAGAAAGGCCCACGATGCAATTTGATGCCTTTCTCATTTGTCCTGCGTGTGTTCGTTGTGTTTTGTGTTTGAGAATAGCTTTCGCTGCCATGAAAATTGAGGGTTCGAGGGTTCCCTTTTCAAGAAACGCAGACCAAACAGCTCTCACATTCAATTCATATCATGGTCGCACGCAGTTTCATTTGTGCCGAAACAATCCGCCATTTTTTTGTCACGATCTCTTCCGAGATGCAAAACTGAGGAAGTCTTAAAGCAAAGTGCTCTTAAAGCAACAAAGTTCAGACCTACAGCTCTTTCGCTCTGCTCCAGGTCGGCAATTTTTCCAACTCTTGGGCCAGCCTGGCATGACTTAGTGACTTGGTGCATGACTTAGTGATATGTTATGATGATTATGTAACTATGTATGATTATGTCGCGATGTAGTGGAGGTTTGTTGGGCGACTGACTTGGGCCTTCTCCAAGGCAATCTGAAGACAAGTAATGACAAGTACCATAAGTGACGGACTACAATTTATAAACCCAACAATTCATTGATAAACTCATCAGGTGACCGGCCTCAATGACAGGTGCAGAAACAAAAGTCCAGATGTGCTTTGCACGCTTGGAATAAAAGCAGCAGCTGAGTTGGCAGTTACAAAATTGCAAGGCAGAGGGGTCAAGGGTACACTTTGTATTGGTCCAAGCCTGTGACATGAAATATTGTACCCATTCATTTGAGCGCTGTTTTAGGAGGTTCAAGCCCAATTTTTTTTTGAAATGAATCTTTCAGTGATTTGTCCTTGCACAGCCACCAAACATCAAATGCAAAAGCGAACATGTTCTCAGCTGCACAATGTTCCAGAGGCTCTCATGTCTGCAGCACATTGTTGAAACTTGAACACATCACACTTCTGAACGAATGCAAGTTTGTCAAAAATATGGAAATGGTTGGAGTGGTTGGAATGGCCCAGAGCTCCTAGTGGGGCAGCTTCCCAAGTGCCTGGACGAAATGACGCATGCGGAAGGCCACTCCAGGGAGACGTGAGAGTGACAAAGCGATACAAAGTGACACAAAGGGTGACGATGCCATCGGATGCCATCGGATCCTCTGTCCTGACTGCATTTCTGCATTTTGTGCTGTTTTCCATGTTCTCCGGCAGATTCCATCAGGACGTTCAGAAATGGCACGAAGCGCTGTCCCTGGAGGCTCCAGCTCTGGTCGTGACAAACAGTCCTCTGTTTTTTCCAAACTGTTTCTTGAAACACACAAACAGAATCAAACAGATTCTTTTTTTGGAAAGGTGCTGGCAATCCCCGAAGTCTTTTCAGTGGTCCTTGCGATAATATCTCTTTCATAATGTTCATATCCTTTTCACTCTTTCCACATTGCTGCTTTCCTGGGACTTGAATCTATCACAGCCACGTTGTTCTCCGAGGGAAAGTGAATGCTTTGCGTCACAAACTACTTTTGAGTCTGTCACAGTCTTTCAAGATGTGTCAGGCCAAACTACTGGACTTCAACATAGCCCATGGCTAAGACTGGGAATTTCTTGGAAACAGCTGTGCAGACTGCAACCACATACAACCATATATATATATATATACATGCAGTATCCTGTAGAGACAAGATGAGATAAGATGAGATAAGATGAGACAAGATGAGACAAGATGAGACAAGTGACACGGCAGTGACACGGCTGTGACACGACTGCCGTGCTGACGCCATGCCTCAACTTGACCTGAGGTCCTTGGCGGCACTGCCAGACGGAGGCAATGGCAGCAGCCACTGCAGCTCTTGCAGGGGCACTCAGTTCAGAGAAGCGAGAGAAGTCCACAGCTTTCAGAACTTCAACATCTTCAACATCTTCAACATCTTCAACTCCGAATCATATCAAATTCAGTCAAATCCCTTAAATCTGAAACAAAATCTCCGTCAAACCAAATTGATGGCCCAAACATGTCCAAGATCGAAACAGGACCGCTTTGCTCTTTGACTGTTGGACTCGTGGTCTCTTGGACATAGCTGCTCAGGATGTCTTCTCGTCTTTCTCGTCTTCGGCCGGACATCGTGAGCTGCAACAGCCTTCTTGGGACCCTGGCGAAGACACGCTGGGAGCAAGCGGTGGACTTCTTCTTCCTCTTGTCCGCAAAAAACTGGCGCCCAAACACCATTTCTCGTTTCTTGACTGGACCAAGAGGGCGGAGTTAATTTTGTCTCTTTTCATGCCCTCACAATCCCTCACATCATTCTATGCAGTGAAACTTTTTGAAAGCTTATTTAAGTTGTTTGCACATAAAACCCACAGCACAAAGTTTTTTGAATGAGCAAGGAGCAGACTGCATGGCCCATCAGAATGTCAGCAGAAAGAATTCAATGAGAATTGTACACGGCTTCTGAGAAGTCTATGAGCAAAACACTCCCAGGCAGTTCTTTAGCAGCTTGCGAGAAGGTGGGCAAGTGGACTGCTGCACTGTGGTATCAGCCTCAAGGACTCAAGGCTTTGAGATGGGGAGATTTCTTGGAGTTCAGGTGGAGTCATTGGCATACTGAGTATACTGATGTATACTGTATACTGCATATCTACTCCTTTCATCTCTTTTTGCTCTTTCACTGTTGTGCACTGCTTTTACTTGTCCTAGCTGTCCTTGCCTTTCAAAACTCTTGGACCACAATGTCATAGCTACATGAGCTCGGATCAGAGATTCTTCAGTTGCCCAAAGTCACATACGTCACGTCGGAAGTGTGCAAGAATCCTTTTCGATTCTTGGCTGTCCCAAGTCGTTCTGTGGCTCCGAGTGGCTCCGAGTGGCTCCGAGGCTTCTGTCCAAGCCCACCGACATCGTGGCGTGCACGACTGGCATCAGTGCGTGTGGTCAAGGCCGTTGAGAAATCAGATTGCAAAGATATGTCAGAAATTGGTCATAGATATAGATTGATCATGATTGTACATGCAATAGATGGATGGGTAGATAGAAAGATAGGCAGATAGGCTGTAGTCACTGTAGTCGTGCAGTGTTGAGAAGTTGTTGTGCTTTGTGACGATTGGCGACTGACAATATCCGTAGGCCCTCATCAGCAGACCCTCCGATTACTGTCGCTCTAGTGACGCGGTGATTTCACGACAGCCGCCTAAGGTTTTCATGGCAACATAATGCAACAATATGCAACATATATAAGTAAGTATACTTAAGTAACTTAAGTATATATAAGTTAGGGTTTATAAAACTATGAAGAAGGACGATGTAATGACGATGTTCTAATATCGGTATCAACATGCTGTGCACGTACATACACATCATATATCATCATTCGCATATGTAAGCAGGTAGTTCTAGATTATGTAGTACTATGTAAACTATGTAGTTGTATACTTCAACCAGGAAATCGACGTGCAAGTAGAGTACCAACGTACCACGTTGCCACACTGGGAGTCCCGTGAGTATCATGTTGAAATATATTGAAATGCAAAGTAAACAGAAGCAGAACAGAAGCAGTGTGCCAAAACTGTAGCCATGTGTAGCCCTCCAACCTGACGCTGAACAACCTTTGCAGCACAGTTTTGGCAAAGACTGTTGCAAAAATGGTGACTGAGATCAGAGAGTGCCCAAGCTACTAAGAACTCCGAGAACTCCTAAATGTTTCTATCCTGGTCTGATGTTCTTAGTTTATCTTAGTTTATCTTAGTCTGATTTGTTGAGAATCTGTTTGATCAACTTTGATCTTGTTTCTTTGAGAGCGTCGTGTTACCAGGCCATTGGCAGCTTCCCGGGGCACTGCTTTGCATGGCCCCAATTTGGGAGTTGCTTCCAAATGCTGCCTCCTCAATGTAGTCCATGGCAGTCCATGGCAGTCCATGGAAGTCCATGGACACATTGAATTCAACTTGCTTTGCCGAAATGAACTTTAGATTCTTTAGATGACTTCAGACTGTCACCCATGGTGTGACGTCTGACATTTTTGATGCGGCCATCAGCTAGATCTTGAGGTGGTAGCCTTCACAACGGCTTTGAGTGTCTGAGGCTTAAGCGGCTTACCTCACAAGTCTTCACAATGAGAGTGAATTGAGCCGGGAGTGCTCCCGGCAGTGCTCTTATGCCATTGCTTTGGTGAGTTTGAGGTCAGTGGCTGGACTTGGGTTTGCAGCATGGTCCTTATTCAGGCGACTTCAAACTTCGCGATAGAAGCGCCATGAAGCACCTGAAATCACCTGAACTTTGGCTGAAGGAGATGTCTTTGCAACTTGACCTTGCTGCTTTCACAGCTGTAGCACTCTCCTGAGCCGTCCACCAAGATTGAATGAATCTCATGTCTCAAGAGATCGGATGATTCGTCAACAGAACACAGCAAAGAGTCCAACCACTTTTGCAAAATGTCGCTGTTCCCCAATATTTCCGAGTTCTGAATTGCACACCGAGCAGTATACAGCACAAGACTCACCTGAACAGTGTCCAAGAGTTGTTGCCACGACAGCGACATCTTGATAGCAAAGGTCGATACATGCGGAACTCAGTGGAAGTCATCTTTGGACATCTTGCGGTGGGGCCGGAGGCAGCTCTGCTTTTCCGATTCAATACGGTGTGTTTTTCCTTCAAAAACTTGCGGCAACACAATGCCCACATTTTGTAATCTTTGTGACTGCTGAGTTTTGCTTCCTGTCACGCTTCCTATGCGTTTTGTCACGGGCCTGACTAAGCTGCAAAAGGCGGGGGTTGAATTGTGATGGAGCGAAGAGTGCTGCTTTGGCATCTTGTGCAGAAGCCGGGATACTAAGCCGGAAAGTTTGATACCAATCAGATTCGTACATGGCACACACTTGCAAATAGTTTTGGGTGCTGAGCTTGACTGCAATTCTGAGAAGTTGTGACAAGAGGCTGTGTGTGGATTGGTTGATGTACAACAAGACAAGGCATGATGCTGTGACAAGTAGACAGACAATGACTTGATAATGATGTGAGGCCAATTCTTGGGAACATTGCATCGGAGTCCTGCCTTTAACCCAGCCAAAGCGGGAGATTCTAAATGCAAGCAGCGCTTGAAGAAAGCATGCAGCTGGATGTTAAATATAGATAGACACATACATATCTAAATACTATATATATATATATATATATTGTGGGAAGCCTAGTCCCTGTAACAGTGGAAAAATGGTTTTTAATTATAACTACCACCCCAGGGGGAACACAAGCAAATCCCGTTTTTTCAAAACTATCTTTTGCAACTTCTGAAAGTAAAAGTAAGGACCTGACAACTAAGACAGCAAAGCTTTTTCTTTTCTTCAAATCAGCACCTGTGGAAACACTAAATTCAGAACAACCTGTGGGAACACTAAATTCCAGTATGTTAGACCCAAGGTTTTTCTGATTTTAGTGCTTCCACAGGTGTTGACTTCTTTCTTTCTTTCTTTCTTTCAATGCGCAAAAGGTTCTTACCTTGCTGCCGTGCATCGTTCCGCCTTGCGAACGAGAGTTAATTATGGTACAAAAGCAGTTAGCCTTGGAAATCTGGAAGCCACGGCGCCTCTGTGCGAATGTCGGCGCAGGCCCTTAGGGCCTCCTGTACCCATGCTTCAGTTTCCGGCTCATGCACAGACCCACAAGTCAAATTGCGTTGGCGAATTGCAACCTGGAAACAGTCAGCCACCGCTCCTGCCAATGCCGCTGAAAAGGCTGGTGGGTATTCTTTGAGTACCGCGGTGTGAAAAAGTCCAGTGCGCCTGTCTCGGCCAATAGCAACTTGTTGTGGTTTGACAGCATCAGGCAGCTGTCGTCGATATGCGGATTGAGCAAAAAAGGGGCAATTGATAGCAAGGATCCCCGTAGGTTTGACTGCACTGGCTCCCCACCTCCATTGGCAGACCCTATGCAGCTTGACATTCGGCAGCTGGAGGATCAATTGCACCCAGGGGGAGGTCCAGATGCTCACTTTGGCCTCATCCTCCGGCTTCCATGGGTGTTCACTGAGGTAAACACCACCATGCCGGAGAGTCCAAGCGGCAACAAGAATCCCTTGGAGAAAGAATTCAGCTCCTTGCTCTGCTTGCCTCAATTCTCTAGTGGATAGGCCCTCAAGTCCAAAAAATCGCTTGGCACTTCTGAGTGGCCTAGGCCATTTCTTCATCACTTCTTCAGGGGGCACATCATCGGGGGGATGGTGCCGCGCTGCTGAAAAGGTTTCGCATGGCGAGCCCAGAATAGTCGCAGAGACTCTTCCAGCTTGGTACAAGTTCATGAGGACCTTCCATGTGGCATGGCCAACCTGCAAATTACCATAAAAGGCAGAGACAGCGGTGTCCAAGGACAGGACTTGAACTCTGTATCCCTTGCCAAGGGCAAACTCTTCAAGTCTCGCATAGATATCAGTGGCTCGCCTTCTGCCGCTAAACAAATGCACAACTAGAAAAACTGGTAATCCAGAACGTGCTTCGACACTACTTGGTATGCTATTGCAGTCTGGAATAGTATCGAACTTGAAGGCTCGCACTTTGTCCAGCCACTCTTCCTGTTGCTCAAATAGTGATGGGATTTTCAATGCAGTCTGTGTCCTCTCTTTGGCATTAGCTGCGCCAAATCTTGGCAATCTATGAGGAAAATGGGACCCTTGTTCGCATTCAAGACGTCCGATCTTCTGACGCAGAAAGGCGGCCTCAGAGAGCGCTTGCATTCTGGGAAATTCAAATATGAAATCGGCATAAGCAGTGTCCACAAGAGACTCAGCTTCACCATCTTCAAAATGAGCAATCACATCTTCCAAACATCTTTCACCCCATCCAATGTAGACGCTCTCCAGCCACTCAGGGAAATCTGGGTCAGCAGTAGCGGCCACATCCAGCCACGCATCCGGAAGATGTGTGATCGAGGATGCGTCATATCCAGAGTCACAAAATCGTTGGGACCACCCCTCAGTTGCAGCTGTGAGGCATTGCCAGTAGGCACTCATTTGCTCATCTGCATCAGGCGGCTCACGTATGCAAAAAATGGCTTCTTCGACCTGTGCAAGTCTCTGGCAGGTCAGCAGCAATTCATTGCTGCGGCTATCCTTGGGTTGCATGTGTGGTCCTAGAGCTTGTAAGGCTTCTGTGCGGTGCAGGCCTCTAGGCTGTGATGAAGGCACATGTGACAAGTCCTCAAGGACACGGAAGCCTCTCTTTTGCAAGTCCTGGAAACATTGGTTGACTTTCGTGCGTCTGGGTATATATGAAAGATGTTGGTAGAGCCTCTGTCTGCTCCAAAAGAATTTGAGGCAGGAGGGACACGTTGGTCCGTCAATAAGGTGCTTCTCAATAGCACCAATCTGATGTGCTTTGCGTTTGTGCGTCGCTAACCCTTGCGGGGTCGTGAAGCATCGACCGCAGAAGCACTTGTGGTCTTCTTCGAAATCGGGTTGGTCAAAAGGCACATCTCGAAAGGATGCGCAACTGTTCAATGCTTTCATGAACTGGCCATGTAGCCTGTGCATTTGTTGCATCATGTGTTCTTGCTGCTGAAATCTGCGGAATGCTCGTTTGACCCTTTTCCGCCACTCTGGTGTGCCACTTTGCCAGTAATCGAAAAGTGCAGTCAAGTCATTTGGGTCTATAGGCGTCTGCTCATCAGGCTCGAGTTTGCGCAGCCACTCAAGGTCCGCAACGAGTCCTTCCATCCACGAAGTCTGGCAGAGTGCCTGCTCCCGATGCAGCAAATGTTGAAGGTCAGCAGGGCCATGCTCCCACAATCTCTGCGCATATAGCAATCGATCTGTGGCTAAACGCACTCTTGGATCCGGCTGCTGGGTACGTCGGAACACTTCAGCAGTCGGTGTCGAAAGCATGGTATCCTTCGTAAAGCGTAACACTTTTTGCAACATCCTCAGCAGAACTGCTTTGATTTTGGCCATTTGTCGATGTGTTGGTGTCAGCCACGCTCCAAGACCAAAGAAAAGCTTAGTCTCCACTAGTGAACGGAACAGTTGCACACGATTGCGCTCCGGCAAATGCCGATTGGTCAAGATGGGTTTGGCAATCAGGTTGAAAGCCGCCTGCGCTTGTCCGATACGGCTTCGGATCTCCAAATCCATCCTGTGGTTGGCAGCAAAAATTGTACCAAGGTGCTTGTAAGAAGGTACATAGTGCAGAAAGAATGTTTGTCCATCAATCACAACCTCATCACCTGGACGTGGGCCGAGTTGGAAGTGCTGACGGAGCAACGGGGCTCCAGTCCCTCGAAAGGAGACTACAGCGCTCGTCTTACCTTTCTCCATGTTGAGTAAGAACCCATAACGATGGAAAAGTCGAGCCACAAACCCCATCACCTGCCTGAGGGCATCGGGCATTTCATCGGCTGTCCTCGTCGCCCAAGGGATGGCAAGATCATCGGCCCATGCAACAAAGCTGGCACCAGTGATATCCAGTTCTTGAAGGATGTCATTGAAGGCCTCCTGGGAGTCAATCCAAACCTGCAAATGATGAAGAATATCAGACATCAGCACATGAAAGATGCAGTCGGCAAGCGGGCTACCAGGTCTGGTGCCACGTTTCGTGGTGGCCAAGGCACGCGATGCTCCAACTGCCATCCATGTGTTTGTATGCACGTCCTTAATCAACTGGATCAGAAAAGCCGGGGCTCCCAATCTCTCTAATAAACAAGGCAAGTGCAATCGGTCACACATGTCGGCAACAGGTAGGCCCTCAGCATCCATAGCCGCCAAGACTTCCTCAAGGTCGGCATCAACACTGATACCTGAGGTCCATTCACGGACCAGCCGATGGAACGCAGTGGTAAGGTCAAGAAAAAGTATGCCTGACGTGAGATTCTGTCCATCCATGATTCGTCCAAAGACTTGAAGCGATTGGGATCCATACATCACCTGTTGGTGCGCAAACCCTCCAAGCTGTCCAGGTGGGCGTTGTCTATGGAGCAGGCTCATGATGTGCGATCGCAACAAAGCATGGACTCGTTTGGTAAAGGTAGGGAGCAACATAATGCCGCGATAGTTCTGCGCAGCAAATGGGCTACCTTTCTTGTGAATCACTGCTAGTTGACCTCCTTTCCCAGCAATGGGCTCATGTTGCCAGACATACATTTTGAGGAGCAACGGGAAGAAAATGTCGGCCAAATCACAGGGATTTTGCCGGAACAACTGCGAAGGCAGTGCATCAAAACCGGTGGCTTTCCCTGCTGGTGTTTGACGAATGACATCTTCGAGCTGGCAAATCGTAGGGAGATCAGTCAAATCAAACTGTCGTTGTTGTATTGGCACTTGAAGCTGTCTCTTGTGACATTCATCCAGCAGTTGCATCGATGTCGTGGATTGCCCAACTTCAAGCTGGCACAAATGGGGCATCCACTGATCATCCAGAGCATCAACTTTGAGAGGGTCAAACCCAACTCTGCGCTGTCGAAATTTGGGCAAGCTTCGTCTGAGTGTCCGCCACAGCTTTCTTGCATGATGGGGTTCCAGCCAGTGAGAGCTCTCTTGGGCAAGAGCATCATAGAAAAGGACATCATCCCGCCTAAGAGCCTGCGTGACCTGAGCCCCATAACAGCGAAACTGATGCAGTGCAGTGGCAACATCTACATCAAGCTGCGTCAATATTTGGTCAAATTCCAATGCAAACCCTGGTGGGCTGGTCCCAATATCAGGCTGATGGCACCCATGCTTCCAAGATGCAAAAATGGCTCGCAAAAATGTGCATTTTTGTAGGTTCTGGCACTCAGCAAGATTCTTCCGCCATTTGCGTTTGACACAGACGAGCGACCATGTGTCTTCAGACATGGTGGTTTTGCGTGGTTTGGTCGTCTGTGGCCCAATACTTTCCCGTCTGGTACATGTAGCAAGACCCTTCTGAAGGGAATGGAAATGTGTATGAACATCCAAACCAATCCAGTCACAGGTCGCAGCTTGAATCTTAAATGCTGAGAGCGCCTCATGACAAAATCGCGGTGGACATTTAGGCAATCTCTGCCTTGCTTGTATCTGTTGATTCTGTGCGTACCACTCAAGATAAACACGGGCAGGCCTGTGATCATCTTTCTGAAGTGAGACATCAATGTGCAAGTCAGTCCATGATTTACAGGAAACCAACGGCCAAGTCATGTCAACCCCAATGACATCATTCCGAGTCCAATCTCCATTAGGATGGCACCAAGTTCCAGAAGGACCAATGTGGCATGTGGAGAACGAGGCAGGAATGAAGAGGTCATGTGTGGCCACAAATTGGCAGAAGGCCTCACTCTTGGCCGTGGAGATCTCTGCATCGTGGTCACCAATGTGTTGATTTGGGCAGTCACCAAATCTACAGTTAGCGTCGGCTAAAAGAAGCTTTGGCCATCGGTCATACTTCCTTGGTATCGCTTGCTCGATCTGTTGCCAAAACATCTCAATGCAATCCGAGTTTGCTCCACTATGTGGCGCATGGACTGCAAGCACAAGGCATTTAATAAAACTCGTGTGCATTTTGATGACAAGAAATCGAGGGTCAGCAGCGACAACAGAGAAGTCATGTTCATCAAACCACCCATGGTCATGCGGAGCCCCATCCTGTTGAAATGCAAATGGCTGTTGCTTGGCAAATCCTAACAAGATACCATACTGTCCCTGTGCGGTGGCAGGGGCATGCCATAGATGGTAATCAGGACTATGGAGCCTAACATTGGTTCTAAGTCGTGTTTCTTGCAAGGCAAAGATAGTAACACGAGCTTGGCTCATTTGCTTGATGATTGATTGCAATCTGGCTGGACCGAGAGGATTTGGTTGGTCCACACTAGCTTTGCAAGATCCTTTCGTCAGTGTGAGCACATTGCACGTAAGCAGCTCAAGCTTGACAAGTGCCGTTTCATCAACTTCGAAATTTTGGGGTGTCGTGCCAATACCCACAGCACATGGAGCCGGTGTGGTCATGGGCTTGGACGGCAAGCATAACGTACTCTCAGACCAGCAGCTAGAAAACGATGGATGTCGAAAAATCCAACCCCAACCAAGAGCTTGGACAAAGTGCCAGTTAGTCAAGAAACTGAGAGTAGTATCCCAATTCTGCAATTGGATCCCCTTCGCAGCACACAAAGCAATGGTGTCAACAAGCTCATTACCAGGGTCTCCGCAATGGCCAGGAACAAAGGAATGTTCGCAATCAACATCCCATCTAGTCTGCAGTATCCGTAGGATACTGCGGATAGCATGGCATGAGACCTTGTCTTTTTTGGCTTGCCATAGACCTTCTGCCTGCTTACCCACAGAGAGAGAGTCAAACAGGAAGGAGACACTGGGCTTGGCTCCGAAAACTTCAACTGCGATTTTCACAAGGTCATAGGCTTGCTTTGTTGCCAAAAGTGCTGCTCGGACTTCTGCCGTGTATGACCCAAATTCTGGTGAGGGAAGATGCGCCGAAACTGCCCCAGCGAACAACCAACGCCTTCCTTGCAGGACAAACGCTGCGGCTGCAGCTCCTGCAGTTCCTTCTTTGGGCAGGAATGATCCATCGTAGTACACTGAGACATGTTCAAAAGGCTGATCCCAGGCGTACCATTCATCACGTATCCATGGGAGACATTGAGGCAACCACTGCGCATGTCCTTCCAGGACCGCTTCAAGATCAAACACTGGCAAAGTGAAATGTGTGTCAAGCTTGTCCAAGGCTTGGCTAGCTTCAGCAAACCGGAGCTGTAGTCTTTCTTCCTGAACTTTAGTGCTATCCTGGATTGGAACAGCATGCATGGATCTCTGCAGAACGGATGTCACATCTTCTTCAGGCACATCTCTAGGTTGTTGGGGTGGTAAGTCATCAATGATGAGAACAAATCCAAAACCTGTCCATCCTAGAATGGGATGACCTGGATGCATCCGCTGAAGCCCATACCAGAGTGTACAAGGCGATCTTCCGTGAGGTGGTAGGCAGATTTCCTCATAGCCGACTGCGCGTACAACATGTTCATATGTGGTCCTTTCAGGTGTGGTGACGGCTCTGCGAACTGGGTGAAACCCGACATTGAGGTCAATTGTCGAAACAAGCGATGTAGCCCAAGCATCATTTGGGGCTTGCACGACAATGACATGCGCAGCAACTCCGGGTTCAAGCTGCGGAGGTGCTGGTGCAACAATCGCAATCTCGATCCCAAGCTCAGATTGAAGAACTTCATGCCAAGCAGATTTGATACGCTGTTCCCAATCGGAAAAATCTTCTCCCAGAGTGACTAAGCGGGGAAACATGCAAGTGGGAAATTGGAAGCGGTGATCCACAAACCAAACCAACACTTGAGCAGTTGCTTCTTCTCCTTCCCAAGAAAAGGCAGCATTAGCAAAGGTCGCATGCAATTCTTGGACAAAATCAGGAAAAAGCCAGAGATTTGGCCCGGTTGGATGAAAAACTTGTGCATTTGGATTGAATGGGCAACTTGGCACAGAGTCACCAGGTTGCGCAGCAGTCGTTTGCGAAGGTAAAACCGGCGGTACTTGCATGAGCGACAAATCTTCGAAATGCAGCTGTTCAGTAGGATCATGTATCTGTGTTGGTTCAAACGGTGCTTCAATACGGATACAAAGACTGTGGCCTGATCCAAGAGGCACAATGTCATTTTCATCCAGTATCTGCCTGTCACGAACTAACCTACACCTACGATGAACACTGCATGGCAAGAGATCCATGATCTGCAAAACAATGTCACGGTTGACTCGATGCGGTGCAGAATAAGCACCTTGCACAATGGCATCGTGTGGTGTACCTTCCATCAAAGCTGTGAAAATCACTGCAACACGCTGGTCAGAACTTCCCTGCTCAAGCAGTATGTGGCAAACACTTGGCTGGACCAAATGTTGTGGTGGGCGCGGCTGCACGATACGGATGGCAAATGGTCGTCGTCGATCCATAAAGTCAGACCACACTGCTCTGAGATCTTCAATCCATGTGAGGGGGTTACCATGCAGTTGAATGATTCTTGGCCGTCTACAGATGGGACGTTGGTTGTGATGAATAAACCACGTCGTGACGTGCATCAGAATTTCATTGTCCCATACCCCTCGAGTGCCATGCGCATGGATCAAATTACCCAGAGGGATGATCCAATCTTCTTGGCCGTCATGTCGCGGAAGCCGCTGTCGCTGTGGCAAGTCAGCGGCTGGGCGGATGATTGGAAAACCTAGATCAGCATCATCATTGCCTGGTTTACAGGTCATCAACGGAACATGCCGAATCCCTGGGTCGCTCATGCCACGTCCAATCTGCATAAAGGAGACATTGTCATCCTGTGCTTCTGGGTCATCATCAGCAATCAGTTGATGTGCCTCCATGGCAGCTGCCATTGCAGGTGCCCAAAGAGGCTGTTGTTCGAAAGCAGGGGCAATCATGCCATCAGTAGCAACTGACGCAACTTGCACTATTATGCAAAAACCCGAGTCAACATCTTCGATCTCCCCCGGTCGCAAACTCATCCTGTTCACAGTGACACCACAGCACCGAAGCACACAAAGGTCTTGGAGGGATATCATTCGCAAGATCGCATCAACCCTGAGAAATCGACCTATAGAGACTGCAACATGTCTCAATGCAGCATGTCTTCTGCCTTGTCGAATTTCAGAAATCACTCCAGCAGCATGCGTGACTGAAGGCCTATGTTGCTCCAGCAGAAGATGCGCAAGGACAGTTTCAGTTTCCGTGTGCGGGGGTGTTGGTGTGACAAATGTGATTTCAACTGGCGAAAACTGATCAATAGCATCATTCCAAGCTTCAATAATCAGATCCTGCCAATCATCAAAATCATCACCTCTGAGTCTAACCGGTCGGCTGTCTGCGCATCTGGGTCTGTGCAAATGGTCAACATACCATGTTGTTATATAAGCAACAAAACCTTCTTCGGAGCATTCAACAAATCCCATTTCATTGAACGCGTGCGCAAGATGACGTTTCCAGTTAGGAAGACAAACAGAGTTCACCTGGGATGACAAGGCCCTCTGTGCGATGGAATGCAATCCAATGGTGCTTTCAGGTGTCCGGTAAATGGATGCTTTATACTGCGTCAAGGCAAGTGCACGGTCCCTTCTCGGCTGTGCAGTGCAATCAAGGATGGCTGCATTTTCATCATCATCAATTGAAATCGCGAAATTTAAGGCTGTCTCTAAAGGGACTGCGGAATTCAGCGGGGGTGTAGCCACAACGCGCAGGTAAGTGCCATGGTGGATTGTTCGAACACGACCATCCTGCTCTGGCCAGAGGTTCAGATCCCAATACACCAGACATCTATCCCCTTGCAAAAAACAGTAATTAAACAGCCTTGCAAGTCGCAGAACATATGCACGCGTAATCTGAGGGACAACCCTATGAACGCTTCTGGTGACTTCAGGCGCACGCAGCAAACCTATGGTTTGTCCCGGGAAGTGAACTTCAACGTCCAAAATGATCAGCTGCTCAGTGGAGCCTTGCGGCAAGTCATTCACATATTGTAAAATGACCGACTCCTCTGCATCATGCTGACCAACAAGTGCGCATTGGACGTGGTGAATGCCAATCAAATTACGCAAATGTTCTCCCAGAAAATGAGCAATCTCATGCAAGATGGCATTGTAGGTGCCCCATCGGATGAAACAGTGCACAACATGACGACCTAGTCTGTACACTTGGACTCCTTGCCACTGTTCAAATTGGGTAACTGAATCAGGCAAAGAGGTATCCGTGAGACACTCAGCATCTTCAGGATAATCAAACTCTTCATCTGCAGCATCACTAGATCTTTGGTTGGCGTCTGCAACACGATCATTGCTGGCTTCATTCCGTGGACCATTTGACACTCGATGTCCTGAGTGACTTGAGTGAGGTCGAGAGGAGCTAGCAGCCTGTTGATTGGGCAATGGTGTAATATATCCAGCAAATCCATGTCCATCAAGCATGTAATGAGACGGAACAAGGGAAAAGGGGACCTGTTGCCATCCAAAGAAAAAAATACACCTATGAGTGTTGCAGAGATGTGAGATATCTGCAGCCGCTGCCAGTCCAACCCCACTGACTTCATCTGGTAATGAAATGGCAAGTGCAAAAGGTCGCAATGATCCTTGAATATCAGAGTGATGCACAGTGAGCAATCCAGCAAATCGATCAGCATCCGTCCCCTGCACAACAAGAACATCAGCAACAACTTGCCTTTGCAGGAAACTGCGATCTGGATCTGGCATCACAGTGAAAAAGTGAACATCTTCTTGTGGTTGAATCATGTCACGCCATGAAGAGGAAATTTCACGTTGCCACAAAACCCATCGATGATCAAGCTCCACAAACCTAGGAACAACCCAACGTGGGAAATGATAATGATGCACGTACCAGGTTCGGATGAGAAAGGTGTTTTCCATCAGGAAGTCATGCGGCAGAGCCTGGAAACCACTAAGCCCAAAAATATCAGTCACAAACGCAGGTGGTGGCGGAAGGTGAACATGATTTGGCTGGGCATTCCGTGGTGCTGTACTAGCCGCTGCAACCCGTTGTGGGACATTATGGAAATCATCAGTCAGTCGACCCTGACGGACTCCTGGTCCTTTGCTCACTGTGTCAGTCTTCCTAACAGGTCGACCAATGTCACTTGTGGGACAACCTCTCAGTGGCCTACGGGTCCATGGTTTTTCGGCCCATGTGGCCAAATCAGAGGCATTCATGATGGTACAATGCATGCTGAGTTCATCTTCCAATCCAATATGGATTGTTGCATCACAGTGAAATTGCCCTCTTCTGGATGGCATGTCAGAATGGCTTTTAATCAGTCGAATGCAACTACGCAATGGTAAAACACCAATACGGCCTGGTTCAATGCGAGGAGCCAATTCGAATGATCTGATTTCATGGTCATTCATGACATCAGTCAGAGGTCTTGCAAGGGATTCATCGCATGAGTCTTGAAAAACACTCCAGCTAAGTTTCCAAGCTGACATGACTGCATCAAATGGGTTGAGGTAATTGGGTTCATGTTGAATCGAATGGTGCCAATGTGAAAATTGATAAAGATCAAAATTGTTCAGTTGAAAATGGCATGCTGCACGCACCGTTGGCGGCGGTGCGTAGGCATCAGCTATTTCAGCTGTTGGTCTGGCGCCATGCAAGCTATGGCTCAGCACTAGCAATGCACCGCCACCAGTCAGGTCTGCTTGGCATCCGATGGCGCTCCAGAAAAGCCTGGCACACCAAAGGGTTGCATGGAACGCAAGCGTTTCTTTTCTCGCTCTCCGTCGTCCATGGTCATGTCCTCTGGCTCGCTGACTTGCTGTGGAGCTTCCACATTCAGGGCTTCTGCACAGGTCTGCAGAACTGATTGGAGTTGGCTTTGCAGCTTTTCCTCCTCCGTATCTGCATCCGTATTCCCTTCTTCCTGCTCCGCTGACACTGCCGCAATCGGTGGCATGGCAGCTAGCGTAGCTTGAGAGGCTTTGACTGACAGCGCTTGTATCTCTTTTCGGGCTGTTTCGATGTCTGCTCGAGCTTTGGTAGCGGCAGCATGAAACGTTGCTTGCTGCTTCTGGTAGTCCTGCAGCTGAGCCTGCCACGTAGTGACTGCTTCTGTGATGTGCTTGATCCATCTTGTGCGATGGATCTTCTTTGATTCCAGCGCTTCCGTCAGCATCTTCTGTGCCTTGCCCAGCATTGTGGTCGCAGCATGCAAATTCTTTGTAACAAATTTGCTGTTGTCCTTTTCCAAACGATCGATGTCCTTGTCCATTTTTTTGATGAGTTCTTGGGTCTCCTGTGGAGCAGAGCTGATGTCCGGATAAGCAACTCGGAGCGCCGCAACACATTCCCGTTTCTGGGCTAATAGCTCCAGATTGTTGGAATTGGTCGGTGTAGCTGCTGCCGGCATCAGGTTCTGCGTCGTCCCTTCCGGAGAAGGCCATGGTGGCATTGTTGCTGTCAAGGGCGTGAAAGGCGAGGTACTGTAGGTGTTCTGTGCCTCTGTGCTTGGCACATTCAAGCCTGCATCTTTGTGCTTGTGCTTGCCCACTCCCTTGCCTTTGCTTTTGCGCCCCCTCGGGCTCTGTGAGGTCTGATGGACTCGTGGACTTTTGGACCGGCTCTGCGAACGATTTGAATGGCATTGCCAATCTTTCCAGTCTTCTTCCCAAGCGTACTGCGACGTCTGTGGCGGCCAGGCATCTCTGTACGCCGTCGCCTTGTGCGCTCTGGGTTCTGTATTGTGGCGAATACCTGTTGACCAGTGGGCTCCACAGATCACACATTTTTCCGCCACTTTCTTGTTGATACGCTGGCAATGAATGCATCGCCATGGGAATAATTCCATCTCCATGATTCTGTACTGCTTCTTGATCTCTATGTTGATCCTCCTCAAAAATGATGGGTCTTTGGAATGATGCCCAGCAAGTGTCCAGTAAAGGCGCCGTAGAGCCGGCGGGTTGAGAACTTTCTCCCGCTTGCAGTGCAAGTGCCACGTGTGTCTGGCCAAAGCACGTTGACGGCGCAATCGCCGTTTCTGGGTAGAGCTCAACAATGGAATCTTGCAAGAAGTCGAAACCAATAATCAAAATGAGGAACAGCAGCAAGAAGGAGCACATAAATTGTAATACACCAAAAATTTAGACACCAGGGATTATCCAGTTCAGTGTCAAATAGGCAAAACCCAGGTGTTTGGTACACCTGCAGAGACCGACCAAACAAAGTCACAATCAATGTGCCAATCCAGGAAAAATCAACCGAATAAACAAAGAAGGTGGCAAAGATGGATATTGTTAAGTGCAAATTCCTGAAGGTCAGAACTGTGGCAAATCGACGAGGAACAAGTCGGACTCGAAGAAATAGTCACAGAAGTGCCAAGCCAATCAGACAAATGCAGCACGAGACAGGGTTTTCAAAGGTTGACCCCTAACCTGCAAGGTCCGGATACCCACAATCCGGCACCCGTGGGAGAAAAGTCGCACACTCCCACTAAGGCGATGGCCCCAAAGACCCCGGGAAAACACGGCGAGGGGAGTTTTGAACCAAAACCTTAGGTGTTGACTTAAGAAAACCAAAAATTGCCTTAGCTGTCAGGTTCCTAGTTTTACTTTTAGAAGTTGCAAAAGATAGTTTTGAAAAAACGGGATTTGCTTGTGCTCCCCCTGGGGTGGTAGTTAAAATTAAAAACATTTTTTCCACTGTTACAGGGACTGGGCTTCCCACAGGATAGTCACTAGAGTACAGTATATGCTTCGCCAATACAGCCAATACATGATGTTATGAAAGAGTAAAATACAATGAAAGTCTTATTATCACATTTCACATTTTTATGTACACTATGTACGCTATACATTGTGGAATACTCTATGGCTTGTGGCCCTCTTTGAAAACTCTACAAGCCAAAGATAGAGTATTCAAGGGCCCCAGAAGCCAAAAGGACCAAAAAAGGTCACAAAAAACAATTGCAGAAGAAAAGAAGCAATAGCCCATTCACAAAATTTGCTTCTAATGCATTTCCTTTTCTTAAGCTGGACTTTTTCCTCTCCGTTTTTCATTCTTTTCTGGTTTGGCGAAGCAAAAAAAATAGCAATTTTAGCTTTCGGGACTCTTGAGTGTATGATGTGGGGTCTCTAGAGTCCTGAAAGGGGGCCAAAGAGTGTCCCGTAGAGTATCAGAAATGTAATGTAAATCAGTGATCAGTAAATCAATGTCAATATAATCAATATATAATTCATATCAATGTGTCCACGTGGTATGTGGTGAAAAGTAATTGATAAAGCGGCACCTTTTTAAACACTATGCATTGTAATCAACAGCCCTAGAAGGTCAAATTGACCAAAACCGGTCTCAAGATACAATTGCGGAAGGAAAGAAACAGTAACACATCCATAAAATACATCACATTTTCCAACTCAATTGTTTTTGATTATTTCCTCTAACAGCAAGGTAAAGGAGAAGGTTCCATTCACTTTAGCTAGACTTTTTCCTTTCCGGTTTAGCGAAGCAAACAAATAGCAATTTTGGCTCTCGGGACTCTTGAGTGTATGATGTGGGGTCTCTAGAGTCCTGAAAGGGGGCCAAAGAGTGTCCCGTAGAGTATCAGTAATGTAATGTAACAATTAAATGCATATTTATATCATATCAATGTTGATACATTGCCACAATTTTAAACACTAGACATCGTAGTCGATGGCCCTAGAACGCAATGGTTTCTCAACGGGGTTGTACATTGTCACATTGGCATTGGCAAGCTGTGCAAATGCTTTGGATACCGGATGCAATTTTCGTCCTGCGCAGAAGGTCATTTTTGATGTATTGAAAGAGAACGTAAGGCTAGACATCTACACGCTGTCAATGTTGTCTCTGAGTTGTGGAAGCTGCTGCCGCTTCAGCATTTGTTTTTTGTGACGAAATATTGCGTTCAAAGAAGTGATATGTGATATTCCCGCTTACTCTGCCTCTATGCTCGTGCTTTTTCTCCTGCTTTTTCCCGTGCTTTTTTCTTGTGCTTTTTCTCGTGCTTTTTCTCGTGCTTTTTCTCGTGCTTTTTCTCGTGCTTTATCTCGTGCTTTTTCTCGTGCTGTTTCTCGTGCTTTTTCTCTTGCTTTTTCTCATGCTTTTTCTCGTGATTCTCGTGCTTTTTCTCGCGCTTTTTCTCGTGCTTTATCTCGTGCTTTTTCTCTTGCTTTTTCTCGTGCTTTTTCTCGTTCTTTTTCTTGTGCTTTGTCTCGTGCTTTGTCTCGTGCTTTGCATCCTGTTCACAGTGTCAAAGCCCACCTTTTAGTATTCGTGCCATCCTGGTCTTCGCCTAGTGCTTTTCTTTCCGCTCCCTTTGGATTTCTCCTTGACTGTTTTGGAAATTTCAGTGGCGCTTTTTCAAGATTTGCTCGTGCAAAATCTGGTGCTGTTTTTTGTGCTTTTTTTGTGCTTTTTTGGAATCTGGTGCTGTTTTTTGTGTTTTTTTTGGAAGGCGCCTTATTAATTATATTTATAAAGAGCACAAAACATAGCACCAAAAAAAACACCAGCAAAATGTGATTTTTGGATATTTTTGGTGGATGCCATTTCGGCCTTTGAAACTTCGTTAGCTCAAGTTAGCTCCTTTTTCTCGGTCTTTTTCTCGTGTTTTTTCTCGCGCTTTTTCTCGTGCTTTTTCTCGTGCTTTTTCTCGTGCTTTTTCTCTTGCTTTTTGCTCGTGCTTTTTCTCTTGCTTTTTCTCATGCTTTTTCTCCTGCTGTTTCTCGTGCTTTTTCTCGTGCTTTTTCTCGTGCTTTATCTCGTGCTTTTTCTCTTGCTTTTTCTCATACTTTTTCTCTTGTAGCCGTGCTTTTTCTCGTGCTTTGTCTCGTGCTTTTTCTCATGCTTTTTCTCATGCTTTTTCTCATGCTTTTTCTCTTGTAGCCGTGCTTTTTCTCGTGCTTTTTCTCGTGCTTTGTCTCGTGCTTTGTCCCGTGGTCACAGTTACAAGAAAAAACAATGGAAAAAACAAAAAAAACAAAAAAACATCAGTTTTACTTGCGTTTAGTATTCGGGACCCTGGTCCCCCGGAGGGCCGCCCATGGTGGATCCTTTCGCCTTCTTCGAGGACAGTGGGACAGCAGGTTTGACACGGAATATAGTCTGAAAGTTTCAAACAGAAGATCTCCCTAGATACCTTACAGAGATGCAGCTGAAATCCTTTCAAGAGGTCTTTGCATGATCTTGTACAGGTCCTTGCGAAAAGAGCTGATGGAGATCCTTGTGAGGAAGATCTTGTAGAGCTCCTCGTCAAGAGATTCTTGCGCGAAGATGTTCTAGGGATCTTTGTACGAAGATCCTTGTAGAGATATCTTGCAGAAATCCATTCAAGGGGTCCTTGCGTGATCTTCATTATGGAGATCCTTGTGGGAAGATCTTGTAGAGATCCTTGTGCGAAGATCCTTGCAAAGACCCTGCTGAAATCTTCTCCAGAGGACCTTGCATGATCTTGTACAAGTCCTTGTAAGAAGATCCTTTAGAGGTCCTGATGAAATCTTCCTATAAAGGATGTCCTTGCATGATCTTGTACAGGTCCTAGTGCGAAGATCTTGCAGAGATCCTCATGATTTCCTCTCAAGAGGTCCTTGTGCGCTCTTGAACCAGTCCTTGCAAGATCTTCTAGAGATACTCGTGAGATTATCTTGCGCACGTCCTTGTAAGAAGATCTTCTAGAGATCCTAATGAAACCCTCTTAGGACATCCTTGTATGATTTTGTACAGGTCCTTGTGAGAAGCTCTTGTGGAACCCAAGCGAAGTCTTGGTCAGTAGACATAATGTTGGTCCTTGCCCCATTATTATCTTTTTTAGTCAAGTCATCCCCCTCAATATTGTCGCCCTCAACATCATCATCTTTCTCCTTCTCAACATCATCATCCTCCACCTTAAAATCCTCCACTTCATCTTCCGCATTATCATCCTCACCATTATTCTCCTCAACATCATCATCCTCCACCTCATCTTCCTCAGCATCATCATCCTCAACATAATTGTCTGCGACATTCTCCTCCTCCTCCTCATCTTCATCATCATCATCATCATCCTCATCATCCACAACATTAACAACAACGTTGTCATACATTATCCTCCCACTCCACCACACTGTTTGGGGTCTCTTGCCGAAATAGTTTTTACCCCATGGCCCAATTTTTTTGGCTCAAATAGTATGTCTGGCAAGAAACCGGATTGTATCTCAGGTAAGATGTTAGATAGAATGTCCGATAAGATGTCGCTTTTGATGCCCGACCATATTATGTCAGGTAGAGTGTCAGTTGGTAGGGCTCACTTGAAGAAAGTCGTTGACAACTAAAAATCTGCATTAGGAATCTCCAGTGGGGTTTTCAACATACAAAGTGTGCGTTTTGAATCTTGGATGCCATTCTATTTTCCAACTTTTTGGTGGAACAAGTCAATGCAAAATGCCACATCATGCTTCCAAAATGATTATGTCACTTCAGGCAGCGCGCTAAAAAGGGCAGCTCCAAAACAGATGGCTTTTTGAAGCCGGCACTTTTGGAAAACAAACCTCCATTTTTTCACTTTTTCTCGTGGTTTTTCTGGTGCTTTTTTTGTGCTCACTGTTACAGGAACTAGGCTTCCCACAATATATATTATATATATATATTATACACTATATGATATATATATATATACACGGTATATTAGACCTATACAATATGTACATACACACACACACTGGTCCCAGGTGGCATGTGACGCTATTGTTATCATGCTACACAGAAAGCTGGTACAATCGCAACAATCCTTACTTAGGTTAGAGTCACGGCCGGCAACATCTGAGAAGGGTCGAGGTGAGAAATGGGGATGTAACCTACATCAGAGTAGGATTTGCATGCAGTTGAAGAGGCTTGAAAGATCTTGAAAGGCTTCATTTTCAATTTCCGTGTGCATTTTCCTTGCGGTTTCTCCATTTCGAATTTTCTGGTGGGATTTTTGGATTGAGGCAACTGGTTGAAGACCAGGCTCTCAGGCTTCAGCTCTTCAATTGCTGCTTGCGATTCGGCACATCGCTGGGTAGCCTGGCCGAGCTTGAGACCTTGAAATCTATGAAAAGTCGATGAAAAGTCGATGAAAAGTCGATGAAAAGTCGATGAAAAGAACATAAGACATATTAAGAAATACGTGTCACTATAAGAAATTTGAATTGAGCCAGGACAACACGAGAAATTTGAATCGTCGACATTGTCGATCGAGAGTCTATCGTCATGATGTGTCACGATATCATTCTCTTACTTCAGTGACTTCAGTGTACTGCATGTCCTCCACCTTTGGCCGGTTGGTCGTTTGGTCGCAACCATGCCGCAGACCTGACAGGACTGGGCTTTTGAATTGCTGCAGATTGCGAAACACGGACTACGTTTTGGACTCAGGTCTCCTCAGGACCTGCAACTTACAGGAGATAAGCACTTCACCTTTCAACACGCAGGGTAAGGGCAACTTGTGAATGATTGCAAGATTTGTCACACACTGAACTTGCTGTCTTATTGCTGTCTTCAGGTATCGACATCAGCCTCTTCAATGCCGCTTTGAGTGCCTGTGAAAGCGCTTCTGCATGGCAGATGGTGTTTGAGGCAGATATCCTAAAGTCCTAAAGCATATCTGTTGATATGCAATTCCTTTGCGATTCCTTTGGTTTGTTGATTTTTTGTGCCAGTCTTGTGATCAGAATCTGGTTCCGTCAGCACCAAGAGTTGCCAGGTTTGGTCCTCTCTGAAGGCGCCACCAAGATACACCGAGATACACAGAGAAATGACAGATACAGAGCTTTCCCTGCCTGTTGAGCCTTCGCGTGGCGAGGTCACCAAATTGAATCCTGATTTGATTTCTTGGAACACGCATCTTGGATCATCTTGGATCATCTTGGATCATTGAATCAAGTGAATTGTTTCCGACAACTCTGCTTCTTTCAGTGATTGATGTGCATCATTAGTGCCTTCCACACATAATACTAATATAGGTTCTTGCATTCTTCATGTCATGATTCAATGATTGTTCTTTAATGTCTTTAATGCATTGTTTCACGATATTGTTTACAAAATCAAGGTTGCTGGGATCTTGCCGGGAGAGTTGGCCAGATGCTTTGGAGGTCTGCATTTTCCGACAAGTCGTGTTGATTCTCTTCGATTATATGTTGAGCACTGTCAGTACTGTTGATTATGCAGAAAGCGTTTTTGGCGCCTTGTAAACCCATACATCTTTGCTTTTGATGAATCGGGGGAGTCAGTACTTATGAGTAATAGCCCGCCAAAGCAGTTGCACTGACTTCTTAGGTGCAAGATGTTCCTGCTTGGGTGAGTGGACTTTGGATTTCCTTTTTTAGAATGTCAAGGTGGTGACCAATCGAAGCCATTCCTAGCACCTTCGTATTTTGGGCTGTCTCTACAGAAACTCGCCTTCGTATTTTGGGCTGTCTCTACAGATTTGAGTACCACAGATGAATGATCAGAGAACCAGGGAAGACAGTCAATTTTGTATCGTACTGCCGCACATCATTGGATATGAAACTGTGATTCCTTTTCACATAGGTGGGGACGCCATTCGAAACGGCAGCCACTAGCCACTGAGAGCTGCCATTAAGAAAGGCACACAGTGCCATGCAAAGACAGCGAATGCGTCCAGATGTAGCACCAGCCTCAGGAGAAACGCAATTCTTAAGTACCTTAAATGAAAATTCAGCAGTTTTGTGTGAAACAATTTTAAGAGGGGAGGCTGCTTAAGAAGTCAAGACCACATTGAGGTGTCACACACAGCGTTGCTAGCAGCTTGTGAGCGAGGTTCCATTTACGTTGCACTCTTGCCGAAAGAGTTTGCTTCTTTGGTTTCTGTTTTTTTTCATCTTCGAGGAATCAAACAAGACACGTTTCTTTTCCCGAAGTTTAGACCGCATGGAAGGTCTCCGATGGTCTTTCACGCTTTGGCAGCTCGAGCAGGTGCCTATGCAAACAAGAATGTGAGCAGACAAGAGCAGAATGGAACAAAGTGAAACCTTGGATCAGGTATGATGACCCATGATGACCCACGATGACCCATGATGACTCCAAACAAAGTGAACATGTGAAGCCGGTGAAGCCCCATCCAAATATGAACCAAAGATGGCAAGGGTCAGAGAAACTTGGCCAAGTGCCAGGATGGTTTAAGCCTGAACGTGTCTTGTGCTTAGTCTGAGCGGCCGGGTGGCATCTCCTTCTATGAAGGCAGAAAAACAGCTTTTAGAGAACTGTACAGAATTCTACGAAATTGCATGAAATTATACATATATATATACACAATACTGTATACACATTGGAAATTGTATGACCTCGTATGAAATTGCATGAACATACATGAAATTGTATGAACTTGTTGCTATTCCACGCTATTCAGATTTGTGTGTAAAGTAAACATCTGAGACTTCAGGCAGGCTTTCACGGCTGCTGCTACCGCCTGTCAGAGCGCTGGTCACTTAGGGTCCGCTCCTGAGGACTGTTCGAAGCCATCCATGTGCAGCTGTCAATTCATGCTTCATGCTTTAGGACGAAAGGAATCAATTTGAATCAATGATCATTTTTCATAGGCCGTTTTGCTTTTGATCTTTGCACATACAAGACAACAGCATCCCAGCCTTTGCCACAAAAGGGACGAAACGGAGTATATTCATGCCACAGGTGAAGTTTTCCCAGCTGACATTGCCATTCTACCGCAAACTCACTTCACCACTTCATCTTGTTGGCCACGTGATTTTCTTTTCGTTAAACATTATTACTATTATCATTATGTAATATGATATACAATATATCATAATATTTATATTTGGTATTGATCTTTACTTGCTCTTTTCTTCCACTTCCAGGTTTGCCCTGGCAATCATCGACAAGATTCAGGATCAGGCAGAACGAACATCAACTCCAGCAAGCTATCCAAATGCATCACAGAAGTATAACAAGGGAAACTCCGGAGGAAGTTACAAAGAAATTCTATTATATTCTATTCATCCATGAAAGAGTGTGGATTGGATATTTAGAAAGCCAGACATTTTGACCTACCTTCAGTAAAAGTTGGTTATCCATCAATTCTAGACAGGCAATGTAGGGAAAAGATGGGAAAAGCAGTCTAGGACTAAATGACAACTCTAGAACTGATCATTTTCGCCTTGAGTCATTTGGAGGCATTGACGCCCGATGCTGCAGTTTTTAGCACTGCCTTGTTGGCTTGTGAGCGTCTCGGCAGCTTCGAGAAGGCCTGAACCTCATACGTCATCTCGGTCATTTTGTAAGCTTATATGGTGCCAATGATGAAAGCAAAAGTAAAGCAGAAAGAATCTGAAAGAATCATGGACAAAGATTGATGAACAGCAGCAACGGAATAGTAAAGGACAGGCAGTTAGTGGCTTCAAATGCTTTCAATAGCCTTGGCGTTTCCAAGGCCGAAGCAATCCTTGAAGAATCAGCCAGACAGCGTTTGTGATCCCAGTTGCAGCATTGAACCTCTTCTTGAAAAGAGGCAGTATAGCACAGGTTCCCCTTACTATTTGAGCAAAGAAACGCTTACTTGCAGAATCTTGCAGAACTGACTGAAGGCGAACAATCAGATATTGAGTTGACTGACTTGTTGCCACTCACTGCAGCTCAATGGGCTTCAGCCTGGCAAAGGGTCAAAAGTCGTGGCAGAAATAGTTCGGAGTACCAGACACGAAGAAAGGAGACAAATTCAGAGTTTGCGTGGAAGCATCTTTTTCTACTGTTGCAAAGTGAGAAAGTGAAAGGTCGTATAAAGAGAAAGAAAAGGTGAGAGGCACACAGATCATGACCATTGGTTTGGCAGCAAGGCTTTTTCTGCGTACAGCAAAGCTTCTTTGGGGGGTGCTGCAGCGCTAATGGCGGTTTGGAGTCGCAATGAATGACGAGGTCACGTAGTGCAGAGCTGTTCAAACATAACCGTAAGTTACAGACAGCATTTGACCGGAAGTGTGTCACACACTGTATTTTCTGATTGCTGAACCGTCAGCAGATGTCGGTGCAATCGATGCCTGGATTTTCCTCTGAAACCATCTGAAACCTGTTTTTTCTTTCTCGGTCTTCGTCGGTCTTCTGTTTCTTTGAGTCCATTTACATTGATCCAATATTGATCCAATGTGCTCCTCAGATGTCCCCGTCTTGACCAGCAACCCCATGCCTTTCGTGCCAGGATCTACACAGCGAGGAAACTTCTCCGGGTTTGTTTGACAATTTTGACAACCTGTGAAGTTCCATGAAGTTCCTAGTTCTATCTTTGTCACGGATTTGGAAAGCGGGTGTTGCCTTCACCGAATCGAGATACAAGAGATCACAAGATATCGTTATGGCTTATGGGTTGTTGTTTTTTGTTGATATCCATTGCCCAGGAAGATGGCGAAGATGACGAAGATGACGAAGATGGCGACAGTGCCGGATTTCTGGGCAGATCCAGCGACGCGCTGGCAAAGCTGCGCCCTTGGCGACGTTTGCTGAAGCTGTAAAGGAAGATGAAAACTGAGTGGAATGAGAGAACTGTAAGAATTGCTCCCGGCGATGTGGCAAGAATTTTCATTAAGTCATTCAGATACGGCTGTGATAAAATAGATGTGTGGTGTAGATATTGTGAGTGCGCGATTTGCTTGGAAGTTGTCATAGGATCTGTAACAGTGAATGAATATGGCACAATATCTTTCACCTTGGAAAATTTGCCCCTAGGATCAGTTTTTCTATCCGTTTTGGTTCCAAGTTTGGGGTCCCTTCTGGACTCAATTTTTTTACTTCGTTCAGAGTCAAGGGTCACGTCGTGTCACGTCGTGTCACGTCGTGTCACGTCGTTCAGTTGAGGTCTCTGCTGGACACGCAAGTGAGCAACGAGCTCAACCTGCTGAAGTCCGAGGTGAAGAGATTGCGCTCCAAGGCCAGACAAGACTTTGACAAAACCAACATGTTTTTTCAGGCGAAAAAAAGCAAAGAATCGAATGAATCCAATGCATAAGTGCAATTACTGCGTTTGAGCTCAAGTTGGCTGTCTCCCATGCCGAATTACCGCGGGCATATCAACACTTCGCTCGTTGCAAAGAAAACTGAGTTTATCTTATTTCTCTTCTACAGGGCTCGCAGTGTTTCAAAAGTGTTTCCGGGTAGATCTTGTATGGACACTGTCATCTTATTCCCATTTAAAACATTTTAAAACCACCCGTCCATGACAGTGGAGAAATTGTGACATGACTTGATCACCAAGTGAGACTCTGCCCGAGTGTTCCACTGTGTTCCACTGCTGCAACTTTCTTTTACGCTCGGCGCAAGGTCCAAAGCCTTCAGCGCGAAAAAGATGACATGGTGGACAACTTCCGCTCGACGACGCAGATCCTGCTGAATCGCATCAAGGACTCAGATTGGCACCCATATGGAATCAGATTATGAATATTTATGAATCATATTACATGATTGTACTGTCCTGCTCTTCGCAAAGTGTGAAGTCTCCTCTGTGGAACATGTTGAACATGTTGTTTTTTTCTTCCAAGCCCTTGCTTGCGCCTGGAAGATTCATAGACAATGTGCGCTATGCTGTGTGCCTTCATTCTGATGCGTCGACCCGTTCATAGCGGTGCGCACCTTCTTGTATTTTGATTGTATTTTCAAGTATTTTCGTTATTTTTCGTTACTGTTCACTTTCATTTGAGCTTCCTGCAGCTTCCTCCGGTCCCTTCCCCAAATGTGGCAGTCTGTTTGTCCCTGTTTGTCCTTAGCGTTTCTCGTGTTGCCATGTGTTGCCTCGTGGATTCGCCGTCACAGGAGCTTGAGGCAGGCGATGCCCCAAGCCGTCCGCAGACAGCGGCCGTGATCGATCGGATTGAGGTGGGGTGATCAGGTGATCAGTTGGATCAGGCAGTCTGTTGGGTCAAAAGGACTCAAAGGGCTTGCACACCCCAGACCTTCAATGACCTTTATATGTCCTTTGTATTTGTAGTTCGATATGCCAGTATTGACTTTTTGTTCAAGATTACATTTGTAACAGAGGCACATTCCAGCAGCAGAAGTTAACAAGATCGGAATCAGAAGTTCAATACTACTGCAAAGCATAGCGTCCGCAGGCTGAGACTATCGAAGACCATGCAATTTCTCATTTGATTGTGTTACATTATGTCTGATCCAAGAAAATTGCAAGACACGAACCCGACTCTTGTGCCATGGCTGCTTCGCCGCTGCGCATTGGGCTGATTGGCTCAACTCGCGGCTCCTCTTCCCAGCTGACTTTTGACACAATCAAGAAGGGCGAGCTAAACGCAGAGATTGTGGTAGTGGTTTCGAACAAGAAGGATGCTGGAATCTTGGGGAGGGGCCAGAACGAAGGAGTGAAGACGGTGCATGTGCCCTGCAAAAAAGGTACTCCTCGTGCTGAGTATGATGCTGAAGTCACTAAGGTTCTTCGTGAAGCTGGAGTGGAACTTGTGATGATGTGTGGCTTCATGCGTATCGTTAGCCCTGAATTCTGCAAAGACTGGGAAGGTCGTTGTATCAACATCCATCCCAGTTTGCTTCCGAAACATGCTGGAGGCATGGACTTGGAAGTGCACAAAGCTGTAGTGGATGCCGGTGAGACCGAAAGTGGCTGCACTGTGCATTTGGTCACAGAGGAGGTCGACGGAGGTCCCATCGTGGTACAACGTATGGTGAAGGTGGAGCCCGGTGAGACACCCGAGTCTTTGAAAGCCAAAGTTCAAGCAGAAGAAGGGCCAGCCTTCGTCGATGCCATCAGACAGTCTCCCTTTTATCGCGAGAAAACCAGCTGAGATCAGCTGAGATCAGCTGAATGACGCAGAATGATGCTGACATATGCTGACCACAAAGCAATGCAATGAATGCCACACAGCACAGCTGATGCAAACTGAAAGCAAGGCGAAAGCCTGCCCTGTAGGCATCAACACTTCTGAAGTACTTCTGTTTTAGCCGGCAGCAACTCATGCCCTTTTATCTCTTGACGCCGCCTTTCACCTCTTGAGAAGAAAAAAGCGGATGACTCTCAGATGACATGTGTTTTTCGAGTGTGAGTTGAAATCTAAAATATTTTGTGATTTTTATGTTTGTTCAATTCTTTTCAATTCTTTTCAATGCATTTCTTTTACGTTTTTCAATGTTTTTCAATGTCTGTGATACCCGAGACACGTGCTGCACGCTGCGAGGCGCGGCCACCTCGACCTGCCAGCCGAGGCAAATGATCCGTGATCGTTTGATGTCTGATGTGTCTCAAACGACGAGTGCTGAGTGGTCATGAGCAGATCATGAGCACATCATGAGCAGAAATCAAAGTAGGATGAAAGTGCTTTCATCTGTGCGTTTGCCTTTCTGGTTTGGGAGATCCAGGGGCATGGTTCATGTTTGCACTTAGTAAACTCTCTAAACTGTTTACACGCTCCGCCGCTCCGCCTTTCGATGACCTCGGGAGTTTCTCAGTTTTCTTCCCTTGGCCTATCTTGGCCTATCTTGGCCTATCTTGGCCTATCTTGGCCTCGTCCGCCTCGTCCGCCTCGTCCAGGTGTTTTGGCGCGGCCCGAGGTGATGAGCCTCGAGGACGACCTTGGGACGACGGTAGCAGAAGCAGCGATTTCGCTGTGCATTCGTTCCACTCCATGGTAGCATCAAAGAAAAAAACAATTTGTTGATCAAAGTATTGTCCATCAGGAAAGACATAGCTCATAGAGCTCTTATCAAGCAATCAATTTGCATCGAAAAAGAACATAATTAGTAACATAATGTATTCATGAAAGCAATCAAGAAGGAGGGAAGGAAAGCAGGGTGGAAGGAAATCAGCACATGTTGGCTCCCTGTTGTAGTGGCTAGACTTCTAGATACAGTACTTCAATTTTTTTAGCTGAATGTTTCTTTTTTGGTGCATTTTATTTTTGATGCATCAACAAGCAAACTATTTGTCTAAAATGGATTAAAATGGCTCTAGTTTTTGATCCCTCACTCTTTCTATGGCAAGCTGCATCCTGCTGCATCCTGTTGTATCTTTTCAGTCGATTTCAGGACTCCTCAAAAGGTGGAAGTCTCAGATTTTGGTCACGGCAAGAGGAAAGGGGGCAGCGGGGCAGCACCAGATTGCGATGACCGGAGGTGACTCGGCGTGTGGCAATTGTGGCCGTGACATCCCGTCAAACAACCTGGTCTCTCACAGCGTCTTCTGCTACCGTTGCTGGCTTACTGCCACGGCTGCCACGACCGAATTTCATAGAATTCATATGCTTTGCCAATCTTTGCCACAGGGATGCCAGTGATTTCTCATGGTCTTATTGTACACCTGGCACGGTGGAGATTCTTGCAGAGGCAATAACTACAGATGCCCAGCGTGTGGGGATGTTATTGCTGTTCGGGACAAGGCTGGAAGTCCAACCTCGCTGCATGTGAATTCTTACAGTCAAACCTAGAAGCACCATACGCGGCTTTGTGAACGCTACATCCGCTACATCCGCTACATCCGCTACCCAATTCCAATTTCTTGGGCCTTTGGGTTTTGCAGGAAAGCCATATGGATCAGTGGACTGATGCTGCACGCTTGATGGATGCTATATGGCGGAGTGATTCTGCTTGACCCTCAGAAAACGGTCCCCTTTAATATAACCTAGATTCTTGCCATTTCTTGCCCATGATTCTTGCCCTTGTGATCCTTCGTGCAGCAGATTTCTTTTTTCATGACAGTATTCATTCACTTGGGGCCTCATTTTCTCGTAGTTTGCATGTTCACGGTTTGTAGACAGATCTGCAGTCCTTTAATCCACAATGGAAAACTGAGCGCTGAAAATGAAGGAAGCCTCTTTCCTGTGTACCCTGCAGATAGCCTGGGACGTTGCTTTAATTCTTTTCATTGTCAACTGCTCAACTCGTTTCTTCATTTTCCCAAAACAATCCTGTGCTTCCTGTGCTTCCTGTGCTTCCTGTCTCCTTGCCCGAGGACATGATCCAGTCCATGGCTGCGCATGGGATGGACTTCACCACCGCCGTCCATCCAGAGACTCAGGACGGGACATTTGGGACATTTGGCAACGAGTTCTGTTCTTTTTGTTCAGGGCCTTCAGGGTTCCAAGCGGTTCCAAGTAAAATCAAAGGAAGATGCTTAGATAGGCTTAGAGATGAGGATTTTGATATTTGACAAAGACTGCCAGACCAGCCTTCCCCTTGTCGAGGCATCGCTAGATCTCCACAAAAGCAAATGCAATACTAAGAGACAACGAAAAGGCAGGTATTTTCCGATCCTTTTACTATTTTTGACTCACTGCCAACTACTGACACAGATTCACTCCTTTGCAGAAATTGCGAGGCTGAGATGAATAGGGACGCAAAGAAAGGATACGAAAGTGATGTACTACCTCTACTGTAGTGAAACACTTTCAAGGCATGAAAAAGTTGGAACACGGGCCCAATAGGGATGCTACGTGCTGAGGAAGAGATGACTTTTCCGCATTCAACTTTGAATGCGATAGATGATAGCTGTTATTGTACATCCTATTAGGCCATCTCTGTTCAATACAAATCCGCTTCAAACTACGCAAAAGTTCGACCAAAAACCATTCCTGTTCGAAAATACAAACAGCCACTGAGAGAGACCCGAGAGCGAGCCATTTATTCTGGAAAATGTGCCAAAAACAACACCGCTGATTTTTCATCGAGACATATCGAGACAGCGATCTTGCTGCAAAGTCCCAAACCATGAAAACACTTTTCCCTGAAGGCGACGCCTTTCCTCATCAAAAGCATTCTGAGCAAACTGAAAATTTTGCCCGTGTTCTTGCCCATACACTTGAATCAATATCCTGTACTGGAGGTTTGGAAAGGTATCAGACGCCTACCAAACGTAGATTATTTCTCAATTTCTAAATGTTTCCATGACTTTGATCATGTACAACATCACCTAGCGTGCAGAGATGCTCTGCAAAGACTTCAGACAGCTCTAGACTTTGCAAAGTGTTCTGGGTCCTGGGGACTTCTGGCATCGCCTCATGTGGCTTTGTTCGGTTCGTTGATTTTGTTGTGACTGACTGTGACTGTAGCTGTTCGACCTTGTGACTTCTGCTTCACATCTCTGACAAGTTTCCTCGACTTTCTACAATTTCCTAGGCCTTCTGCAGTCTTCCTCTTTGCGCCTCCAAGGTCAAAGTCTACCAACTTGAATGACCTGCCTCCTCTGACTCTTCCCACTAGCCAGTCTTGTGGTTTCGTAATGCGCCTCTTATTCCATTTTAACTTTATCAATCTTTGTCAGATGTCTGTCTTCTCCTTCGGCATTTTCAGGACACCGTCCTTCACGCATCAGCTGGGCTCGGGGATGTCGAGCTCATCAGCTTCTTCATGGGTTATGGTGTTGAGGCAGTGTGTTTCGAAGACAAACTTCCTCAAACTGTGATTCAATGAGTCCTCGACAAAGTCGTTTGCCAAGTCGTCCGCGAAGTCTTCCTATCGTCTTGAGATCTTTGAACAACCAAGTGCCAGACTTTCACGCCAGGTGGACCCTGTCAACGGGCAGAATTCCACCCCTTTACACATTGCTGCTGAAGGCACCCAGACGCTCGGACCGTGAAGAGAGCACCTACGTTTTTTTGGGAAGTCAACTCGAAGGATCTCCAAGGATAGTTTCTCGATGTTTCTCGGATAGTTTGCATAGTATATTCATTATTTATATTTGCATGAAATTGCGTGAGTATTTGCAGAGATCCATTTCATTCCCATTTCATTCGGCAGCTGAGGATCCCGGCCATGAAGCTACTGGTTGAGTTAGGGGCTGATCTCAATGTGCCTCAGATTGGAACCCAGCCGCTAACGGTGCTAACGGTGCCGTTGGGCAACAAGTTGAAGCAGAGATGACAGGTTTACAAGGTCTCACTGTCTCATATGGGAATGGGTCAAAAATGGTCAAAACCTCTTGTTCCCGACTTGTTCCCATATTTTGCGGAATAAACTTATTGAATAAACATTCATTAACCAAATTAAGCAGCAATTCTAGGGTACCTAGTAACTAGGTACCAGAGTTTTGACGTTTTGACCCATAACCACATGAAGACTTACTTGGAGTGGTAAGCTGGTTGCACAATGCACTGTGCGGCTTTTTTCAGTGGACAGGTCATTCTTGTTTGTGGCAGGGTCTGTCCTGAACGGGCTGGTAGGATGACTTGACTTTGGCGTGTTTACTCCTCATTGCCCCATGTCAAGCCCAAATCCGTTGAAGACTTTAGCAATGTCATTTGTGTGATTTTCTGTGTGGTGCTTGTTGGCCTTTTGCATAGTGAGTGTTGAGCACCCCAAACGTGTCCCATCAGACATTTGCGACCAAATTTTCACTTTTATCCATCACCAGCCGTTGCGGCTCCTGAGACTCGTAGTGAGCAGAAAAGATGTGCGAGGTGCGTTGGTGACGTGCCGTGTCATGACCAGTTTACATTGGTCAGGCGGAGCAGTTGGTAGCGATCCAGGACCTATGCAGCAGTCGTTTCCTGAAGGCGAAACTTCGGATGGTGATTGGTGGGGCACCAATCAAAGCAGTAGCTGGCAGCAGTGGAATAGTAGTTCGTGGGACAGTCGTCCCCAGTCGTGGCAGCAGCAGAGTTGGTATGCAGGGGGTTGGTATAGCGATCCCTGGTACTGGCATAGCAGTATGGGGATGCTACTCAGCCAGAACAGCCTCCCATGGAAGAGCCGGAGGAGAACGACCAGCAGTCGATGGCCCAGGAGAGCAGAAGGCCATCTAAGGAAACCGCAGCCACCAGAGCATCTGTGGGTGCCTCCGAAGCTGATGATGGACTTGCTTCGGTGGAAGACAATGAGAACCCTGCCAGAGGTGTCAAAACCGGCAAGGACTACATCTCAGAGTTTGATGGTCGCAGTGCCATGCGGGAGTACGAGAGGAGAGTTCGCCTCTTCGAGGCAAATACCTCGATTCATCCAACCTTTCGTGCTGGCAAATTGATCGAAAGGCTAACTGACCAGGCTTGGTTGGCCACGGAGATGCTCGACATCAAGACCTTGAAGACGAACGATGGAGTCGACAAGCTCCTTCAGCACCTGTGGTCAGAACTGGAGCCTCTGGAATTCCTCAGGGTGTTTCAGACCTTGGATGACTTCTACAAAGGTTTCAAGAGGACCACGGGACAGCAGTTTACGGAGTATGACTCCGAGTTCAGGCGTCAATGCCAGCGGTTGGATGAAGTGGGGGCCGGGATTACCGGTGTGACACGGGCCTATTGGTTTCTGGAAAAGGGATCGTTGGGCCCCGACCTCCGCAAACAGGTGGTCGCAGCAGCAGGAGGATGCTATGACTATCCCAAGTTGAGGGCAGCTCTAGTGGCAATAGTGCCGAATGTGCGCCGTGAAGAGACAAGGAACTTGGGCAACAGCAACCCCAGGACCTTCAGGCCGTCCGGAAAGAAGGATACGGCCCACAAGGTGAATGTGGTGGAGGGCGATCCTATGGAGGAGCCAGACTCCGAGAATGCAGAGAATGAGGAGGTGCCAGATGATGAGGACATCGCCGAACTTGAAGAGCAAGCACAGGTACTTATGACTCAAGCAGCAAAGCGAAGGGCAGCAAACGAACGTGGCAGAGGCTTTCAGAAAGCCGAGAGCCAAGAGGAGCGTGAGAGAAGAGTGAAAGACATGAAGAGCCGTTTGTGTTGCAGCGCGTGCAAAGCCCATGGATTTACCAGATTCGGGCATTGGCACAATGACCGAGAATGCCCTTACTACGGCCAACCCAGACAGAAGAAGAAGCCGACAGATGGTGGAGAAACAGACAAAGGAGTGTTTGCAGTGACAGCTGAGCCATTGGAAGATAGCGACGATGACTTCCTTGTGCACATGGCCTCTCAGGTTGATGTCCACGAAGTGATGGCCAGCGGACTTCATCAAAGACAAGCTGAACTCGATGGACTCGCTCTCAGTGATACGTGTTGTTCACGATCTGTGTGCGGAGAAGAGTGGATGCAGAAGCATCTACGACAGCTCTGGGAGAGCGACATCGAGTTCTACGTGCTTGAAGACGTACAGCATTTTCGTTTCGGAGCTGGTCCAAGGGTTGTGGCGAAGCAGGCAGCGATCATACCCTTGGACGTTCCGGGAAGTCGTCATCAGGCATATGTGAAAGTGAGCATCGTCCAGCAAGCAGTTCCTTTGCTTCTGAGCAAGCATGCGCTTCAAGCACTGGGCGCAGTTCTTGACCTTCCCCGAGGCGAAGTAGAGTTCCGATCACTGGGATGCAGGACGCCATTGGTGACGACCTCTACTGGACATGTAGGCTTCAACATCGTCGCAGGACAGCATCATCAAGCTATGCCTTTGGACGATCTTTGTGCAAAGCTGACTACGGATGCTACTGCTGAAGTCTGCGTCGATGATGCTTCGAGGACAAGGGTTGGGCGTAAGACTAGGTTTAGCACCCCCAACTCTCAGGAGCCGCCTAGTTCTCATGAGGGGGTGAAGGTTTACACTGTTGTTCATCATGATCGTCAGTGCTCAAGCGAAATCTCTCCGACTTGTCAGCCATCCGCCATCGAGTGTGCAGAAGCCTTCAGTGTGGAACCACAGCATGGCAGCGTTGACGAATCCCAAGATCAAAGCCGAGTACGTGACCCAGATAGCTTCGTTGACCAAAGTTCCCGCAGAGGAGTTGGGGAAGCACGACATGAACAGGTTGAAAGCCATCTGGAACACTCTGAAGCCTGTGAAGCCAACCCCAGTGTTTCCACCCGGCTGGAAGAAGTTCGATTTGGTGACTCTACAGCACATGTATGTGGAGCACTATGTGCACGAGCTGAACCGCCCGGACGACGGACACTGGCTCCGTTGGAGGCGAGCTCAATACATCATGGAGTTGGAGTTCTACATGGAACAGAAGATCGAGGAGCAGGTTCTCGAAGCGAAGGCGAGCTCCAGCCCGGTGTGCAGGGATTGCTCCATTCCCATGTGCATCAGGACGAACAGGCTGACACAAGAGGAGTTTTGGGGATGCATGCGATTTCCACAGTGCAAGCAGACCCTACCCCTCGCTGCAGCCGGGGTTCCCATTCGCATGGCCCAGATCGAACTCGAGAAGGAAAAGGCAGCCAAGGAGAGTCAAGCAGGCCAGAATGTCATGCCCCGCACCCAGAGGGTGAAGCGTCCGGCACAGCACCACCCAAGCAATTCCCCTGGTTATCCCAGCTCAGACGGCTCATGGGTGCCAGTGATGGATGGAGCCAAGGTGCCGATCGAGGCGGACAGCGACGACGATCAGAACAAGAAGTACAATATCAATCTGACTGCGGAGGAGTTAGATGCGATCATCAAGAAGAGAGCCGAGGACGAGAAGGCCTGAGTGCTAATGCCAACGGAAACCATTCAGATGATCATGTCTCCGACAATGGAAGGGTGAGTGATTCGTGTGAGAAGAGATCCCCCGATGAAGTTAGGAAGTTGATTCTGAAAGGGAATAAGAGGAGACGTGATCTGAAGAAGGGAGCAATTCGAAGATTCATCGGTCATGCACGTGATGTTTTTGCTTGTGTTTGCCTTGCTACAGCAGCATATGCCGGGGCAACATTAGCGGGAGCAGTCAGTAGTGGAAGTCCAGCTCGCCCAGATTGTATGGAGATTTTTGGAGGGCATGCTGAAGTGTCCTATCAGTTTTCCAGATGGGGCTGGGCTTCCACTGAACCGATAGACAAGCTCTACGGAAGCGATTTGTTTTGCCGGGATGAGCGTGAGAAGGTAATTCAACACATTCGGCAGGTTAGACCTAGGTTGGTTGTGATTAGCTACCCATGCCGTCTGTGGTCTCCCTTGAATCACTTATCCGCTATTACCCCTCAGGCAAAACGCAGGTTGAACCAGAAACGGAAAGAGGAGCTTCCTTTTCTTGAACTCTGTGAGGAGGTGTTTAATGTCCAGCTGGAACTTGGTGGAGACGCATTGGGAGAGAATCCGCTGCCCAGTGAATCTTTCAAACAGCCTCCAATTCAACGAATCCTAAGTCACCCTGAAGTTTACTCCGGGGTCGGTCATGGTTGCCGTTTTGGGATCAGACACAAGAAATCACAGCTTCTCCTCAAGAAACCAACCCTTTGGTTCGCCACCGCAGTGGAACTGTGCGATGAGCTTGCTCTAAGGTGCAAAAATGAACAGTGTCCGCATCATCACATTCATGATCAATGTATTGGAGGGAGAGAGATTACTGAACACGCTGGGCGGTATACGGTTGAAATTGCAAAGGCTATCAACAGAGGTTTTGTGAAGTTGTTGAAACGTAAAGAGCCTAGTAGGATCAGATTGCTATTGCGTAACATTGCCGCTAGGATCAGGCGTGGGGACCCCGATGTCAAATCCCTCAGATGGTCAGAGAAAAATGTTAACAAGGCCTTGGCTAGGTGGAACGCGGTGTTTACCACTGAAGTGGATGACATTGTCATGACCCCTGAGGACCAATCTCGACAGCAACCAGCTTCATCAGGCAATCGACCGCCAGGAGCAGATGGTGTGAAATCACGAGCCAAGCAGTTCTCCGAGGAGGGGATCACCTTCAACGTGCCCATCGGCCGATCCGTATCTGGCCCTATGAAGCAGCAACTTCGCAAAATTCATTGCAATCTTGGTCATCCTAGTCGAGATGATTTAGCTCGGTTTTTGAAATTGGGTGGCGCAAACCAAGAGGCAATCGAAGCATTGTCTTGGATGCACTGTCCCACATGTGCCCATGGTCAGAGGCCCACCACGCATCGAACCACTAACATTCCTCCTTCTCAGATTTGTTTTGGTGACGAAGCGTGTTTAGATTGTATTCAAGTTTACGATGGCGAGGGCAAGGGTCATTGGTTCATGTCATTGGTTGACCGTGCTACCTCTTTTCATACCGTGGCTTATCTTGACAATCGAACCCCCCAACATTATTTTGATGCGTTTTGCAACAACTGGGTTAACTGGGCTGGACCACCTGGAAGATTGACCACCGATATGGAAGGCGGGTTTTGTGGTAGAGAATTTTGGGAAGAAGTTGGTAGAATGGGAACCCCCATGGTTACCATAGCTGGATGTGCTCATTGGCAGGCCGGTAAAGTTGAACGACACAACGGAATCATCAAGGACATGTTTACCAAGGTTGTCAACCACACTAATCCGATCGGTAAAGATGCCATGATTCGTGTTTCTCGTGAAATCATGCATGCGAAGAATGCTTTGGTTCGTGAACACGGTTGGTCACCTTATGCCTTGGTTTTTGGGAGAGAACCACGTGTTTTTGGGGAACTCATGGCTAACGGGAATCCCGTATCCTATCACATGGGCTTAGGAGAACCAGGAGATGTGGTTGCTGAACGAATGCGATATCGATACTATGCAAAGTTGGAGTTTATTCGTGCGCAAGCCAGACAAATGATCCGAAAGACGCTGCACAATCGGACTAGGAAACTCATTCAACCCAAAATTGGTGATATGGTTTTCTTTTGGCGAGATAACCAACATAAGAGGAAACAGTCCGGAAGCCGGTGGCTTGGTCCTGGGTTCATTGTTGGTGTTCAGGACTCTAATGTTTGGATCACTTGTGGTGGAAGATGTTTTCTGGTGGCGCTCGAACACGTTCGACAGGCTATCGGTGAAGAGGATCGTTTGGGGAACCCCGAAACTCAGAAGACCATGGCTTTGTTGAAGAATATTAGAGATGGTGATGCTGTCGAAGATTTGACCAAACAACGCGGTCCCACCGAAGAGCCTGAGTTTTCCCAATTCATTTTGGATCAAAAGCAACCAGTTGACATAGATCCTGTTGCTAAAAGTGAAGTTCCCAAAGAAATTCTCAAGCTGGCCAAGGGTGTAGGGTGGCATCGTGATGCGGCCGGGAATCCTGTCCGTGTCGACAAGAACGCTTTTGCTTTTCGTACACCCATGCCAACTTGGAATGAAGATCAACAGCCACGTAGAACTTCTTGGGGATACAGAAACGGAAAGTGGTTTCGATTTGAACATGAACGTAGATGGGGAGAATTAGAGAACCCTCATGAACTGATACCTCAAGGGAAAGTGGACGTGTTGATCACTGTGTTTCAGGGGAAGGTTCGTAAAGCTGAAGATGACAAGGCTCTCAGTTCTGCTCCTAAGACGAAGGCTGCTAGAATTGTTGACAAGTTGGTTCAGATGGTGAATGTCACGAAAGGGAAGAATCAGTTGAAGAAAATGTTGGAAAAGGAAATACCTTATGATAAGATTCCTAGTGAACAAATTCCCCAGTATCAACAGGCTATCAAGAAGGAGTGGGATAGTTGGTTACAATATGACAGCTGTGAAATTTTGAGTGTTGAAGAGTCCGAAAAGGTTGAAAAGGAATCACCTCAACGCATTCTGCCAAGCCGTTTTGTCTTTCGAAACAAGAACGCAGGTCTGAAAGACCCCGAAGGAAATGACCTTCCCATCAAACCAAAAGCCAGACTTTGTTTGCAAGGTCACCTGTGCCCAGACTCTCAATCAGGAGAAATCCAAGTCGACTCACCTACTGTTGAAAGGGTGTCAACGATGATCTTCCTTCACCATTGCATTTCCATGGGATGGCACCGCAACTGGTACATAGGAGATATATCCAACGCTTTTTTGCAAGGTGCACCGTTGACCGGAAAAGTCATGTTCATGCGCCAGCCCCGACAGGGACTTCCAGGACTCATGCCTCAACAGCTTCTTCGTTTGCTTAAACCTGTATATGGCAGACCCGATGCTCCACGTGCTTGGTTTAATGAGTTGTCACGAGTGTTGAAAGAGGATATTGGTTTTACTCAAAGTGTTGTTGATCCTGCTACTTTTCATTTGAGAGATCCCAAAGGAAAGTTGTGTGGTATGTTAATCGTTCATGTTGATGATTTAATGATTGCGGTTGATGATTCTGTTTATGGTAAACAACAAGTTGAGAAACTGAGCAAACGGTTTCCATTCGGATCATGGCAACGAGTCTGTGAAGAAACCAATGGAGTGACTTACTGTGGGAAAGAGGTAAAATACCATGCTGCGAAAGATAGCGAACCCCACAAAGTGACTCTCTCTCAGAATGGTTTCATTGACGGCCGCTTGGAACTCATCAAGGTATCTCGAGAACGAGCGAAGCAGTTGGACTGTGGTGTGACAGATGAAGAGAAGAGCGACTTTAGGAGCGTAGTCGGATCGTTGCAATGGTTGTCTACCCAATCTAGGCCCGATTTGGGATTTACCACCAATCAACTTCAGAAGAGAATCTCCGATTTGCGTGTTCGCGATCTCCTCAAAGCCAACACAGTGGTTCGAGAAGCTTGTAAGAATCGAGTTTCCTTGGAGTTTCATGATTTGGGTCCCGAAACCGAAATCTTAGCTTACCATGATGCGAGTTTGTTCAATTCAGTTGGAGTTGAGATTGAGGATCGAGAAGAGGCTGATGTACTTCTTCAAGGTAACGAAAAGAGGTTGGTTTATTCCCAGAAGGGGGCGCTGATTTCATTCATCAAAAAGGGAGAAACCAGTGTTGTTGGGAAACCCATCAGAATGAATGTCATCGATTGGCGATCTACGACCAACAAACGTGTTGTAGAGTCTTCTCTATCCGCGGAATCTCATGCTGCAATCATGGCTTTCGGACTCGCCCGATTTTGTCAGGCCATTCTTGCAGAACTCAGGTATGGCTCCGAGATTGTGACAGCATTTGAAGACGAGGACTTCCAATCCCATACCCCTTTATATATGATCACCGACTGTAAGAGCATATATGATCACATCAATAAAGACGGCCAACACATCACTAGCAAGAACGACGTGATCTCTGTTGTTTTGTTGCGGAAGATGCTCACAACTCGCGCTCATCCTGGGAAAGCGTGTCTGATGTGGGTACCCACGAAACATCAAGTTGCTGATGGACTCACCAAAGCGGGTCGAGGTCCAGACTTTCGTGGTCATTTAGGATGGGCTGTGCTCCATGAACCATCACAAAAGGCCAAGAAAAGATTGGTGTCAGTGTGATTTTCTGTGTGGTGCTTGTTGGCCTTTTGCATAGTGAGTGTTGAGCACCCCAAACGTGTCCCATCAGACATTTGCGACCAAATTTTCACTTTTATCCATCACCAGCCGTTGCGGCTCCTGAGACTCGTAGTGAGCAGAAAAGATGTGCGAGGTGCGTTGGTGACGTGCCGTGTCATGACCAGTTTACAATTTGAAGGCTAGCTGTAGCAATGCCATTTGATGGCCGTCCTTAGAATGCAAAGATGCTACCTTGTGGATTCGTAACTTGCCGAGTTCTGCGCCATTGCCCACGAACGGTGGCTGTGGCATGCTATCACGATGAATTGGATGCATTCAGACAGTTCCTTATTTGCCTCAGGTGCGGAATGGTGCTGGAGAGACTCCCTTGATTCTTGTGTGCAGACGCGGCCATGCTGAGGCAGCTCAAGCTTTCACAAAAAATCATAGATCCACTGTATTCTACTGTATGTTCTGCACTCATCTGCGCTCATACGCAATAGATGACTAGATCTTGCGCCTTTCAATCTGCAGAGGCAGCCAAGTTTCTACTGGAGATGCGAGCGGATGCAGAGGCCAAAGTTGGCAGCATATCCAAATGGACCCAGCATCACTCAGCATCACTCAGCATCACTCAGCCTTCCAAATGGACTCAGATGGACTGTTCTTTCAGGCAGGTACCAAGCTTGGAGATACTCCTTTGCAGGCGGGCGCACACAGACGCTTCAACTGAAAGGTGAGTGTGCAAGAGATTTGACAGATTTGACACTGCATGAAATGCATACTGTGCCACACCAATACCATAACTATGCCATAACTATGCCATAGCCATACCATAACCATGCGCGAAGAATTCCGCTTTGGTTCCGTTCTCAGATTGCGCAGCGCTTGGGCTTCCAGGCGCGGGGACCAAGGCTCCGAGATATCCGACATATCCGATGCATACAATCTCTGTGTCTATGTGAAGATTGTACAGATTGTGAAGCTGCATGACTTACATGACGTTTTGGTATTTTTGGTTATTTTGAAGTTTTTTTTTGGCATGTTTTGATTATATCGTTTTGGTTATATGTCGGTTTGCTCCGCTCCTCTATCATGGCTGTTGGCCAGCGAGAACGAAGCAAACCAACTCACTGAAAAACCATGTTGTCAGAAATGACGATGTTGACCACGTCTTGCAACGTGATGCAAAGTGTGAAGAGGTCATTCCCCAATTCATAACACTCCAAAAGAATGCGAGAGAATTGTAAACGTTGGATGCTCAAATGATGCTTTGACCATCTTTGACATGCGTCGTTCCAATTTCATGCCGTTAAGGACACTGTACATGCTCTGTGCTCTGCGGGTGCTCCTTTGCGCCCTGGCACTCCCAGCCGTGCAAGGACAAGCTGCAAGCCGAGCAATCAAGATGTTATATCTCGATAATACACAGATAAAGAATTATAACATATTACCAAGATAATTCAAGATATATGAACATTTATGTACACACATGCTGTATATGTAGATGTATATTTATAATTTGTACGTATTGTACGTATTGTATGGCATGGAGCGAATTTTGGGGAGTGACATAGTCTGAGTTTGTCATCACAGGTGAGTAGGACATGGCAAAAGCTAAAGGAATCACGTGGCTCGCATGGCTCTCATGGCTCGTCTGTGGCCAGGAGTGCATCTCCAATGCCACCAAGACCTAAATCCAGTTCTTCCTCCCCGAGGAGAGGGAGAACTCAGGGAGAACTCAGGTGAGAACTCAGGAGAACAGGGACCTTTGAACATTTTGAAAGTGAAATCTTTCAGAGAAAAGGGACGAAAGGGACAGGGCAAAGAGGCACAAAGGTAAAAGATGGTAAAAGTGGGTAAGGTTTATCGCTCAGACACTCAGGCAACTTGCTTTACTTAGCTGATATGCGCGTATTCAAACTGTCTCGGTTTAAAGTTCTTCTTGAAACGCTTCTTGATGACTTTAGACTAAGTTTAGAAGATTTTAGAAGATTCAGAGGAGCTTCTTCCTCCACGTCGCACGTCTCAGCACGTCTCAGCACAGGGCAGATGGTGCCGTCGCTTTTCCCGTCGGCTATCCGCCGGCACCTCGGAGAGGCCGAGAAAGAGAAACGACGAAAGGAAGACGAAAAAAACGAAAAAAACCACGAGTTTCCAACAAACAAACGAAAAAAAAAAACGAAAAAACGTTGAAGGACGAGTTCTTATATCATCTAACATATGTAGAGATACTAATATACTATTAAGAACAAGAATCTAGAATTTGTCAACCATTTTGTGAGAGAACGGGAACGGCAACGGATATGTTCGGCTCTTGCACTTCCTCCGTGACTGTTCTAGTTCGTCCTTTTTGTCATATTGACATGACAATGTTCAAGACATGTTCAAAACATGTTTTGACATTGCCAATTTCAACATCTTTGAAATCTTTTCGATCCTTTTCGATCCTTTTCGATCCACATGAAATTGGAAGCCAGGTGCTCCACCTGTGCCGACCCAGCCACGGATGGTGCCGCGGCCGTGACGTGTTTAGAGTTTAGAGTATATCCAGGAGAGAGACATTTTTTTTTGGCATTTTTTTTCTTGTGTGTTTTTGTTGTTGTTATCATTTTTTTGCATTTTTTTTGTATATAATTAGTAATAAGTGTTGCTTTCGCAGGAGTGTCGCAACGTTTTTTTTTCAGTCGCAGCAATGGATTGGACTCGGCTCATTCTCTTCTTGCCATGGCATTGAAATGTGCAAAGATTTCACATGCCTTGCCATGCCTATGGCTTGTTCATATTTAAGAGCGCGGAATTCCTTTGCCTTTGCATATTCCTTTGCCTCCAATGTATCTGACAGATTTTGTTATCGTTGTTATCTCCCTGATTTTCCTTTGCTATTTGGAAGTCACTAAGTCTTTGGAACTCCTGGCTCCAAGAAAGCCTTGTCGGTGAAAGCCTCCGACAGAAAGCTTGAGCTTTGAAGATAAAAAGAGCGGCAGAAAGAGCTGCTGAACTTAGTGAACGTTGGTGAACACATCGAAGGAAATCCTCAGGCCTTCTGTGCGGTTTGAAGTCTGACCAAGTTCAATCTGCTCGATATCGAGCGAAACTCTTTTTGATCATGGGGAATGTTCGGGAAGATCAGCATAGCTCTGTGATCACTTCAGTGTCACAACTCAGTGTCACTTCGTCAGTGTCAGGTCAGGAAATGAACTCGATTATGTGCGGCGCTGCTTTGGGTGCTAGCTGCAAGGCGTGGCTTGTCTGCCAACTTGTTCCAGCTGTCTGTGATTGGCGAGACATCAAGAGAATTTGGATTGGAGTGGATTCGTGGATACTGATCGGATACTGTGATAATTCTTGATGTGTTTTAGTATGTTTTAGTGACATTTTAGTGACATTTGGCATATATTGGCATTTTGGTGTCCAATTGGTGTGGCCGTTCACGGCCTGACGGCGAGGAGGGCTTCTCTTTGGCTCCGGAGCTCTTGGAGCAACTCCAAAGCGTCGGATTCGAAGCGCTGAAAAAAAGAAAAAAAAGAAATTACTTTCTATATATAAGTCAAATATAGTCAAATACAATATAGAAAAATAAAGAGAGCTTTGACAAATTTAGGAGAGAAAGAAGCAGAACATGGCCAAGACGGGTCAAGACGGCTGGGACAACTGCTGGGATGCACCTGTTGGCAGTTCCGCATTTGAATCCGAATCACTTGGACTTGCTCTCCAGTGGCGTAGCTTGCGTTCCACAGAATGAGCCGAACATTCCTTTGATCTTGACAAGATGTGACAATGCAGTCCGCAGACATGTGTATTCATGAGCTGGTCGTCAGGATGCCCTGTGTTTTGCATCAAAAGACTCACTGATTTTAGACAGACAAAGAGCTAGTGGAACACATAGACAGTATCAAATGTATCAAACAGTTGCTGCAGAAACGTGACAGAGTGATGTGCGAAATGTGGACTCAGACGCTTGAGGACATGGGCTCACAGAGCATCCAGTTGTTTGTGAGGTTGCCAACCGTTCCCAGAACTGTTTCCCACTGTTCCCAGCTATTCTCCCAGCTCTCAATTTTGTTCCCACTCAAAATCCATGACTGTAAGAGCAGCTGATGGACGCTGATGGGCGCGGGCAGCTCTGTTCCGCCACTGCCCAACGAAAAGGCGAGAACTATGCGGCAGCATGACTTTGAGATGCAGATAAAATGTCATCTCACAGATCTCATGCCGCTGGTAGGTGCTATTGATTTCTTGATGCTATATACTTGTTCGATATTCTTTATTTTTTGAGATCTGCATGCTTTGTTGATTTGTCGTGCTTTTCCTTCACAGACCGCCGTTGGCTTGGCTGGCCGCTCATCCAGTAATGTGGAGGCAGGATATAAAGTGGATTTTGAATGACTTTGATTCATTTTGTCATATTTTGTCTAAAAAAAGCACTCCGTGAAGAGCTTCTTTGCGAAGGGTCAAGCCCAAGCCGGCGAGTCATTGCAGGAAGTGGAGGACTGTTGGGACCGTTGTCACTGTCGTGTCGCCATCCCATGACATCTCCATCCCCCTCTGACTCGGTCTCTGCCCATCTCTGCCCCTTTCAGGGTGGAGTGCAGTGGCTCCTGGCAGCGGTAGGCAAGGAGAAGGAAGAGAAGGCAGGTGATGCAGAGTGTCCATGAGTGTCCTGTGCCTACTGTGCCTAGCACTGTAAGTTACAGGTTGTAGCACTCTGTAGAATTGTGTAGCACCGTGTGTAAGAATGCTGAGATATGCTGACCGATGCTTTTTCGAAGTACTGTGGCAGTGTCCAGTGTGAGTGCCACAGTGAGACGGAGACTACGGAGACTACGGAGACTACGGAGACTACGGAGACTGCTGAGTGAGACACGTAGGCGATTGAGACGTAGGGCCTACGTCGTGCACGTCGCAGGCATGGCTGGCGAAGAGATTTGAGGAAAAGTGCGCAGAGGTGCAGGCCCTGCAGAAGGCGAGGGTCACATCGTTCACCAAACAGAATATGCAAAATGCCCTGTATATTTGTAGTACAAAAAATTGTATAAATTTGTGTTCATATAATTTGATATAATTCCAGTACTACAAATATTTGTACATACTGTAGTTGTAGTCAACCGCCTGCACCTTGACATCACAAAAAACATCAAAGGCACAACTTTGTTGCAAGCTGACCAATAAGGCTTTCATTTTACATCAAGTCGCCGCTTACAAAGAAACAAAACTGAGATTTCAATGTCACAAGTAGGCTGAGTCGGCTTGGCAGATCACAGATACAGTAGATTTCGATCTCGACAGGAGCTTCAGAAGGTAAGAGCAATTCTGGACCACCGAGGACTCGGAGAGATGTGGAGCAGAGACAGAGATCAGCCAAGCAGAGTTTCAAGCAGAGTTTCATTGTGTTTTTTTTTTAAATCATATCTTTTCATATCTTTTCTTTTCTTATTCTATACTAAAGAGACACATAGTGGTCGCGTGGCTCTGACCAAGTGGCTTTTGCTTCTTTCTGTCCATGTGGAAACTTTGGGAACAGCCAAATGAAGAACATGGAGCGTGGTCCACTTGACTTTTCAATTGTCTTGAATCATTGCCACGCCTTTGTTCCTGAAAAGGATCTTCGTCTGCTCTGCATGTTTCATGGCGCCAGTCTGCCAGTGTGAAAATTTGCTGCAAATTCTTGAAAAACGGCGTTCAGAAGCATTCCAAAGACATTCCACGTGTTCATCCAATCTTTGCTGCTTTGATCATAAAATAGTCAAAGGGAAGAGGCTAGCGGCTAGTCAAAGACATGGATGATGGAAGATGATGACATAATGTCAATGAATGTCAATGACATATATCAACCATAGCAATCATGATAATCATGATAACCATTTCTATTTCTTGATAATCATGATAGTGATCGCAAGAAATATCAAGAAATAGACATGAGTGCTCCTGAGCTCATGCCGCCAGGCCTAGCCAAACCATTTCTCCCCAGGACTGTCAAACGCTGCCTGCTTTTAGACTTAACAGTTAAAAGCGTTTTCACGATACAGAGGTTCCTTCTTGTTCCTTACCTGTATTGTTCTGCGTTTATTACGTGGTTATTGGATGTTATTGGGATTGCTAACGAGGTCGATTTCTTTGCGACTTTTTAGTGCCTGGGCAGAGCTGTGGTGTGGTCATTGCGGTTGTTACTGCCGGTTGTAGACGTCCCAGACCGTCCCAGGAGCTTTCTCCAACGTGTTCACCTTCGAAAGGTGGAGCCGGAGTTGCACAAAGGCGGAACACGGGCGATTGGTTCACCGTGGTATACCTATTGGTTTACTGATTTTACTGTACATGTATATAATTGGTTTATATTGGTTTCACTCGATAACACTTTCGAACTACAGAACCTAGTCCTAGTCCTAGTCGTCCTAGTTCCAGCGGTGAAGTTTTGGGATCGCATATCTGATCCGATTCAATAAATATTCAATATCGCATATCAGTTATCTAACAGTTATCTAACAGTTATCTACAGGCCTTGAATGATGTCAATTACCCACATGATACCTGTCGGCGAGTGAACCGGTTGCACACGCTTGCGTGGATTTGAGACGAACGTCAAGGGTGTCCACCTCCCACAGAGTCCACAGCGACCAACAGTATGAAACCATGCTAACTCTCCATAGTGAAAGTATTGCTGAGTATTGCTGAGTATTGCTTGTATGTTTTGGTACGGTTGCCATTTCGAATTGAGAACCCTGCATGTGCGCACCGAAGCGAGAACAAACCGCATTTTCAGACACGAACCATTTGGACCATTTGACCCGAAGCTTTTGTAGTGCACCTGCCATCGAAGTATATTGAAGTCGCGTCACGGCCCGACAAGCTTTGCATTTTGCTTGTCAATTTTTTCCCGTTTTGCACGAAGTTCTTTGCTGGTTTATACATTTATCGATTTTTGGTGAGGCGTGGGCTGCAACTCACGGTGCAAACTGCCAAAAATCCGCCCAAGGCACTGCAGCACAAAGCTTGATTCGAAACAGATTATAAGATATTCTAAGTGTTTAAGATTATTAAACAGTTTAAGAAAAAATTAAGAAAGAAATGCTCAAAGTATCCAAGAACATTATGTTTCGACTGTCGACTGTATTTGACTGTATTCGACTTGTCTCGACTTGTCTTGTGAGCTGGAACTTGTCTATGAAACAGTTGTGAGATGTTCGCAGTTCCACAGATTTCCACAGATTTCCACAGTTCAAAGCAGATATGTTTGTAGCTTTGAAAGCAGCTCAATATTTTTGCTACCTGGATCATTTGCCTCCAGAGGGAGTCACTTTTCCATGTCGTTGAAGTTCCGATGATTTGTTCCATTCATCCGATTATTTCAAGTTTTTCACAGTTTCTCATAGTTTTTCGATGTTTTTCGATGTATTTCATAGATATCATAGATCCAGTTGAAAGTTCCTTCTACAAAGACACTTTCTGTGGAACACTGTGGATGTCTGAGGTGGCTTTCCAGACCGACAAGGAAGCTGCGCCAATCACTCGGGCGAAGTCCAGCCCGAACATGGGCAGAGATCTCAGATGTCGATGTCAATCTTTTCGAACAAATCTATGATAATCAGAATCAGACTGCGCCAATCACATGTTGCGGTTGGATGAGGATCTCAGGAGGTTTTGATTTTTTTGTACTGTTTTTTGATTTTTTTGTACTGTTGGAGACCCTCGAATTTTCAGACCCTTCAGCCTTGGCATCAGAAGCAACAGAAGCGAAAGAAGCAACACATGCAACAGATGCAGCAGCCAAGGCAAACTTTTTGGAGCACCTTGAAACATCCCTTGAAACATCTCTTGAAAGATGCTTAAAAAATCTAAAAAACGATAGACTGTGTCTGCCTTGCAGATCTTGCAGGAGATGGAATCGAGCCCATGTCAGCCTTGCTACGCCGCCGGAAGGAGGTACCACAGCAGATCAGCAGAGCATGTAGTAACTGCAGAACTGGTGCAGCAGCTCGGAGTAGTACTTGTGCTCTTTGCTCCACGCAGATGACCAGATTTTTACAGGGCCCCTTTCTGTTTCGCATGTTGTTTTCTAATTGTTTTCTATAGAACAGCAGTGACAAGCAATGGCAGTGACGTGCACTTGCAAATGTCTTGAAGTATCTTGAAGTATCTTGAAGTATCTTGAAGTATCTTGATGTCTTGTCTTGTGGTTGGTATTTAAAAAGCATTTGGTTGGGAGATGTTGGGAGATGTTGGGAGATGTTGGGAGATGTTGGGAGATGTGCTTCAGGATTGGACGCCGCTGAGTCAGCAAGCCGAGGATGGAAACAAAGGACAGAGCCAAAGCGTCAAACACTTGTGGCATGTTTCAACATGTTTCAACATGTTTCAACTTTAAGCTTAAAGCTTACTTAAATATATTTAAAGAATCATAAATATATCTTAAACACATGCTTGAATATATTTTAATTATATGCTTAAATGCGCAAATTGGCTCAAATGGACATGTTGAAGATATCTTTCGAAAGCAAAACAGAAGTGCAACTGCGCTCACTTGCTAAAGGACTCTCTGTAAGCACAGACAAGGCACTCTGGGCACTCAGGGCACTCTGGACGTGTGGCTCTTGGGAGGCGTTTCTGATAGAGACGTTCTCCTTTTTGCATCTTTTTACCCTATTTGCCGATACTCAGTTTGCCACGGCCAGGTTTTTTCTTTGCTCGGTGACTGTCCTGCCTCACCAAAGAGAGTGAGAGTGGGATCCAAAGAATCTGAGCCTCCTTGATCACCTTCAGCCTGCATTCAGCCTGCGACAACGAATATCAAGGAATTCAGCTGTGCTTGAAGGATGTTGAAGGATGTTGAAGGTGATGATGGCTTTCCCGTGTTTTTTTCCCAATTCATAAAAAATCTGCTCAGTCTGCAGACCCATGCAGAACTATTGCTTTGCTCCCCCAAGGGGACAAAGCCTTCAAGATTTGTTTTCAGCATTTGGAATTGGAAAGCTTGCAAGTGACCTTAACCTATATGGAATTGGAAAGCTTGCAAGTGACCTTAACCTATTCAAAGATGTCTCCTAATAATGTCAACCCCGAATTAATAAACCCCTGTGCTGTCTAATTATTTGGGGGGGTGCCATTTCAATAGCAGATTATAACAATTTGGGGTACTCCCCATAGTCAAAAAGCTGGTTTTGTTAGTCCGGGGTCGACATCACTGTTCTGACGATCAGCGAAGTGAGAAGATGCAAGTTGCGACAAGTCACAAGTCATCGTTTCACTGAGAACATCCTCACAAGTGATGTTACGATAGAGCGAGAAAAATCTCTGAGGTGCAACGTGGTGCCAGAACTGACGGGCCTTTTTGGTCCTTGGAGTCCTCGGATGCCCTTGGTCATGTGAGTCGGGTCCGCTTGCTGCACTCTGACGAATCCACACCTCTCTCGCAGACGGCCCAAGTCAGCCTTCTTGGTGAAGTCAGGTCCCATGAAGGCTGGGATCCTCCGGGAGAATCCCGATCTTCGTTAAGTCTTCACAGAATCTTCACAATCAGTTTTCAACCTCTGCTAGGCAGACGTGGATGGCATTGCGGAGCAGATTAGCTCCCTGATTGAGGTGGCACCAGTCATGATTGCGCTTTAAGTTTGGTGGATGATTTTAGCAGAGCTTCTCCAAACGTTGTTGTTTATGATGCAAGTTACGACAGTTACATACAGTTACGAGATGTCGTAACTCAGATTGCCAAATTGCTTCAAGGGGTTCTCTTGCAAGAAGATTGTTCTGCAGCGCAACTCCTTTTCGATCCTTTTCGGTTCCCCTTTGCAGATTTTGCACAATTTTGCACCATTTTGTGGGGCTTCTCTCCAGTTCAAAAGTTCAACATTTCGACATTTCGACGTGTGCGTCGTCCTGCGTCGTCCTGCGTCGTCCTGCGTCGTCCTGCGTCGTCCTGCGTCGTCCTGCGTCGTCCTGCGTCGTCCTGCGTCGTCCTGCGTCGTCCTGCGTCCAGGCTGAGCTTTCAAAGCGGAGGGCAGAGTTGGATCGTCGTGAGCGTCAGCTAGAGGCCATCCAATGGGGGCAGCGGGGCCGCGGGCAACGTTCTGAAACTCAAATGCAAAGTATAGGAAAGAAAATTGTATACAGAGTATAGTAGAGTATAGTGTATACAGGATAGGACAGTTACAGAAAGTTATGGAAAGTTGTTGTTTGAAAGTTGACTTGATCAAAATCAGAAGGTTGTGGGAGTTGCGGGAGTTGCATTTTCGCGGAGTTTCTAAGTGCTGCTCATTTTAGGCCAGGGAAGAAGCTGTGCGCAAACGTGAGCAGGCCTTGGCCGCTGGCTCAGAGCAAAGGGAGAGATGGGAGAGAAACACGTATTGCCTTGAGATCTTTGAATTATATACTTTGAACAAAATCGAAAAGAACTGAAGAAACTGCCTTGAACTGCTTCGAGTTGCTGTTTTGCTGTTGCCAGTGCCCTTTGCTCTGGCTACGTTATGTCATGTTATCATCATGTTATGTCATGTCTCGCTAGTTGCATAATGTATCATAATGTATCATAATGTTACATAATAAGTTACATCCACTTGCCCTGTCAGTCTCCTTCAGTCTCCTTCAGTCCCGTCGCGTCGATGCTTCACATTCTTCACATGCTTCACCTGTGAGGCAGCTGCTGAGACTCCTACACCAAGCCGTGCAGCGAACATCGTTGCTTGGAGCCTACTCGCACATCTTCTCTTTAAACCAAACAGTCAGAAGACTTTATTTAACTCATTATATAAATATATATATAAATATCTATGAAATTGTATGAATATCTATGATTTCTCTCAATTCGTTTTTTGTTTTCCCCATTTTTCCTCTGCTTTCTGTTTGCCTTGCCTTCTCTTGGTCACTTCTGCTCGAATTCTCGCTTTGTGTAGACATGTGTGGACATGTGCAGACATTGACCCTAGGAGAAGAAGGGCCCTTCCTCAGTGCCGCTTCGAGAGCAGGTGAGGCACTCGGGGCCAAAGTGAAGACAGAACGGGAAGTGCATACCACATAAGACCACATGGGACCACATGGGACCACATGGGGCCTAAGAAAACGATGGAGTACCTAGGACATCACAGCACTGCAATGAATGAATCAATGAAAAGAGCACGCATCACACGCATCACAGATGCATCAGAAACAAGAGAAAACATCGAGTACTGTACGACGAAATCGATGAACCGATGAGGAAGGCGGAAAGGAACTGAGACGGAGAAAACAGTTTCGTCGCGAGATCGGTGAAGGCAAAGAGACCAGATGTCACTCTTCGTTGTCCGGAGACATCTCATTGTTCTCCTTGTTTTGTCGTGTCACGTTGCAAACAGCATCAACAGCATCTTGCAAGTAGCTTAGAATTACTGTAGAACAATTTAGAACATCGAGAAGCGCGCCTGAGGCAAGAGAAACTCCAGCAGTGGCAGCGCCTGTGGCTTCACCCTTGCTTTTTCAGGTGCTGCCAAGTGGTTATAACTAACATATTCTTACACTTGATTATACAATATTATACATACATACATACATACATACATACATACATACATACATACATACATACATACATACATACATACATACATACATACATACATACATACAACATACATACAACATACATACATACATACATACATACATACATACATACATACATACATACATACATACATACATACATACATACATACATACATACATACATACATACATACATACATACATACATACATACATACATACATACATACATACAGACATACACAGACATACATACATACATACATACATACATACACATACATACATACATACATACATACATACACATACATACATACATACATACATACATACATACATACATACATACAGACATATACATACATACATACATACATACATACATACATACATACATACATACATACATACATACATACATACATACATACCTATACATACATACATACATACATACATACATATACATACATACATACATACATACATACATATATACATACATACATACATACATACACATACATACATACATACATACATACATACATACATACATACATACATACATACATACATACATACATACATACATACATACATACATACATACATACATACATACATACATACATATTTCATATACACATATGTACACTTAAAGTATCTTAAAGTCATATGGAATCAATGGAATCAATGGAATCAATGGAATCAATGGAATCAATGTACAATGAGCTTAATGAATCATGGTGGTTTCATGGTGGCTTCTGCAGGCTCCAAAGGACGAGGCGAAGAGCAGCGAGGAGCTGGACCCAGACACGGATGACTGGACACGTCCTGACAAACCAATACGAAGAAGTGCAAAAGACAAGGTTTGTTTGTTTTTTTTTCCACCAGTTTTTTTTTTCCGATTTTATGCTTACTACTTACTTTGTCTATTTTTCTTTATGTTTTTTAGCTTCACCTGCAATTCGCATGGACTGGGCGCGGTGCTGTGAGGTCTCCTCTCAGCCAGACGAAGGAGTCCAAGGAGAGTTTGCGAGTGGCACTGCCTTTTTCACGCGGATTCTACGGTAGCGACACAGAATTCTACAGTCACAGGACGGATAGAACTCGGATATAATTCCTTTCAATGCGCTGAGGAGCAAACCCTTCTCTACTCTTTCAAGAGCCCCAGCTTACGTCACATTCTGAGGGTTTCTCTTTTTTCCTACATTGATCTCAGTGGTAAATACGTAAATACATGTACTATGTGCAAATGAACAAGATCCACAAGGGTAGATGACTTATCAAATAGGGCCTGTGGGGTCTGAACCATCCCAAACTCATGACTCATCGGGATGACCAAGAAAGGAGTGTGAAACACAGAGTCCTCAGGCCGCCTGCCATCTCAACAGTATCTGCTGGAACAGCATCGCAGTTGAAGGACAGCCGGACAGCCGGGTGTTAAGTATCAATCATTACTGGCCATGGATTCCATTGGATTCCATAGATGCAAATCTTCCAATCTTAGCGGAATCCCAAAATCAAAGCGTCCCTTAGTTTTGAACAGATATCCGAAACTGTGCATTTTGCCAGGACCGCTTTGAGCAGAAGGCCTTTCTGCTTCTGGAAATCCTGAATCTGGAAATGATGAAAACAAAAAGGAACAAACATAATGCAACAGATGGAACATGTATTACAAATGAATTTGACATTCACGATGTGCTCTAACAAGTGAGAGTTAGAAGCACTGCCTTCTAACGAAGTATCGCTGGCTCAGGCAGCGCAGCCTTCGTCAAGCGAGAGTCACAAACTGAGTCAAGCCTGGACAAACAGTGACCATACAGTGACCCGCAGATAGCTGATCAAAGGAAAACTGAAGAACAGAAGAATGACAGAAGAGAATGACCTCGAAAAATATCAAAAGAACCGTAAGAAATGAGAGTTTCAGAGAGTTTCAGAGAGTTTCAGGGGGCTGTTTCATCCCATGGTAGCCTGGTCGTAGCCTGGTCCTAGCCTGGTAGAGGTTTTAGGATGTTTCAGGAGTGAGCTCCCCAGGTGCTAAGACGCGTCCGTACCGTCACTCTGCGTTGGGTGCTCAAAAGAGATCGATCAAAGCCATGGAGACTCCATGGAGACTCCATGGGGCCCTGGCCCTGGGCCCTAACGAGTCTGTGCTCGTCTGAGGCCTGCAGAGAAGAGTCAGGTTCGCGGCAGGGCCGAGTTCTCTCAAGTCTCGGCTGGTACAGCTGGCGAACTCAAGGACAGACACTGTCAGTCATCAGCAGAAACCGGTTTCACGCAGTGTCCTGCAAATTTCATCAGAAACCTCCATTGAATTCATGCTTCCTTGCTGTGTTGGAGTTCTGTGAGAAAGGGTTCTGAATGGTTCCGACTTGCCAGGACTTGTTTGAGCAGAAGGCCGAGACTGAGAGACACTGAGATGGTGAGCGAAGCTTGCTGAAGCTTGCTGAAGCGCTGGAGTCGAAGTTCAATGAGCTGTCCGAGTTGAAGAAAAATAAGAAAAATAAGTTCAATCCGTTCCGAGTCGTTCCTCGTCGAAGTCTTACTACGAGTTCTCCACCTGGGAGGCGCAGGAGGCTCGACGCAATTCTGAGACCCCTGAGCGGCGGAGCTCGTGGAAAGCAGCGACTTGGCAAATTTCCAAAGACGTGACAGTTCCAAGAAGTATGCAAGAAGTATGCAAGAAGTATGCAAGAAGGATCAGAAGTAAGAAGTTTATATAAGTTTATAACTTGTTGCTTTTGATACTTGTGATGCTTACCCTTCAAGTCATCTCTGACTGATTTTGGAGCATGCTTGTTTGCTTGTTGACAATTTTTAGGTCGAAAGTCCAATGAAGATTTTGTGTTTCTATGTGTTTCTGCTGTTTTTCTGCTATTTTTCGCTGGAGTGCAGCTGCTGCAGGTTCAGAACAAGTTGGATTTGCCCAACGCGGAAGGCACTGGCCTTTTCCGTGCCCACGAGGCTCGGCGAGGGTAAGCTACACCCAGGAGACTTTTGCCTTTCAGCTTTCAACATGCAACATCCAACATGTTGAGTCACGAAAGGTCACGAGTGAAACTGTAAAAACGAAATGTAACGAAGGTATGTTATGTATGTTATATGTTTTCTTCTGTAAAGCATACAATGCATAGAAAACTCATGAAAACTCTGTGCCTGGTGAACTGACAATTCGTACAGCCCAAGGCTCCGTTCAAGCGCGGCGTGAAGACCGTGGGCCAATTGGGCCAACCCAAGGAGCGCCGCAGCCTCCAAGAACTGCTGAAGGCACAGAACCGCCAACGGTTCATATATGCCAATATGTTCAGATTTCCTGAGTCAAACTTGGGTCATACAAGGCATATATCCAACGAGACATTTGCGAAGAGTCCATTTGAACGCCATTGAGTGCCCCTAAGGCCCTAAGGCATCATGGAGAGTTTATAGATGTTTATAGACACTTGGGAATGAATTGAATGAACTGGTGTGATAGCAAGCTCTGCAAAAACTGGAGGGCTGCTTCCAGGTAGACTTGAGATGTCATGGAAGCAGCCCATTCAACGTGGAACTCTGGAAACCAGAAACGCCTTCCTTTCACATCAGAGGCAAGCTGTAGGACCTGTAGGACCTGTAGGACCTGTAGGACCTGTAGGACCACAGACTGGATCCAGATCCAGCTGATCTGAGGAGCTGCCTCCCTGTACTTGTTTCCTGACGAACAAAACAGACCATACAGACCCACTTGGCCTCAACATGTTTCACGTTGTTTCACTGCCAGATCAAAATTGTCCAAAATTCAGGTCCGGCACAGACTCGTTGGACAGACTGTTGTACAAAGATGTACAGAGTACAACCGTGGTATTCTTTTCTTTTTCCGCAGCTGCTTGTGCTTAAGTTATGCCATGTTATGCCCAATCCAGGTTAGAGCTTTGGCCACAACTAGTCTCAGACAGGTCTAAGAGCAGAGACATGCATGCCGTCACAAGTTCAAAAACAAGGAGACCTACTACTAACCCTTACTAAGGTTAAAGGGAAAGAAACTAAAGGGTTAAGGGTGAATTGGGGTAAGAAAAAAAAGATTTTAAAAGAAAGACGTAAGAGTTGAACATAATAGTAAATATAGATAAATATAGGGTTTAGGCGTGGCCGTGAAAAAATTATGCCTTGTTCCTAAATGCCCATAATATAAAATTGCTGAAGTTGCTCGTGGACTCATTGTGGATTCACATCTGTGAGTTTCTCCGCGCTTGCATGCTTCTTTGTTTGTCATGCGCTGTGTTGCTGAGCACGGTTGGCCGCTATGCTTGGTGGCGTGAACAGCCCAATGTCTTGGCTTTCTTATCACAATATCAGCAGGCAACTCAGCGAAACGGAGCAGCAGATTTCCTTGTTGGCTGATAGATCAAATTGTGTGACAAATAGTGTGGTAGGAGGGTGCTGCAAGTGCAACATGTAAGGCAGAAAGGGACCGACAGATAGGAGAGCTCGCTCCGCTTTGGAAATTCAATCACTTGGAAGGAAATTGCAGTAAAGAGTAAAGAGGGCGATGGACACGGAGATATTTTTTTTTCCAGAACCTTTTGTGTTATGGTGCCTTGCTTTGAAAGTGAATCCATCGCTGACTTACCTGAAAACTGGAGGAGATGCTGAGATATTTCTTTACAAAGGTGTCTTTTTTGGTGGGGGTATGTTGAAAGTTTCAAGCGATCCCCTGTTTAAAAGATCCAGCATATTATTGTGAGTTGTGCCTGACTGGGAGCCGGTCACGGCCCGAGGCTAGGGTAAAAGTTGGTGTGCGGTCCTGCACTTTCAGTGGTTGCGGAGCCACGTCTGTGGCCTGAGTTTTCAGGGTGTCTTACCCTTGGCTTGTGCCTAAACCATGGCGGCCCTCGCCTCGGCGCCGATTGGTTCGCGAGGATCCCTAGATGGAAGCGAACCATGGACCCCGGACACCCGACCGGGAGCAGAAGAGAGGCAACGACCTGAGGTTGCCGGGATGCCCATGCCGGAGTTTGAGGAGGCCAGGAGAAGACGAGCTCGGAGGATCAGAACTTTGAGGTTCAATGACTCGGACGAGTCGGTGATGGGAGATGGACTTCTTAGTGGAGTTCTGGGGTCTTCGAGCTCGGAGCTTGTTCCTGACAGCCTTGTGCAGCAGGTTCTACGTGGTGAACATGGAGGACGTGCGGAAGAAGGGCATCGTGACTTAGCTCCCGGAAGTGAAAGTGAGAGCCCAATGGACGATCCATGGCTGACCAATGACCCTTGGAGGAGCGACAATGAGAACTGGCAGGTGAATGCGGCCGAGAATTGGTCAGATGCTTCAGGGGAGTGGCATTCCTCTCGAAGTTCTGAGCATGGATCGCAGTGGAGTTGGAGGTCGTCTCAGTGGAGTAGGCGAAGTTGGGATAGATGGCAAAACTGGGATACTACGTCATCAGAGCCCGGAGATGGATGGTCAGACACCGGTTGGCGATCTGACTGGCATTGGAAGCAAGGAGGGTACAATGCAGGTGATGAGAATTGGTCAACCCTATCTGATGGACGAGCACTATCCCGAGATGAGCATGGACAAGATCGACATTGTGGAGAACTTCAACGAGACGATCATGGACTTTTTGGCGGGAATGATGGAGCCCTATCACCGGTGTCACCACAGGCACCTAGGGCGAAGGATCCTGAGAACAGGCCCATCGGAGATGTGCCTAGTGGTGTTCCCTCGGTGGCCGGAAACCAGAGTCAACAGGCAATGGGTACGACTGGGAAGTTGAGCTCGTCGTACCCTCCGATCTTCTACGCAAGACCAGGAGAAAGCTGGGAGCAGTACTGGAGGAGTGTCACCTTTTGGGTGGCTTCGGAGGGCAAATCATTGCCCCAGGAGATGCAAGGACCCAGACTGATGCAGCAGCTGCGCGAGAGAGCAGGGAAGATCGTGCAGCACTTGACGGTGGAGGAGGTTTCCGGAGCCGACGGGATCCAGAAGATCAAACAGGAGATGGAGAGGAGCCCCATCATCAAGCTTCTTGACCAGAAGAAGGTGGACCAGAGGAGACAGAAATTCATGAAGCTGACCCGCTTGCATGGAGAATCAATTGAAAGTTTTTTGAATCGCGCCGAGATCTACAGGCGTGAGAACCAGTCTTCACCCGCCTATCAGGTGGGATCGAAGTTTTACATTGGACATCTCTTGGATGCAGCCCGCTTGACCAAGAGGGACTTGGCATTGGTGAAGGCTGCAAGCCAAGGCACCCTGGAGGATGAGGACCTTGTGACCACATCGCTGATGGATTTGGCGGAGCAGTTGGAGGGCCAACCGGGATGTCCGATTGGCCGTGGCGAACCGACCTTGGATCAGGAGGACAAGTACCTGGTGCAGAAGGCGACTACATCATCAAGTATGACCTCACCCTTGCAGAGCTCTACGGCGACACCTGGCGTGAGGAAGAACCGCAGAAAGTTCTTTGGGAGGCGTCGCTTCCGAGACGCGTTGATGGCGATCCTTGAAGATGAGGATGGAGCTGATGAGGATGGCTTGGATGATGAACAAATCACAGCAGATGGTGTTGGAGATGAATCTGTTGACGAGGAGGAGGATGACATGACTTCGTTCAGCGGACCACCAATGTCGGCGACCTCTGTGATGGAAGCTTCGTCGACAGGAACTACATCATCTACCATCTCATCTTCACCTTCGACATCGGACGCTTTTATGGCCGAAATCTTTGCACAAGAGTACAAAGCCAGAAATCGAGTGAGGGAGATCAAGAAGATGAGACAGTACTTCCAGAAGGAAGGCAATGCACCAGGAGGCCCACAAGGAGACAAAGACTGAGAACAGGTGAAGCGTTGGGTGAAACAACAACAGAAGACGGAGCCTTGCTTCATCTGTAGACAATTGGGACATTGGTCGCAAGAGTGCCCGTACAGAAACAAGGCACCGGTGCATGCGACCAACGTCACCTTTCCAGCAGGCAACAGACAAGCTGATGCCGACTGGGATTTCCTTCGACAGTGCGCCCAGTCCGAGGCGATGTACAAGAGTGCGCCACAGAGGGGGGGGAGACCTCAGAACACCTTGAGACCTCAGAACACCTTCATGACTACCTCGTCTTCTACATCTATCACTACTCATGATGTTTATTGGTCTTTGACGGAGTTGGGGGACAAGATGATTTTGGATTTGGGGTGCATGAAGACGGTGGCAGGGACGACATGGGTCAAACCCCTGGTTTTGAAATGGAAGAGAAATGGTTGGTATTGCAAGGTTGTCCCAGAGAAGGAATCGTTTCGTTTTGGGGATGGGCACATCAACCAAAGCAAGTTTGCAGTGATCATCCATGTGAATTTAGCCGGCATCCCATGTCTTTTGCGGATTTCAGTTGTTGCAGGGAACTGTCCACCATTGTTGTCAAAACCTGTCTGCACAACCTTGGGTCTCATGGTCGACACGTCATCGCATGCAGTGACATCTAAGAAGTATGGCATCAAAAGGTTTGGACTAAGTCAATCTGCAGGAGGTCACTATGTCATTCCCATTGATCAGTTGTCTGACATGCAGCCTGTTCCTAGTGAGTTCGTTCTGCAGCCACACTATGAAGTGTTTCCGCTGACTTCCAGTGGATCAACGGTGAAAGGATCACCACCTACGCGCCCTACCGTTCTTACGGTGCACACGGTGGCGGATGGTCGACAACAGCCCATGGGAGAACGTCGGGATGCTGGAGGACGAGGCTCATGCGATCTCGTCGGACGAGCTGCAGGAGCCGGAACAGAGGACATCGAGGTCGGTGAGACGCCGAGCTTCGAGAACGCTGTCAGACACCAGAGCCCGATCTCAGAGCAAGTCACCGCAGATGCCCAAGGAAATGTTGGAGATGCAGGCACAGATGGCTCAGATGGCCACGATGATGATGGAGATGCAGGAGATGGCTACAGCAGCCAAAGCCAAAGCGAAGAGCCAGAGCAAGGCGGCGGCATCTGGGCAGACGGCCCCCAAGGAGAAGAAGGAGAACAAGAAGGCGGCCCTCACAGGACGAGAAGCAGACTTTCCGACCCTGTCGCAACGGTACAGTTACGACGTCACCTTCAACATCCTCGGCAGCATCACGGAACAGACCCTGACGTTCAAATGGAAGCTTTTGCTGCTGATGTTGAGGATGAAACAGGCGGTGGAGTCCGACAAGACAACCAAGAGACGCTGGAAGAGGAATCCCAGGTGGATCATGCACATGAACGGCAGGTTCCTTGCGGGACTATGGGGACATCTCGGCAGCGCCCGTCAGCTGTGCTTCAACCCGAAGGTGTATCCCTTGGCATTGGGCGAGACAGAGGAGAAGGAGGCTCGAGACAAGCGCAGGGGCTCCAAGAGCTCCAACTGACGGACCCCAATGCCCCAACCACAGCTGAGCAGAGGAGACGTGAAATAGAACGAGTGGATGTGGTGATGGAAGGCCGACTACGACCTGGTGGAGCTCTACGTCCTGGTGGAGATCTTCCTGAGGAGCTACATCAAACTGGAGACCTTTGTGAGGAGCTACATCAAACTGGAGGTCTATCGGAGGAGCCACATCAAACTGGAGCTCAACGTCTTGGTGGAGCTCTACTTGAGGAGCTACTTCAAACTGGAGATCCTGGTCCTTGTGGAGTTCTATCTGAGGAGACGAGAAAGGAGACAGGACATCCAACTCTGCAAGCTGAAGCAGGGGCATCAGTCAAGAAGATCACCTTGAACCGGAGACAGACGAGGAGCATCAGACAAGGAGTGCAGAAGGCTCTACGTCTACAACATAGAATCTATGAGGCTGCCCAGATGAAGAAGAGACCATGGACACTTTTGGAGGTCTTTGCAGGAAAGGCTACGTTGTCTTCAATGGCAAGGGAATGTCCTGAATGGGAGGTCTTGCCACCGCAGGACGTGCTTTACGGGCTGGACTTACTCAAGGAGGAACATGTCCAGCTGCTGAAGGACGTCATTGAGAATCAACGTCCTGATGTAGTGACACTGTCACCACCATGTGGTCCGTGGAGCTCATGGCAAAGGATGAGAAAGAGGAAGGACATCCTTCAAGCACTACGACGGGAGCATCAACCATTTTGGGAACTGGTCTGCTGGATTTGGGCTTTCCAAAACACTCATGGCGGAATTGTGGTGTTGGAACAACCCAAACAAAGCGAGGCTCTCAAGATGCCCAAGATGACACAGAGAAAGCAGGTCTATGAAAAGGAGGTACATATGTGCCAATTGGGGTTGGAGGACGTGGTGAGCGGTGCTCCACACAAAAAGGCAACCGCCGTGCAAATGAACCATCCTATGATCTGTACGACGCTCTTCCCGGACAAGAAGTGCGATCATCCCCCAGGAGCACATCAGCCGTTGGAAGGATCAGTGGCGGTGTGGGATGAAACTACAAGAAGATACAAGGCAGTCAGGAGATCGACTTTGGCGGCAGAGTGGACGCCAGCCTTTTGTGATTGGTTGTTAGGAGGTCTGGAGGCCATACAGGAGGAATCAGCCCAGGTTTTTCATTTGGAGCTGCATAGAGAAGTGCCCAACACCAAACTTTGGGAAGCAGTGCCAGCTGAACTGGAGCAGACCCCGGAAGGTCAGATCCGACAACACCTGCAGCAGACAGAGTTTGGCACGAGATATGATTATATCAGCTTCTCAGGCACGGCCGCAATGGTGAGCCGTACTATGAGGTCTACGTTGGCACATCTGCATGTGGCGCTTGGACATGTGAGCAACGCCAAGCTGAAGAGGATGATGCTGCTCAATGGGGCGAAACCGGAGCTGGCCCAGATCATTGATCACTTGGAGTGCCAGATATGTCAACAGGTTCAGAGCCCGATGGCGACCCCCAAGGCGGCATTCCAGCGCCCGATGGTCTTCAATGAGCGCATTCTCTCGGATACCTTCTACGTGTGGGACATGGAGGAAACCAAGTATGCAGTTACGCATATTATCGACGCCTTTTCCCTCTACCAGATCGCGACGGCGGCCAAGGACCCTGCGTCGGACATCTCGATGGAGTTGATCAGAGACAGATGGGTAGGAGTGTTTGGGCCACCTGCCGTACTGATGACAGATCAGGGCAGCGAGTTCAAGGGAGAGCTTGAGCAGCTTTTGGCGACTTTTGGCGTCTTCCATGAGATGGTCCCACCTACAGCACATTGGAGGATGTCACTTGCTGAGAGACATGGGGCAGTTTTGAAGGTGCTGCTCATGAAGATCATCAAGGAGCAATCCATTGTCGGTCTGGGACAGCTACAGATGGCCGTCATAGCCGCAACTGCAGCCAGGAACAGTCAGGCGAGAGTGTCTGGCTTTTCACCTACGCAGCTGGTGTTTGGGAAAGATACTTCAATGCCAACCAATCTCATGGAGGCCTTGGCAGGACAATTTCACTACCAGCTTGCACGGCCGACATCACCAGAGGATTCCTTCTTTAGAGCCAGCCAGATCAGGAAGGCGGCGTCAGATGCCTTTCAATGGATGGAAGCCAGCGACGCACTGAAGAAGGCTGCCGGGTCCAGAGCGAGACTTCCGAAGTTGGAACTATTGACAGAAGGAGCACAGGTGATGTTTTGGGAACCCCCAGCACACAGGAGAGGACTGTCAAGAAGACTTCAAGACAATGTGTCTTGGCTGGGGCCTGCAGTGGTGGCGGCTATCGAGAGGAAGGACGGATCCATCAAGAGAGTTTGGATTCGGTACAAGAACAAGTTGAAGGGAGTTCCGCTGGAGTTTGTGAGGTTGGCTGTGGCAGAGGAGCATGAGGCCACGAGCATAACCAAGGAAGCACTCTCGGAACTCTCCAAGCAGTTGGACTCCGGCAGGGTGAACGCAGAAGTTCCTGACTCCTCGTCCTCGTCTTCAAGTTCTACGGAGGAGGAAGCGGCTACAGGTAGCACGGATGCTAAGAAGAAGGTTTTGAAGACAGTGAAGAAGGATAAGGAGAGGAGCACGGATCAGGTGAGAGTGCCTGATCCTAGATACCCAGTGATGGAAATGAGTGACGAGGAGGATGAAGGAAATCACCCTGTGTCGGCAGAACAAATGAGGAAAGCATCCTCACCTTTGCATGATGTGCCGATCTCCATTCACCGACAACAAGTTCCGGCTTCGAAGCCTTCAGGAGGATCAAATAGACCAGTGGTGTCCTCCAGGCCGATCAAGAAGGCCAGAACACATGAAGGAGCTCGAGCAGATCCATCGTCAAGGCCATTCTTGGAGCGCCGAGGCATGTTTGACAAAGCGCTCAACAGAACGGAGGAGCATTTCAGATCTACGCGGCAGAAACTGGAACCGAAGACTGTCCAGATTGCGGTGCCGACACAGCAGGAGAATCCTGAAGTCCTACATGTGAACGTCCGAAATGACAATCCTCCGTACGTCAACTTGGAGAAGTTCAACGGCACGGAGTATTCAGATTCTGACGCTGATCTGATGGAAGCATTGGAGCGGTCCTTGACGACGGAGATGCTGCAGCACTTGCCCGTGGTGGAGCTCACACACATGAGGAGGAGACCGACAGGAGAACAAGCTGAGCTGGGAAGGTCAGCCTTGAGAGAAATGGATGAGCCGGTTTTAGTACGACGTGTGAATCGTCAAAGGTACACCTTGGAGTACAAGCCGGCGTCACCGTTGACAAGGTCTCGTCTGCCCCCGCCACCTGGTCACGTCATGAACATCTTGCCTGAAAGTATGAAGAGGCCATTGGTGGGTGAGCGACAATGGGAAATTCTACGACGACAACGCCAAGATCCACCTCCTCAGAAGGACTACTGGATGTTGAGCCCAGAGAAGACGGAACTCTACAGGATACATGTGGTCCCACGGTTCCACTTGTTTGATGTGTTGGCCTTTCATCAGGAGAAAGGCCTCAATGAGCCACATGTGGACCCACCCAAAGGAATTCCGAGGAGTTGGATCACTGGAGCAAGGACTACGCAGGTCTACTATGTCAACAACCCGCTGGAACCCCACAACTATGTGGGTTACGGCCCAATCCCTCAATCAGCGATGTTCATGCACCCAACGGTGGCCAATGAGAGGATGTCTGAATTGATCGCAGACAGTGTCAGGTGGACTGGATGGAACACTCAACAGAATTTGTTGGGTTATTGGCAGGGTGTCACACGGTTTCAAGTACAAGATCCTGACGAAGCGGAGTCCCATTTGGTGCATTGGCTAGAAGCGCGTCATTTTGCAGAGGATGCCTGGCGTGCTGGACAAGACCTGGTGCACCAATATAGAGAACTGCAGCTGGAATCAGGTTGGCCAAATGAGACGTTGATGACACAACACCTTGCCAACGTACCCAATCTGGATGTCAACCAAGTCATGGACATTGTCAACTTGGCCAAGGATTCTTTGAAGGCAACTCAGCTTGAGATGCAGGAGATCTTTTTCAACTTTGTCCACCTGACGAACGTGCAAGAACCTACACCACATGCTCGTCATCAAGGACAAGTAGAACTGACACTTCTTCCTGAGGAGCCTGTGGATACTACGTTGCCTGCAACAGGAAAGGTTCGACTTGAACTACAATGGAGCAACCTTTCGCCAGTTTGGCAGAAGGCATTTGAGCAGCCGATCAAAGATGCACTGGACATCTACTTCAAACATGATGCTTTGGCTCCGGTGATGCCGAACGAGGTGGTGGATGCTTCAGAGATTCTTCCCAGTCGTTTTGTCTTGGTAAACAAGACGGATCCCCGGAATCAACACCCAGCTGATGCAGATCTTCCAGATGCGAAGCTCAAAGCCAGATTGGTCATTGCAGGACACATGGATCAGAGAGCAGGAGGCTTTGAGACAGAGGCTCCAACTGCAAGCCTGCTTGCACACAACCTCTTATGCTTTTTGGCGGCACAATGGTCTTGGAAGATGACATTTGCAGACATTTCAGCAGCGTTTCTGCAAGGAGACTACTTGCCGGCAGAGAGAAGGGTTTTTGTGCGATGCCCAAAGAATTATCTTCTTTTTGTACGACAATACTTGATGAGCAAGTTACCCGCAGGAGCACGCACTGATCTCATGAGGATGAAGAAGGCAGGTTTTGGTCTTGCAGAATCGCCAAGGCTTTGGTACAAGAGGTTTAAGCGAGGAGCCGAATCAGTTGGTGGACGTGAACTTCACCTATGTCCAGGAGTCTTTGCCTTTTTCCAAGGGGGCAGGGTCATTGCGCTTTTGGCTGTCCATGTGGATGACGTGAGGCTGATTACAGACAATGAATATGAGAAGGTCATGATGGAAAGGCTCAATTCCCTCTTTACGTTTGGGGAATGGGTCCACCCGGTGCAATGGACGAAGTTCTGTGGCCGTTTTGAGAAGCAAATGCCAGATGGGACTGTCTACATGCAGATGGACCAGTATGCCGAGCGTCTGGTAGATCCCCCGCAACGACCACGTGGACAAGAACATCCTCTGTTGCCGAATGAACGCAAGTGGATCGGAACTTTGTGGACAGCTCAACTGGATGGCTAGACAATGCAGAGCAGATCTGGCCTTTGGAGTTTCCAGAATCCAACAGTTGGCTGGAGTAGCTGATCCGGCAGCCTTGGTGGAGCTCAAGCTCTTGGTGGACAGGGCGAGAATTCCGGTCACCGTGAAGTTCGAGAAGCTGGGATGTGAGGTGAAGGACATGGTGGTGGTGTGCACATCAGATGCTTCTTTCGCCGGAATGCCGAGGGGAAGATCCCAAGGAGGTTTTGCAATTGGGTTTGCCAATCCTGACATTTTGTCAGGGACTGCACCGTTCAATGTGGTGCATTACCACTCTGGACTGCTCAAAAGGGTGGTCCGGTCAAGTCTGGCTGCGGAAATCAGTCAAGCAGCTCACACGCTTGAAGAAGGCGACTTCGTCAGAGCCCTCCTGGCCGAGATGATCTCGGAGAACTTCGAGCTCAAGATGTGGGTGCCGCATGTGGCGCAGTGGAAGTTTGTCTTGGTGCTCGGCTCTCGCACCGGATATGACCTGTTGAACGGAACAGGTCTTGGTGAAGACAAGCGATTGGCCATTGACATTGCGGCCATGAGACAGGCCCTTCAAGAAGATGGTGCCGCTCGTCTGGTCAGATGGGTCCCAGGCGAGGAGCTCATCGCGGATGACCTGACGAAACTATGCGGCAACCAAAAGCTGATGGCCACGCTCGCTCAGGCTCGATGGGCCCTGAAGGACACGGATGTGGCGAAGCGACTTCGAGCAGACGCTGCCGCGAGGAAGAAGAACTACCGGCAGCGCATCTCGGCTGGTCGTGAAGAAGCCGAGGCTCAGCGAAGGAGCTGAACACACACTCCAAAGGGGGTTAGTGTGAGTTGTGCCTGACTGGGAGCCGGTCACGGCCCGAGGCTAGGGTAAAAGTTGGTGTGCGGTCCTGCACTTTCAGTATTATTCTATGTGGTATTCCATTGTCAGATTGTACGTAGTCTGTACTTTCTCTATACCTTGATGGCAGGTCCTTGCGCGCTTTTCCATTTCACCAGAGTTCGTTTGGCAGTGCTTGAACGGCGCTATGTGGTTTGAGGCAATGCAGACCTATGGCTATGCCGCAGCTGTGTGGATTCTATTTCTCACGTTTGCTGCAGTTTCACCTTTGGCTATCCGAGTGATTTGGCTCTTTGCTTTCGCTTTGCTGGACATTGGTTTCTGTCTTTGCTCTCTGCTGCTCAGTAAAGTCCGTTTTGCCCACAAAGTCGCGAAGCAGGTCACAGGCCGCCGTTGAACTGGATGTCAACAGGGCAACGTGTTCGAAGATTCGCAAGATTTCCCAAGATTTCCCAAGATTTCCCAAGCCTTTACAGTCGCAAACAAGACGTATATATGAGCAGTTCGAACAGTGAAACATGATGAAGCATGTAGACAATGTAGAGCAGTGTTGAAAAATGCCGGAGCCTCATGATGTGCATCTCAAGCACATCCGGCTGTTGCAGGAACATGGGAAGGCTGGCTGCTGATTCATGGAGGTCTGGACTACATGAAACACATCGTTGGTGGTGCAGAGGGCAATTCCATCATGGCCTTGGTGCATTGGTTCTTGGACGATAACGCGGCTTTTTGCAACGGAATCCGTCTCTTGGCAACATGCTTAGCTCACTTAGCTCACTTAGCTCACTTAGCTCACTTAGCTCACTTGATTGACTTCAGTGGCAGCCCCTTGATGAAGCTTTCATCTTTGTCTCCAATGTCTGCTGTTCACAGATTCATTTTAGCGACATAAAGAGACAATTAGCATCAATTAGCGGCTAGTGCCAATTAAGGAATTGGTTTCCGACTTCTTGCGGAAGGAACGCACGGAGCTTCTCTGACAATTTGCGGCCGTGCTGTGTGAGGATCGAATAGAGGCAAGATTGCGCACGATTCAAGAATCGTCAAAACGCGCCAACAATGATTGCAACATATTATAACATATTGTAACAAGGCATGACTAAATTTGAGAAAAGTCCGAGGGTCAGATCGGGTCAGATCCAGACCAAAGCAAAGTCTGAAGGCGACGCAGAATAACTGCGGCTACTTGGCAACAATGTCTTGCTGAGAGCACTGAGCTGCAGTCGCAAAACCATTTTGACAGTTGAAGTGTAGCCATGCTATAGTGGCTGTGCCCGCCGTTCAAAGTCCAAAGTCGACCTTGGAACACCGAAAATGGTGGGGGAGGATGGAAACGACATGAAGCGCATGGAACGGCAGTCAGGTTCAAGGTCACGGATGGTCACGGTGGAATTCCACTCACAAGCGACACAAGTTTGATTCAGTCCCTAAGTCTTGATGTCAAATATGTCAAATATGTCAAATATTTCAAAGTCCTGAGCATTTCGTCCCGGTACCCACTGCACAAAGGTCTGTGTAACGTACTGTACTTCTGTCATCTTCTGTCACTGTTGCGCCAGGCAGACGAGATGTGCCAAATGGCGATGTAAGGCCATTGTATGATATTGTATGATGTTGTATGATGTTGTATGAACCTGATTTCTTGACAGGTTATTTTCAGTCTAGGTTTCATCAATGTTAGTACTCGAATCAGATTCATCAACTTGAAGCCTCGAGGTCACTGATTCTGAAGCCTCTGAGACAGAATTTGATCTGCAAGGCTTTTGCGGAAAAGATGGGCAGCGCTATTTGTAGCCATCACAACGCAAGACAGATGAGTCAACTATTTATCAGCAAGCAGTTTCTAGGAGCTGTTGAAGCAATAATATGCATTGGAATTGCAAATTGCATGGTGGCTGCGTTCAGAACGATTGGCACATCGCTCGGAGACATTCGGACCAATAGATGCACGGAGAAGAGCATATCACATCATGAAATATAATTTATATATAGATATATATATAGATATTTATAGATCATAATGATCATCATAATAGATACATTTTGCATCTTCCGAAATTCTGAGGACTTTGGAGACAAGTGGAGTTGAACAAATGTGAGCGCGATTCAGTGCAAAGAAAACACATTCAGATCATTCAGGCTAAGCCATAAGAGGATGCAGCTAGGATATCTTCCCCCGACTCATCGCAGCGATCAGCTAACCGCCCCAAAAAGACAGAATCCATACTGCATTCAGATCAGTTTAATGTATATATATATGTATTGAAATCAACATCAATTAAGTCAACAATGTAATTTAAGATATCTTTAGGTATCAAATTATATCTGAGATGTACATTTTATGTTTGCATAAACTTCGAAACCTTCGTTTAACCGACGCTTGGCTGCGAGCTCGTTTCCCTAGCTGCTTGGTTGCACTGCAGCACATTTTTCTTCGTCAAGTCGCCTGCTTTTGCACATGGAATATCATGAAAATTCATTGAATATCGGTTTAGAAAACAACCATTGCAAATGTTGTGCAATATCTCCGCCTTGAAATTCTGCAGTTGTGTCTTTTTATGATCATGTTCCTGGCAGGTGTCGTAGCGCATCATGGTTCTTGCCCAAAAAAAGGCGCGGTCATCAGAAGCGATTCGCATATTTTAGGGTTGCAGCCCTGCTGCCACCATTGCTGTAGAGCCATGCATTTGCATCAAAAACGCATTCGGAGAGCACGATTTTAAAAATCTATTCTGCCAGAAATGGTAATCCGTTCGTTTTGAAAGGACTGGGCGAGCATTGAGCAGGAGTTGGCAGCAAAAGAAGCTGAACTCTTGCAGAAGGACTTCTGATCAACCGTAATGTGAACCTATACACACAATCACACTCAGTCACACTGCCTTGCGTTGTGTTGCAAACAGTTTGCATGTAAAACATGTGGAAACAAAATGAAACAACATGAAACAAATATCCAAACATGTTTGCATGTAAGTCACCCATTTTTTTTTCACAGAGGGCGGTAGTGTTTCAATCTGGCTCTGCGCATATTGTGCGCTAGGAGGGCAGCGTGCTCAAAGAAGAGCATCTTAATGGCTACAGGCCGGTTACAGGCAGTTTGCTACAGATGCCGGCAGGGCTTCTGTAGTTTGTGTAGGGCCTGTCAGCCCATGGCAAAATTTCAGAAGCATCTTGCAGATAAAGGGCCTTTGTGTGGAGCTGGCAACGTCCAGTTGAATGGAAAGAAACTAAACATGATAGTAAGCGAGGTCAGGCAATTGCGCCATTTGACCCTATTAGAAACATTTAAAGACAACCTCTTGGAAACTGGCACGAGTCGCTGCAATCTTGCAACATTTTGTCACCATTTGCCCGTTGAATTTCTTCGAGATTTCAGGTATGTGCCAACCGTCAAGGTCGTGGACAAAGCTTCCTGGGACACCTTTGCAGTTCCACATGTGAAACCGAGCTGCACGTCCAACGCTAAGGGATTCAGACTCAGAGTCGCCCTATGAAATTTTGTATGCTTTCGTACATCGTTGCACCGGTTGCACATCGCTGTACATCGTCGCTTGTTGATCTTGATACGTATTTTTATATTCTCTAATGCTCAGCTGAAACTTTGCAGCAAAATGGGAGAGTCCACTGCAGTGCAGAGGTCAGAGAACTGGCACCACAAAGATTTACTCTTCGAGATCGGAGAGGGAATAGCGTATCTCACGCTAAACAGGCCAAGAACATCCAAGAACTGTAATTGAGTTCAGCTGGAGCTTTGCAGCAAGTGATTCAGGTTAGGCGATGTTAGGTGTTTCACATGGTCACACAAAATTTGTCTCACATGGTTTCACATGGTTTCACTTGGTGTCCGGATTGAGATAAGAGACTGCTGTCATTTCGCAAAGGCTAGTCTTGCCTCTTGCCTAGTCTTGCCGGGTCACAAGGGTCCACCTTTCTCTCCACCTTCGTCAGCCTCGACTGGAGAAAAAGTTTCTTCTCATCCCACGCCAGGCCAGATGTAAACAACGTGCTCAGCGAATCCATGGCCCAAGCTTTACAAGATGCCACGTGTGAGCTTCATGTACGTCTAAGCCTTAATAAGCTGCATCCGTAGATTCAGTGTGATCCAGCGAAATCATGCGACATCCAACGCATTGTGCAACCACATAAACATGAGAACAATCGGGCTGAGTCGGTCGATGTCGGTTGTTGTTCTTGATCTCTGTCGATCCCCCATCCTGTGACAACTTGAAGTCCAGCAATCCCAGCAATGTTGAAACGCTCCAGATGAAACCTTCAGACTTGGAGTTTGTTTCTTCTAATTCCTGAGCTGATTCCGAGTGAATGCTTGTTGCGTGGCATTGAAGGCACAGACGGGACCGCTTTATTTAGGTCCCTATCCATTTGCAACCTGTCCATCCTGTGGCAGCACGGTGCCTTGATGAGTGCTCGGACTTCTCTGAACTCTCGGCGTTCCGTAGCCTCTCGAAGTGCATATGAGTCTCGCTTCTCGACAAAAGAAAGAGCGAGAGCGGACTACCACAGGGAGAATATGAAAGAGTTTCTGTTTCAAGTCGCACGACACCCGCAGAAGTTTGAAGACCACATTGCTAAGCGACGAAACCAAAGTCAGCAAAGCGATGAGGAAAGTGAGGAAAGTGAGGAAAGGGAAGCACAGCACCACGACCTTTGCGAAGTGCATGTATTGCACGAGAAATGTGCGAAGGTGAGGCAGGTGAGCCTTTCCGAAACAGATGAGATCTTCTACATCAAGGATGAGGATCAGAAGGATGAGAAGGATGAGAAGGATGAGAAGGCCGTATCGCAGATATCGAAGGATGGGCAAGGTTTGAAGTTGGAGATGTGCGGCAAGCGAGAAATCGTGAGCCTCTAGGCCAGAGACGTCCGTGAAGAGGCGTCCAGGGTGCCAAGCTGCATCTCGAGTGTAGGTTTCGGAACAGGTCTCACAATGTAATGAAAAAATGGAATAACATAATATAAACATGTATCATATATGCAATTGGTCATACCTCATTTCTTTCTCAAGGTTGAATGATTGAAGTGGACGTCAATTAATCAGAACTCTTTGTTCCGATTACATGGTCTTTCGCATGTTCCAGCGAAAATGAGACCTGGACCTGTCGACTACCAACAGTAGTCAAAGAAATTCTTTGTTCCGAGGGGCCGCCCTTACATTGTCAATGTGCCAAGCGACAACTCCATTTTCGTCCTTGATGATCCTTGAATCCTTGATGTAAGCAACACTCTGATCCACCAACTTTCGAACATGTTTAAGTTTGGTTCGTGAGCTATCGCGGGCAATCTTCGAACTGCCAGCAGTGTATACGACTCAACGACAGAATGGGGTGTTCTGCACGCGCCCGACACGTCGCTTGATTTGGCACGCATGCACCTGAGAGATTCATCAGACTGGCTAACGGCCAATGTGTGTTTCGATTCTCATTTCAGGATGCTGTAAGAAGAGAGGGAAAAGCTTGACCACCCATCATCACCTGATGATTGCTCTCGGGATGAATTCAGAGTTGTGAATTATTTTCCAACTCTGAGTGACACGAATTTAAAACTTATCAGTTGTTGGAATGGGCCAAGACTCCGCCTGTTTCATCGCGGAGCCTGCACAACGAAGCTAAGTTCATTCTGATTCGTTGCCTATTGTTGCCTGTAGTGTGTTTCTCGCGCTTCTGTACAAATATCAGCTCTGCCGCCTGACTTTACGATGCCGAGCTGTGTTTCAGGACGCTCAATTTTTTGGACATCACACGCAGCAAGGAAAACGAACGAAAATGAGTCAAATGAGTCCAATGAGCATGTCATCCCATCCGCTTCCTTTGGAACAGCTTTCAGCAGGTCAATTCCAGATGATTCAAGTCAATCGATTTTGGACACTCTCCTGTTGTTCCTGTTTCCATATTTACAGTCAATTTTGTGTCTGAGTCAAGGCCGTGACATCCGTATTGTTGTTCTGCGAGCAGAGGGCAGCATGTTTTGTGCAGCGTGCCTAGCAGTGGCAGTGCAAAGATGCATAAACTGTCAGCGCGCAGTCCACATGATGTCTATGTCTCTTACATTCTCGTACTGTACCTCGTGACCATGTTTTTTTTGATCCTGCCTTTTGCAAGGCTGGTGGCGACCCGAAGCATTTCTTTGATGCTCTGGCCATGTCAGAGAGAGAGGACCGCAAGGCTTGCCAAGAAAGATAATGGTTGCATATGGTTGCCCAATGTTGCCCAATGTTTCCATAAGTTACGTTTGGTTTGGTTACTCGTTTAAGCTGAAACGACCTTACTAGGAGGTGGGCCGAGTGCTCGAGTCAGCGCTGATGATTGGCCTTTAATAATCTTTAATGCGCCAGGCTGCGATTGGCTTCATGAAGTTCCTTTTCTGGTTCCAGAGCCTCCCACAATTTACTGTTGGATTGGCACAGGCGAGCAACTTGCACCATTCAGATTCATTCAGATCCATTCAGATCCATTCAGATCCTTCATTTTGGTATTGTGGTATTGTGATGTATTGTGCCGACTTTTAATCCAGGCACATTGTTCCCCAACAGAGAATAAAGTCTTGTTGCAATGGTTGTAAACACATGTAAACACCATGTGAGAGCATGTGCAATCGTGGACCTTTCTTCGGAGCTCCACTCTTATCCCTGCCTTAAAGATTACAGAATCTCTGAAACTTGAAAGATAATGAACGATATTCAAATTATTCAAACGTTTTCAAGATTTATAATATTTTTCATGATATTTTATGATCACTTCACTTCAAGGCTCCGACCATTCCGACCCAGAGACAGGATTTATGGATTCGATCAAAGCATTGCTGGTATCAAGTTGTCTCACGCTTCAGGGCTCTGCGATGGGTACTGGAATCGCCTTGCTTTGTGTGTGCAGTGCACCAAGAGTCTTCAAAGCGTGTCTGACAAATTGGCTAAACAGAATTATGCTTCAAAATGCTTCAAAATGCTTCAAAATGCTTCAAACATATTCAACTTGTTTTAACTCTTTGTTTTCTCTACTGACTTGAATATGCTATGTCCTGCCATCCTTCAACGTATCGAAATGTATCGAATCGAACGACCGGCAGAACGCAATTTGCACCAAGGTGATATGGTTCTTGCTGCAAGCAATGCGCGCTTCACTTGCTCGGAGGTGCCACAAAAAGTACTCCTGGAATAGCGTGCTTTTTGTTTTTTTCGAATCGTGTGCAATCACGCTAGAACAAAAGTCAAAATAATCAAGGAAATTCCAGAAAAGCCGGAAAGATTTGGAAAGATTCGGAAAGGTCCCTCAGGATTCCTGAGCTGAGATAGCATGAGATGGGATTCAAAGCTGGCAGTGTCTTATTCTTTTTCCCACAACTTGTGACGCCGCTTCTGCCGCCCCTGTGAGGTGAAATTGGGATTTTGCCCGGCTGCAATTGCACCATCACTGACTCGAAAGGCCAGAGAAAAGTGACACAGTGAAGTCTGCAAGAGTGAAACACGGTGAAACCAAGAAGCTGAACGTGTGAATCAGAGTGAATCAGATACCAGTTTGATATAGTTTGATAATGTTTGATATAGTTTGATGTGATTGTGTGATTTGATCCTGTGACAGAGTTGGATTTATGGATTCGACTCAATGTCAAGCTGAGTCAAGCTTGTTCACTGAGCTTGACAAAGTGTACAAAGCTCTAGGTGGGGCCTGCTTTTGCCAAGCGGCTTTTGTGCATGGACACAAGCTCAATTTCCTGTCAAATGTCGGGGACGTGTATGAATCAGGGCTCATTGAATTAAGTCGATTCCAAAGCCTTGCTGCAACTCTCATCTCTGTCCATCCTATGTCATCATTCTGCCTTGAGGCTGAAAACATTTCCGCAGAGCAAGCAAAACGGTTTGCTGCCCCAGGAATCGATTCTTCATGTTAAGCTTCTTAAGGAATGCAACCAAACAGACGCACACATGCACCCGCAACTTCCAAGAATCGGAGTTACAATGACTCATGGCCCTTCAAAATTAAAGGGCTACGCCCCCTGCCGCCGACTGGGCAACTCGCTATGAGAGCAGAGTGAAAATAGTTTGGCTAAGCGACCTGTGGTGTTGGACGACTGGCCAATTGATGTGTCGATGCCATCTCTCCGCGATCTGAGACAGGAGACCGAGGTGGGCAGGGAGCTTCAAAAAGTCCTGACGAAATATCTTCAGATTCCTCAGGGCTTCTATCAATTTCTATCATTTGTAATCCATGGGGAAAACACACGCGAAACAAAAGCAAAAGAACACAAGATAAGATTAAGGAGAACACGGCAGACTCGGAAATGAGAAACAGAGTTGGTTTGTTAAGTACCAAGTCTACAGACAGAGCAGTGGTTGGCAGCACAGGCTATTGGGCTGTATTGCTTGTGTGAACTGCTCAGCCTGCGACTACTTCAACCTTCAGGGCAGTGGAGGCAAAGTTTGTTTTGACAGCGATATCGCACGCAACTTTGACTAAGTATGCAACTGTTTGTTTATGGGATGCCGCATGAGGGCTGATTTGGTTGTGTTCACAGCCCATAACAGGATGGTGCTGGAACCTGCTCTGTGTTTTTATCTCAAGAGTTCTTCCATTAGTTCAAGACACTATTGGAATGAAGTCAGTTCCATTGCTGGGGAATTGGAATAAGAACATATAAAACCAAATGGTATTTGCAAGTCTTTGCGATATTTTGGAATCAGTCGCAGACCACCAACAACTGAATAGAATTGCAAAATATGGCAACTGCTGTAAAGTTAAAGACAGTCACGCCGGCAGCCAGAATGGCACCCAGGTATGCAATGCCTGCACGGCCTTGGCATTGGTCTGTCGTGTAGCCCGGCGTGCCAACCAACGCTTGATGCCATTGAGAGAACAGCGCCAAGCGGCAACAGCAAGAAATGATTCTAGAAGAAGTTCGGCGAGAATTCAGAAAGTGACTGCAGCGCAAAATGCAAACACGTTGTCCGCGGCAGGGGCAGGCTCGCTGCAAAAACCTCAGCATCAGGCACCACGCGCACCACGTCGCTTTCTGAAGCCACAAGAAACTAGCTCCAACATGACTGCCCAGACTTTCAAAACGGACCCCTTCGCCACACTGCAACACCATGGGAGTGAAGGACGGATGGCGCCTGCGGCCTGCAGCCGGTCGTGCCCAGCATCGCTTTCTGAAGCCACAAGAAACTATATACTCCAACATGACTGCCCAGGCTCCAAAACTTTGCTTCTTGTTATAACTTCTTGCCCCTTGCTGCTGGTAATGAGCTAGCCCCAAATCCAAATTGCAGCCTTCAAGTTTCTTCTTCTTCTTCTTCTTCTTCTTCTTGCATCCTGACTTCTTGCCCGTTGCCTTGTAATTGCTTCTTGTGTTCTTGCGTTCTTGCGTTCTTGCTTCTTGCCCCTTGCTGCTAGTAATTGCTTCTTGCGTTCTTGCTTCTTGCTTCTTGCCCCGTGCTGCTTGTAATAACTTCTTGCCCCTTGCTGCTGGTAATGAACTAGCTCCAAATCCACAATGCAGCCTTCAAACTTCAAACTTCTTCTTCTTCTCCTCCTCCTTCTGCTTCTTCTTCTTCTTCTTTTTCTTCTTCTTCTTCTTCTTCTTCTTCTTCTTGCTTCCTGACTTCTTGCTTCTTGCCGCTTGCTGCTTGTAATTGCTTCTTGCGTTCTTGCTTCTTGCTTCTTGCCCCTTGCTGCTTATAATAACTTTAACTTCTTGCCCCTTGCTGCTGGTAATTTCTCCTCTGACGCGCTCCCCCTGCAAGCGGGGTCGGCCGATTCGCTGTCTTTATGAGTTATGTGTGAATTCATTCCAACAATTTCCAATGCACATCCTGTATCCCCCAAACGTATATTGCTTTTGCACGCTAAGAATGGGGCTCGTCTCTGATGCTGGAGCCTTGGCATGCTGTGTGACGCTGACATAAAAATCATTCGACTAATTCGGCCTCGTTTTTTTTCTGTGGATTCTCACCGTTCTCGGTTTCACGGAGGTAGTGGAAGAGGAGAGTGAGTTTTCGGACTACATGAAGGAGATTTGTGAGAAGGTGACGCCAGGACCCAAGACTCTGAAAGCGTGCTGTCCACACTGAACATAGACTTGATTATAAAGCATTTTTACGAAAGCCAGCCGATAGGCTAGGCAAAGTTGTTTTCGCGAACGAAGTGAGTATAGGGGATGTGGGAGGTTGCCCAGGTGGCCCGGAATCTCGATATTGGGTGGTGATTAGGGTGCCAATTGGAATTTTTTCGGCGGGCATGTGCCACTAGGCAATTTGGTGCGGTGGGGTTCGATTCTCCCTAGGTCCCTTCAAAACGGAAGGAAAAAGGCAGGAAAAAACCAAGGAAAATGAAGGAAAACCGTTAAAAACAAAGGGAAAATGGAGGAAAATTGTGAAAACTATAAAGCTTGGAAAAGCCGCTGGGAAAAACCAAGGAAATCGAGGAAACCGTTGGGAAAATGAGGAAACTGCAGGAAGGAAACCCTGGAAAAACTGTAGAACATAGACGCAAGATGCAAGCATATTCAAAAGAATAAGGATCCGAAGCTCAACGGAGAGCAGCGTCCGTTGGGGTTCCGAGCAAGACGGTTTGCAAGGGGATGAGGAGTGATGCCGAGGAAGGTCTTTCACACACCAACTTTGTCACATACCACCTTTCACACACCAGCTTTGTCACACCATCTTTCACACACAATCTTTGTCTCACACCATCTTTCACACACCATCTTTGACATGCCATCTTTGACACACCATTTTTCACACCACTTTGTCACACACCATCTTTCACACACAGTCACAGACCATGTTTGACACACCATCTTTCACACACACCTTTCACACACCACTTTGTCACACACCATCTTTCACACACAACTTTGTCACACACCATCTTTCACACACTACTTTGTCACACACCATCTTTCACACACCGTCACAGACCATCTTCCACACACCACTTTGTCACACATCATCTTTCACACACCATCTTTCACACATCATCTTTGACAGACCATCTTTCCCACCACTTTGTCACACACCATCTTCCATACACTACTTTGTCACACACCATCTTTCGCACACAACTTTGTCACACACCACTTTGTCACACACCATCTTTCACACAACTTTGTCACACACCATCTTTCACACACAACTTTGTCACGCACCACTTTGTCACACACCATCTTTCACACACAACTTTGTCACATACCATCTTTCGCCACACCATCTTTCACACACCACTTTGTCACACACCATCTTTCACACATGACACACAACTTTTTCACACGCTCTCTTTCACACACAACTTTCACACACACACACACGCACACACTAGACAAGAATGGATCATTATATGATCCGGCAGGAACTGAATCCTGAAACATGCAGATTAGATACGAAACAAAGAAATTAACGATGCATCCTACGAATAATAGAAGTTCTCCTGAATGGTTTCCATGTCCAAGATCGTCATCAAAAATAAATCGGCGACGTGGTTTTGAAGGAATACCCCAAATACATCGGCGACATGGTTTCGGCGAAAATACTAAGGAAGGTTCTGATGCAGCTTAACTAATCGTAAATGACCAAAATTGATTCCAGATTGCGACAGCAGTGCAGTAAATTGAAGTTTCAAATGGACGACATGGAGGTTCTTGGGTTGAGCCTCTTCCCATTTCAGAAACAGTTGGCAGGTACGTGACTCCAGCGTCCCGGAGTCATATCAGTCATGAATGCAGCCCTCTTCGTTGGGCAATCAGCTGCAAACATGAGACTGCCCCCCTGCAAATTAGGAAAAAAACGAATCGAAGTTTTACATCTTTCCAGATGAGACACACACACACACACCTCGCATATAGCGAGGTTTGATTTTGGAAGAGCTTTGCGTGCGGGTTCGGCAATACACCAGTTGAAGTGAACCTGTAGAATGCTAATATACAGACCGGCGCTCACTTTATTCAGAAGAGAAATTCGCCGCTTGTTGGAGGATTTGGATCGCGTCGTGGAAGCTCATGCGATCAACCATCTTCCATGTCTCGTTGAGTTCCCCAGATGCAGTAGCAGCCGTCAAGGTGTCTGATAGTTGTTTGGCTAAGTCCTGGATCTTAGTGGTCAGGCCAGGTTCATCAGGAGGAGAGATCGGCTCAATGGGGACATTGTGGAAAGGGTTGTGCCCATGTAGTGGAGGAAGCTCAAAATGATGGCGCCGATAGTCCGCCGTTCGTAAAGACCACTCCCAATTGCCAGAGAGACCGTAGAAATAGTGTTCGGGATCACGACATTTGGAGATTCCCGAGGTTGGTATCTCTTCAATGAATAACTCCCTGGTATTGTTGGAATGAGTAAAGATCTTGAAGTGAATCTGATGGACCACTCGTGAGGAGAAGCGAGCGTGATGAAAAACATTGAACGTGGAGCTCTCCTGTGTCGGGAAAGGTACAGCAGGTTGCGTTGGAGCTGAATATGTGTCCATTGGTGTCGTAGTGCCTGGGTCATTGGGTAAAGTAGTTGCTTCAAGAGATGCCGAGGGGGTCGAGGTCGTAGGAGCGGGAGCTTCAGGGGCGCTCAACTCAAAAGCCTGATAGCCTGGCCTTGTATCAGGGTTGGTGGAAGAAGTTCCACGGTTCGAAGTCGAAGGCCATCCCAAGCCCGCCACGGTTGCGTCGCGCTTGTGCTCCATGGGTGAAACGATCACTCGAATAAAGTTGGTAAAACCAAAAGCTGAGGGAACATATAAGCGCCAGACAATACAATAGTGAAGAAGTAAATAAACGAGGTACAAACGTTGGCGAGGTCATAAATCGAAGGATGAAACAATATATAACAAGACATGTTTGCAATCAACATCTGGTCAGGATGGTGGTAAAATCGTACTGTCCTTTTTTCCGCGGTCTGGTTTTCGTATGAAGTTACGGTAGGATAATACCTTGACGAACTTTATGGCAACGAAGTCGCAGTATGAAAGGCTGTGAAGTACCAGGTACGAGCCAAGTAGATTCGATGTAGTTGTACTGCCGGATGCGCCATTCAGGTCGGTATTCATCCAAGAGTTGCATGATGGTCCAATCGATTGGTACTTGGAAAACATCTCCTTGAAGATCTGCGTAGCGAAATTCCAAATCAGAGGGTACCATGTGGATATCCCATTGGGTGCGTAATCTCGTTGTCAATGCGGTGCGTAGATCTCGAAATGGGAAAATGCCTGCTTCGACTGGTTCATACTGACGTGCCCAGGTGAAAAGAGCTTCAAGTTCTCCAGCACTAACGTTTCTGAAATTTGAGTTGGCAAGGACACTGTATAGGGCATGATCAGGTTCACTGCGATGTGTCAGTTCCTGTAAAAGAGAGTAATCCACCAGGATCAAGACGGGTCTGGGTGGAGGTGGGTCAAAGTCTCCAGGAAGGCCTCCATGTCCAGCAAGCCATGCAGAAGTTCTAGGGCCTTCAGGTGTGTTCACCGTTGATGTAGCGCGATATGGATGAGGGCGAGAAGAAGATGGGGCCATGGCGTCGAACAAAGGAAGTTGAGCCCAAGCTGCATAGTTAAAAAATTACCAAAGGACGGTGAGGAGTAACGTGAAAATAATTGAAAGAGAAATTGTACCACGTTGAATACACCATAATATCCCATAGAGGCGGTCTTCTTTACTGTCGCAAAGCGGAGTGGTGCGTTACACGCTGGAGTCTGACATATCCATAGGGCCCGGTTCGTCATGTGGTACTGGACGATGAGGATGAGGCAGAGGTGTAGTAGGTATGTTCGAGTGAAGGTTTCTGCGAAGTGTCGCTGATGGTGAGGATGGTGGTGTAGATCTCCACGGTGGCCAAGATAAAGATGTAGTTGTACCTTGTGAGTGATGTTGAGCAGAGCGTCCCCAGCAAGATTGGAGAATGTGTATTTGATCAGGAATGGCATCAAATGGTTGTGAGACATGGACGTTGGTATGTTCAGGATGTGGAAGAACAGGAAAGGATGTTGCCGTAGAGGAGGAAGATGAGTGGACAGGTATATCATAGTACTGGCGCCATTGGTTGGCGGTGGTGCGTAGTTTGCCCGGTCACGCGTGAGGTGCATGTTCTCCAAAAAGGTTTCAACAGGCTTCCAAGTTTCTCTGCCATCATCTGTCCGTTCCAAGATCCAAAGTTCATCAGGTCGAGAAGTGAAGGGGTAAGTGATCTTCTTGATGAAAATAGTGTGGACGGTGGTAGAGGTTGGAATCGTTCTGGCCGCACGGGGAATATACGATGCCGATGTTGGATCATCCGATTGTAGAGATGGGCCAATCGTATTGGTCGAGCTCATCGAATAAGGTGATGGAAGCATCCGAGGTGAGACATCAGCAGTGTGGTTCGCCATGTAATGAATGAATAAATATAAGTTTGAAAGCAATCTGAAGCCGAAAAACACAGGAAAGGAGGTCCAAAATAAGGTTTGAGAAGAACACCATGAGGAGGAAGTTACTTCCGTGAAACTCAAGGAAACTGGGAGTCAACAGGTAGTAGAATTGGTACACATGATTTTTGACGATAAAGCACGATGATTCCCAAGTGAGTCCCTGTTTTCTTTTCTGAGTTGGCAGCTCTGTGTCTCGAGATTCAGGCGGCAGTTTTTGTGGATCTCGTTGCCGTAACGAAAGGATGCCCTCGAGGGATAACTTGAATTTGTACAACAAAGCCCGTATCGTGTGGATCTGGATGGGGTGTCAACACAAGAGGTGAGCACTCGCGAGACGTGAAGGCATCAAGGTGTTGGTGAGTCTTCCAGGAAGGATAATACCAGTTCAAGATGTCCAAGATGGAGTGGGGAAGGTCATCAAGCATATGGGCCCCTTGGTCCGTATCAATCATCATGTAGAAGTCAGTGGCCTGAAGGTGTATCGACCATCTTTGTAGAATTGTATCTGTCACCACGGTTTTCAAGTCCGAAACAAAATGGCTGCGAGCGTAGTCCGGATAGATCACTTTGAAGGTCTGGAAGAGGCTGTCATATGTTTCAGTTGAGAGGTTGCCTGCGACCTTGGGTGCCAAAATGTTGAAGTACGGATTTCTGGCTGCCAGTTGTTGCATAGGTTTCAAATCCAATTGCAGGATGACTGGTCGATGTGGTGTAGTGGATGGAGGTGTCCAGCCCGGTGGACGGTGGAACGGTGAAGTACCCATAGCGGAAGAAGATGCTCTGGTCGGAGAGCGTGATCGTCTGGTGGGCGAGATGTGGTCGCTAGCCATGGCTCGCTGCTGACAATATCGATCCAGGTGAATGCGGAGAGACATAATAAAATAGCTGGCAGCATGTGCACAATAAAGGTTCAAAAGGTTCAAAATGGTCAACGATGCAATAATGAGTGAGACAACGGTAACAAAGTGGTAAGCGGGTGAGAATATACATTCGCCACATGGGATGGTGAGACATACACAGCAGCGTTTCGAAGGTGGTGAAAGGTTTCAGCGGCAAGGCCTTTTTCTTTTGGCTCATCTCAGGTACTCAACCAAGTGTGTCTTTGAGCTTGTTCCACATTGAGCGAACGTCAGCTTCAGATTTGCCCATCTTGGTCGAGATCACGCGCCACGAAAATCGGGATTTCTCATCAGATTTCAAAGTACGAAGTTTTTGTTTGTCATCGGCAGTCCAAGTGGTCAAAGGGCTAGGGGACCGGGATCTCGACTGCTCGTGAAGTCGACGGCGTTTTGCAGGTGCTTTGGGAGTTGCTTTGGCCTTCTGTTTGCGTTTTGGAGGTGTCGATGCCGTGGCGGAGAGCTTCGAAGGATCTGGAAGGGCACCAGGTGGTGGGGCAGCAACATGTTGATGTGGTTCTGAAAGATTAGGCTCCAACAACTCATCCATGAGAGCTTCTTCATCAGCGAGGTCAGGCGAGGGAAGGTGTACAGCATCAATAAAGGCATTGGTCGGGTCAGAATAGATCGGTCGAAGGCCTTCAGGTTGGTTCCATACATCTGTGCTGGGTAAAGGTGTCGGTTCAATGTTGGGAATGAGTGTTGGTGGCAGTAAGGCCATTGCTCGGTGTAGTAGAAGATATGCATGATGTACATCGTGAAGGAATTGAAGAAAAACAGGTTCTTGAATCGGAATTGACGTTGTAGGCGATGAAGAAGCCATCGCGCGAAGCTGGAAAATTCCAACAGTGTAAACGGGAACGAATTGAGGGTGAACCAGCTTGAATATCGTCGAAAAGATGCAGTGAAACATTGTCATTACCGGTTGGAGGTGATACATCAACGTGGAAGTAAAATGTGAAACGGAGACACAATAATATCTGAGCCGCAACGGATTTTACCACAATGAAGAAGTGTGAAGATATCGGCGAATAGGCTTGGCAGCGGCAGTTAAATCGGATTCACAAAAACCTGCTGCTCTGTACAAACGATGCAATGCGGCAAAACCTCGAGTCCGTTCCTGGGCAGGGTGCGCACACTTGGCGACCAAAAGGAGTCGTGAAACGAAACCTCATAATTGCACAGCCAAAGGTGATGCCGAGAATGGTGCCATAACCTGGTTGAAGTCACGTGGGGGGCTGTAGCGCAGTGCGAAAGGTTCGAACTCAATGCAAAAGCCCAGAAACTCTTGATCTGGTTCCGTTTCCAAAATGATTGGGTTGCCGTAGAACTCCGGGTGCAGAAAGTTGGCAAAGCAGATTTCGTAGTCCCATGAAGGATCTGCAAGACACAGTCTGTTGTCCACATAACGAAGTAGGCGAGCTGAAAGGTCCAGTGTAGTCAGGGTAGTGCGGTAGGTTCGGTACCAGATTTCTTCCGAAAGGGCGACGACCATCATACAAAGAGCTGGGCCCAGAGGGGAACCCATGGGGGAGCCTCGGATTTGTTCGTAGACTGAAGTGCCGATGGAGAATTGGGTCATCTTCAAGGACATCAGAATAATGCGTTCAATGTCACGGATAAAGATCTTCCTGGTCACGTTCAGTGTGCAACACGTACGGCCTTTGACTACATCTCCGGTGGTGTTTCCCGGGGTTGCCTTCACCGAAATGATTTCGTGCGGGTCTGTGCTCATGATGGTCGAGAGAAATTGCAAAGTAAGTCGCCAGCTGTCGATGAACCGATCAGTGTCGATGCTCGTGAAGAAGCCAGCGAGGTCTTGATTGTGTATACGCGGTGTAGGGAGATTGTCAAAGTCTGTGTTTTTGAGGAGCTGGATGAGATCGAAGACATCTCCTTTTGCCAGGTTGTGGGGGAACGCTTGCGGTAGTAGGTGGTAGATCATCTTGGCAATGCAGTTCAACATAGGTCGGAAAGGTGCTGTAAAGAAGCTAACAATTGGTCGTCCAGCCAGGAACTGTTTTTTGCGTTTTGGTAGGACGTAGGCATTCGGTAGATCTCGGCCAGCACCAAGAGCCCATGGGTATGACTTGCCAAAATGTTTGGTGATCTCGGCGATGGTCTTCTCGATGATGTCGTTCGGGTTGTCTTCCAATTTGCGAAATACTAATGGGTCGGCGAAGGTCTTGGTGAGGCACTGGAAGTAGATCACCGGGCAATAGATCCGCAGGGATGTAGCTCGTTTGTCTTCATTGTGAAAGATGGCCTCCGGGAAGAGCTGCTTGAAGCGTGTGATGTCCTTGTGGGTGATGTGGTTGTGGAGTGAAGTGTAGTGGGAGTGGATGGACCGTTGCCAGAGTTCATCAAGGTGTATTTTTGGCAGTGAAGGGAGTGAGTTCCTGGTAGTCCATGACCGCAGAGCCGAGCGAAGGGATGTGTATATTTCCTTGGATGGTGGGAAGATTTTGTTCTGAAGTGAACCCGTAGCGATGGATGTAAAAGGTGCATCGGCGAAGTGTAGGCTGTCGCCATCGAGAACCAGGTGTTGATCAGGTTGATGAGAAGGGGTTGCATGTTCTCGGAGGGCCAGACAGGCACATTTTGGGTTCTCGCCCCCAGCCCACCTGGTAGCTGCTTCTTTGTGGTTGCACAAACTGTCCATGACCGAGGGGAACTTTGTAAATACAATACCAGTGGATGGAGCCTGTAAAGTAGTATTGTAGTGTTTGGTGCCGTGGACGTGGGTGTTGAGAAGCTGTCGGAGTTGACGAGTCCAATTTGGAGCCAGCAGCCAGGGTGCTCGAAGCGGAACAGGTTTTCGTACTCTTTTGGCTTTCCAGAAAGTCAGGGCTCGGTCGATGGCATTGATGGCATACGAACGTTGAGGTTCTCCAAGGTTGTTGGCGAGGCGTCGAATGAAGTAACATCCATTTGGCCCAATCTCGTTGGAGCGGAGGCGTTTTTCCATGTGGAATCTCTTGACCGAATTGCTACCAAGGTCTTGGATAATTTGCCAAAGCTGAACTTGGCGACCAAAAAGAGGACTGTGTAGAGCTCGCCGTACTTGTGTAGGTGTGGACTTCCATCGGAGTTTGCGCCACAACGAATAGAATCCAAACTGGCGTGAATTGGAAAACTTGGTCCGCGAAATGAGTCCCTTCCGGCAATTGAAAAACTGATAAATAAACGGAGTATTCAATCGAGGTTGCCACAATTGAATTAAGGCTTGTTCCAAAGCCCAAAAGTTGGATTTATTGGTGTAGATCGGAAAGACAGACCACATCCAGAAATGGTCAAATCTGCACCAAAACCGTAAGGCCACTTCGGCCAAGACGAATTTGTTCTGTTGCACTTGCAGGAATTTCCGATAGCGCGAGTGTTCACGGTCCAAAACAAAAGAAGAAGTGGAACCCACATAAAACTTCGGTTGGAAATTAGCAATATGGCTGAATCGCACGTACACCGCTTGAGGGTGTTTGAAACATTGGAGGGCGACGTGTAAGTCGTCCCACGATGTGCAAAAGAAAATGCGCCGCATCGCTTGTTGATATACTCGGGGTCAGACAAAAAGCTTTCATAGAACTCCTGGCCATTGAGTGACATCTACCATCAGCGTTGAGGATCCAGTTGGGTATGTCCAAGAACGATCCTTTATTTCTTGCACATGGATGCCATCCCCGCCTTCAACAGTTTGACCTGTTCAGGCTTGGGCTTCGACTCCGGCATGGCGGCGGCGAAGCAAAAGCCACAAACAACAGCCGCAGCAGCCAGTTGTAACTAATATATCCCAGTGCTTCCTCGCTAAATAAACCACATTGATGAATCCATTTACTGCGTGATATGATAATGATGATCGATCCTTTCAGGTCTAGAGCACATTTCTCGGGCCATGCGGCGATCGAGAGAGGTTGGTTGGCCAAGATGGCCCACAAAGTTTTCAAATCCATGCTGCGTTGCTAAGACTGTCGGGCACAGGAGGCCTAGGCCAGCCGAATGTTGTAGGCCATGCTCGGATCGCAGACCTTTCCAGCACCCCGGTTGGATTCTGAAATGCCTAAAAGCTAAAGCCACAGATTGGAAGCCGCTAAGTATCAGACGCTTTCTCAGGGCCAGGTTTCCAACACGCATTAGATTGAGCCACAGTGCTCAAGAGGGTAGAGCTAGCGGATGTGAACATGAGGCTGGACAATCCTTGATGTAAGGTTTAGGCCATCCAGTGCTATACAGCACATCTATATATTTAAACCTATGGATCTTCCAACCCCAAGGTTTAACCTTGTCGTTAGTAACCCCAAGGTTTAACCATGTCGAGGAAGTTGTTGCGCACCCCTTCTCGTGGTGACCGTGTTGTTTTGGTTTTCGAACAGTCGTCACTTCACATGCATTGTGGACTGGGTTCATTGTGGACTCTTTCTTGCCTTGTTGCCCTTGCTGCTATGAAAGAGATTAAGAATGCAGAGGCCGGGTGCATGAAGACACATGGGACTTCGACCCAGATTTGGTGATTTCCATTCTCCGTTAGCTGCAGAAAATGGTGTGAGAAAATGACCGAACCAGAAAACCTCGTAATCAGCCAGAAAAAACGACACATTCGAGATAGAACTTACGGAAAAGGCAAGAATGTGTTCTCAGAAGTCGACAGGAACGAAATACGCGAACACATCGCGTCATTCAATATCATGTGTATTTCTGCGCGCGTAAACATACATGTGCTTTCTTTTCACGCGACGGCATTCTTTCCAGGGACGCACATCCACGGAAGAGTGCGACGAGAAAATGCGCAGAAAACAGGACGGATTCATTATTTCGAGCCACATAAGGCTGAGCTTTCGTATCTTTCGCTTCTTTTGCAGTTAGTTCGCTTTGTTGTTCAAGATGATGATATTGAGTTAAGTATTTACTGTTTTGAACTGCATGATGCTATTTTTGGATGCTGGTGATATTGATCAACTGAACTGCATGGTTGGCTGCCCTGGTCATGTTCGTACAACAACAGGAACACTGTGCCCAGGCAATTTGTTCTTTATAGTTTAGTCGAAGAGGTGCATGTGCAACATGTTTTGTATCCTGCTCAGATAGAGGTTAAATTTTCTTCACCCAGCTACATTCATCCTTTTGATGGTGCTTTTCATTGGCCCATTGGTTTCTGCAAAGGCAACGGAAACACGATGCCACCAGCCAAGCCACATGAAGCCACATTATCGTCCTAAGCACGCAAAAACAAACCAAACCGAAAAAACAAGCCTTGCATCATCCAAACATCCTTTCTCCGTGCTTCCGCCAGGAACATCGAAGAGAGATCAACTCCCAGGCCCAGGCGCCTGGTTGCGTGATCAAAACTATCCTCCCAAGAATCAACGGTTTCCCTACTAAAGATGACCAAATTTGCGAGTCGTTGTGACCATAGTTTTGATCCAAACCCAGATGCTCTTGCAGCCACGCCCACCTCGGCCGGCCAACCGCAGGTCTGAAATTTTGGCCTCAGCCATTACCATACACATGTCAGCAAGGCATGCACCGTCATGCATATCAATGCAGTCCAGATACTTTTGAACCTTTCAATCAGAGCTGCTTCGAACAGCCATAGCAGACCATCTCTCTAGAGAATGACCTTGGATTTGGAGGGAAAAATCCTTCTCTGGATCCTTGGAGGCCAGGGCGGGCGGGAGCTGAGCAAACCTTGTGTGACAGGGAGCAACAGCTGGAAAATCTTGCAAAACACAAACCCAATCAAGGCAATTTGCGTCGATGAGGGTTCGATTCGGAAAAAAAAGATGAGTTGGAAACACGTCATATAACATTTGTCAATGCTTGTCACTTTCTGGCCAAAGCAAGAGTTCGAATTTGGATGAATTTGGTTTATAAGGTAGTGATGCCCATATGAACTCAACAATATTTGCTTCTGACACTTGATTTTTTTCTTTGAATTTTCGAAGACGTTTTTTTTCCAATATTGAACTTCACAGGTGTGTGACATTGACAACATCATGAGCGCGGACACAATTGGCACTGCCAGGGACAACGCGTCGCTCGGACTCTTTGCTTGGGCAATGGCAGTCGTTGTAGGTGTATCATGTCTATCGGCATTTTAGAGAAGGACGATGAAACAAAATCAGAACTTTCAAAAGATGCATTTTCACATTTTTCAGATGTATAAATTGTATGTCATGCGATGTTTACTCATGTAAATTTCATTAAAGTGTGAAAGCGCATGTCTGTCAATTCAATGTTTGTCAATTCAATTTGACGACTTCAGAATTTGTTTTAATACATTCTAACGAGTTCAGCAATGCTTTGACAACACAAAGCTGTGGCGGAAGTTCAAAAAGGGATACTGTATCAGGGCGTGTTGTGCAATGCTGAAGGACTTCTGATCTATGCTTTGTTGCTTCAGATGTTTGCACTATGTTCGTCCCACATGTTGTCGAAATTAAGTTGGCGCCGTTGCATTTCAAACCAGTGCGGTTGTCATTTTCACACCCTATGTTTGGAAGGAGCACATGCTGCCTTTTTTCACACGATTCCCATCATGACTATTACAAGCAGCATTTTCATCATCGAAGCTTTCCAATCTTTCCAGGACAAATGCCATTATCAGGAGCATCATGAAACCCCTGCAGCCAATGAGATGAGCGGAAGTATGCCTAAGATGTCAAACAACTGAGTTTCTCTTTTATCCATTTCTATCCTCTGCCTCTGCATTTTTAGCCTGGGTGAGACTGTGATTCATCGCGAGATTATGGTCTATGTATGCCGTATGCCTATGTTATAATTATAGGGACAACCAAGCCAGTACATGCATACCGTAGCACCCGCAACCCCCCCAAACTCATCGCAATCTGCAGTGATTGCAACGCGTCGAAACAAATGGAGCTGGACGCCGGGCTCTTTTTTTTTCGTAATGCAGACCAAGCACGCATCGTCAAGGCTTTGGGCGTTGGCAATGACACACCAAGAAGACCTTGAGCGCTTGGTTCCAATCCCTCAAGAGCACCAGCAGCAGCACCACCAGCAGCAGCAAAATGAGTGGTTTCTTGCACTTTCCTGCCTTGAAACTGGTTCGAGCGAAATACGCGAACCATGCCAGGTCCAGCATCTGGCTAGTAAAATACAATTTTGAAGATTTTCCCGACTCAGACATGACGTGCAGATGACATGGAACATTGTGCCAAAAACCAGTAATTGCTGAGTCATTGCTGAGTTATTGCTGTTTTTGGTAACAATCCACATTGAGCGAGATGTTTTTCGTGTTTTCAATCGGTTTCTAGCTGTTCAATCTGTCACTAATCATTTTAGTCATTTCGTTTTGGATCTCAAGTGCTCCTGTGACATCATTTGATATGCATGGAGCTTCGGTACATCTTTTCAGGGTAGCTAATAGGGTACACTTTGCAGTGAGCAGAATTCATGGAGACAACAAACAACGGAAACAATTTGGGGTACCGGGATGAGGCTAGAAAATTTGATGAAGTTATTCCAAGTGATTCCATGTTCAAAGATGCCTTAGCGAGATGAGGTCCAAGCAGCATGAGATGTGGAGCACTCAAGCGGAAGGCACGTGTTTCGTCAAGGCCACAGGTAGTGGTTTTTGTTCCCGTTGAAATTGAGTCACACAAACTAGGTGCACGTTTGGTAGTTGGCCGATGTGACTTAGCTTGACGAGGAACTTGACATGCCAGAGCAGATCCTCATGCAACTAGGTGGAAAAATAATGAAAAATATCCAGGGTACGGGATGGTGTCTCTGATCACTATTGTTTCTGAACCTATTAATGATTATTGTCATCATGACATTATGACAATCATGAACGTATTATGATAATCGTGTTTGATTGCAATTTTATTGCAATGCGCATTGGAAAGAAAATTGAATTTCACAGTGCATCGCGCAAAACTTTTCGACAGCGGACGTTGTGCATCTGCAAACTTTCAAGATCTGTGACCAAAGATGTCTGAAACTTGGAAGGACATCTGCAACTTTGAAAGACATCTGCAACTTTGAAAGACATCTGCAACTTTGAAAGACATCTGCAAATTGATCTTGTTTGAACTTTCCTAAGTGACTCTTTTCCACGATGAATAAGAGTGTATCTTTAAAACGGACCAAATTGATTCCGGAATGCCAATGATGAGCCTCTACTCGTGTTCCCATACAACATGGGCAGCCAAAAACATCCAGACACATGCCCGAAATTAAAAAGGGAAACATCCAGAAACATGGGAGGGTCGGGACGGTCAGCGTCGCAATCGCAATGCGTTGCCACAACGGTTGGGATGGCCGAGATAAAGGCCGACTCCTGTCCAATTCAAATGAAGCGTTCGTCCGAAACTGGTGCTTTCCAACCTTGTCGCCTGTCATGACTCGTCCAACTGGTCACCAAGGCAAAACGCCGCCCGCAGTTCTGGGCGCAGGTGACTTGTCCCGCCAGGGAGAGTCATGTGCCATTCCACCCATTAAGCGATCGCAAAATCTACAGGAATCCATGGTCTACAGATTTTCCGGTAGATTTCCCCTTTAAATATAGCCGATGTTCAAAACTTGGCCTGTTTTCCATCTATGGGGGATGATTTCAGGGTGCCACGCTGCCGGGGTTGGATCCATGGATTTTTCGAATTCCTCAGTGTCTGGCCGTTGAAGAGTTGGATCCATTGATCATCTCTGACTTCGGGGAGGCCGTGCAATCTTATGTCCAACCACGAATTCGGGGGAATTCTAGGGGAAAACCCTGTTATGTATGTGGATCATGGCTTGGGGCACATTATGAAACACAATGTTTTTTGGTGACGTGTTGAGCCGCTTCGTCAGGACACGGTCCTTAGTTTCCGAGGACGAAGAGGAAAGTCTAAAGGATATGAAAGGTTTAACCAACATAGAAGCGTTTTAGCCCAAAGACAATGAATCATAGAAAATTGCAAAGGTTTTGAATTCAGAATGTGCTTTGGAAGGAATCAAAACATCTTTCAAAAAGGACATCAAAAAAGATGAAGCGATGTCTCACAAAATCAAGAACTTCACAAAAAGTTACCGCGCCGCAGCCCGTGCAAGAGTCAGTTCAAACTAACTCTAAAGAAAAACTGGAAGGAAATCAATCACAACATTTTCTGTGGTAACTAACATGTCTCAGATCAAACGCAGAACAAAAGCCGTTAAGAGGAAACCTTCAACGCAAAGAAGCTATGCAAAGGACATTCAAACAGAAAGCCTCAAACCATACCCCGGTAGAAAGCCAAAGAATGTACCAGTTCAGAAGGAAATCAACAAGTCAGAGTAGACCACAGAACATTCAAAAGGAAGTCCAAAAGCATCTTAAGAGAGGACATGTACGAACAACGTCTGAAGAAAATGTTCAAGAACCAAAAAGAATTCAGTCCCAAATTGGGGGCTCCGGGACTTGAACAAACAAAATCGAGGAGACCGAAAACAAACAGGAAACACAAAAAGAAAAAAGTTTCACCAAAGCTGCAAGAAATGCTGGAAAACAAGGAAGAAGTATTTTCAAGGAAAAAGGGACCAGGAGAGGCCAAGGAAGTCAACAGCAAGGTGGCGGAATTCCACAGTGATGACACAAGCGCAGGCTTCGAGGATTACGTGGACTTCACGATGGAGGTCATCTCGCTCATATCTTTCGTTGACACGTGCTATACTTGGACAAGGACAGAGTGAGACTTAAACGACGAAAACGAATTCAAAGAAATATTTACTCCGAAGCCCGAAGAGATTTTCCAAGGACCAAGATGAATGCTTAAGTAATTAATGATTCATTGTGGTTCATTATATTATGATTCATTGTGATCTAAAATCTCTATCTCAGTGTGTCCAGCATGTCTTGCTGAGGCAATTGCAATCTGAGTGCGCTCCTCACTGCTCAGAACCGCGACCCCAATTTGGATGATTCATTGCAAAATGATTGAATACACACTTTAGGCCGGAAAGATGGATATGTGAGCAACCTGTATATTGTATATAAGGTTTCCCATATCAGGTGCCCTATGTTTAGCTTCCTAGATGAGGCATCCTGAAAAAGAAATCCTATATGCCTACATGTAGCAACTTACATGACTTACATGAGGAAACCTAAATCAGGCATCCGGCTTTTGGTTTCTGGTTCTTATAACAGGTATCTTATATGAAGTATCCTGAATAATGTCCTACATTGGGTGTTCTATGATGTGAGGTATCCTCTTTCTAGTACTTTGGTGTTCGTATTCTATATGAGTGATCTTGCATGTGGTATCTTACTGAACTGTCCGATATGAGGCATCCTGAGAGAGACATCCTATATGAGGCGTTGTATGTGAGATATCCTATTTATGGCATCCTTCTTAAGGTGTCCTATAATTATCTCATGTGAGGTCTCCGATATGAGAACCACGAGATGAATCTTCAAGTGCCGAAGAAACGCAAGTCATCCTGTCAATGCTGGCGCAGAACCTCTGACTGGAAGCTCCTTCCAAACTAGCCATTTTGGGATTGTTACTTAGGAAGGATCTGTTGGGCCGATGAACCTTCAGAGAAAGATGTTCACAGCCGCTGTTTACGCGTTAACTATGGTTCACTAAAGATAACCCGGAATGTAAGTTTTAATATTCCATGGTACCATGGTAATACCGCGAAAAACGCATGGTCAACTAAAGGGATGTTAACTATGGTTACTGAACATTGGGTTAATTATGTTTGTTTACTGCAACTCTATAAGTTCTATTGTTCCAATGGTTATGTAGTGTTGGTTCACCAAAAAGTGTGAATCATTCGTTGTAGTTGCAGGTGGCCCGAATGATCTACTGTAGCCAAGGACGCGCTGCAGCTGGTTGAAAATTGGCTTTCCGTAAGCCACTCCTTCAAAGCAAATGAATGCCAGCGGCAGATTTTCTCATTTCCTCATGGAGAGCTCTATAGCTTTCAGCATGATTCGAAGACTATCCTTGCTTGGTATGTGTGGGATTGTAGCAGATCTCAAGCAACATCGTGCGACCTTAGCGAAGAAGCTTTCCAAAGCGAAAGTGTTCGGCATCAAGTGGAGCTTTTCAATGATGCTCTTCGTGAGAGCAGACGCAAGAGCCAAGACGAGAGACCGTTGACAGCCAATTGTTCAACAGTTGAAAGCGGGGGGTCGATCGGGCTCATTCAGGTTCCAGGGACTTCCCTGTAGACATTCATCCTCCACTTGTTATAGCACGCAGGCTTCTGTTTAGCCACACCATGTTGAGTACGTAGCAACCATCAAGAGTCTGCTGGAATACTGTCAACGACGAGTTGGCATAAGATGCAATCTTCGCACGGCAGGTTCCGATTTCGCCGGATCAATTTTCTATGAATTGTTCGATATTCTGTATGAACTGATTGGATGTTCTGCCATGTGTTGTGTACCTGGGAGTCCTGGAGCTTACAACTTGGCCATCGCTGCGCATTGCATTGTGTGAACGAAGTTAGGATGTGCAAGATGAAGTCCTATTGCATGTTGCGTTTTGAGATGTGTATGTTGGGGCGGTGGTCAGCGGTTCCACGAATGAGATTCAACCCATGACAATATCTGTCACTGTGAGCGTCTATTGGGTGTATCGCTGTGAGAGCGCCGAAGTCAACTTTTAACAAACGGTGTATGGGCTAAGAACCTGCTTCCACGTTCTTGCACTTCCCATGTATAGGTTCTGAAATTTTGCATCATGACAGCGGGGAACAATATCTAGCTTTTCCGGCTAGCGCATCCACCTTCAATATCTTCAATTTCCGACAGTTTGCCAACGTTCAGGATACCTCGAACTTGGTTGGCTTGTAAGGTGATCGAAAGTAGTGCTGATTTTGAAATGCTGAGAAAGCGTGATGGAACGATGTGGGGTATGTCTAGATGTAGCGTCGTAAAGTCATTGAGCAAAGAGATGGGAAGGGGGATGCTGCATGGGGGTATGATAGGGAACCGACACTACGATCTTCCAAGCACGTGATCGCTTGTTGGGGCCATTTTGTGGTGTCCTCCTTCAAACTTGCAAGATTTACAGTTAAACTGCCGCGGGTGTTCAAGGAATTTCTAAAACCTTTTGTTCAAGCAGCGCTTGAAACTTACAGTTTTGGGGTGTCGCTTTCTGGTCAAAGCATTCCAAGCAGGATTGCTAGGCTCTGCACCGCGTGGACGCGCTTTCAAACGCACATTTCAGCTTACGCAATTGGAGGTACAGCCTATTATTTAGCAATGGTTTGATTGCCCTACACTACAGAGCAAACTACATCAAGATTTCAAACGTGAACATCAGCGCAACAGCTCAAGACCCATTTGCAAGGCACAAGTTTGGGTGGTTAAAACCCGTTTTTCCCACTCGGAAGCTCCATGACTTGGGCAGATATTGCCAAGAAAGTCACAGCCTCAGTTTCAAGATTATTCTCCAAGTGAGTCTATGCCTTTTCAGATTATTCTCCATTCTTTGCGAGGCGCCTGTGGGTCGTCCTGTTGCCGTCAAGCAGGTTCGTGAATTTGGGCGTTGATCCCGCATTTCTCCAGAGATATCGATTATGTTTCTAATGATTTCTTGTGCTTTCCGATGATTTCTGCTCAAGATTTGAAAGTTACACCATGCCATCGCCAATGTTTCAACCTGCGACCAACGGGACCCTCTCCCTCTTCTTTTTGAGGCGCCAATCACGTGATTGACCGGATCCTCAAGACCGAGGAGGGCTCCCAATGCTGGTTCGCCATATCCTTCGGTTTTTTTCTTTCGATCACCTTTTGGTAGCGCAGGATCCAAGAAGGATCTTGCCAAACAAGAAGGCTGGCGACGTTGCGTGTGCGATTTCAAGTGATTTGAAGATGGCAACCGTTTCTCAGGCATTCAGGAGTTTGGCTCTCCAAATCCACCCCGACAAATCCACGGACCCACGCGCACCAGAGGCCCGGTACTGCGCAAAGAGGGCGGAAATGAAGTTTTACTCGTACGCCAGGCCTTCATAAAGTTGAAGTGGGCGGAAGCACAGTTCAAGACTCAGAACTTGCATATCCTTGCGTCGAGTGACACCTAATGTGCTCAGGCTGGCGGAATTTTCGGCGGAAGCTCCCAAGGTGTGTGTGAAAAAATGTTTCCAATTTTGTGTGCGTTTTGGTTTCCTCGCAGTTTCGAATGAAGTCTGCAGGCAGATGCCCAAATGCATCAGAAAAGAAGAAACAACATTCTCCGACACATTTGCTACAAGTAAAACACAACACCACCAACACCCTGGGGTACTTAATCTACCCAACCATCAATCGATCGGTCGCCTGCCTGTCTTAATCTTTGCATGGAGTCATCAAACCTGCCAACCGTATCAGTATTGGACCGATTTGGTTCACGAGCGGCCACAGCAAAGAGATACAAAAAGTACATCACGTAGGGAATCTTTTCGAGTGCAGGTACGGCAGGTACCTGTGGTTCCAGACAATGGCGGCTGGGTGAGCGTGGTTCGGAAGAAGGCGCCGCTGCAAAAACTCGGATGGTCATTTGATTTTGAAGCATCTCTGCATTGATTGGAGCGATGTTTGGCAGGCCAAGCGTCAGCAGTCCATCAACCTTCCAGGATGGATGCCCATGATTGTAGATTCAGTGTTAAGTTTGATTTATAGTTACGGACTGAAACTTAGAATGCCGCACCCCTTCCGGTCACGCTGTCCTAAAGAATGCCGCCGCGGGGGCAAAATCTTAAAAAACCCTGGTAAAATGCAATTTTCGGGTACCTGTAATTTGACCGGGTCTTTTTGTAATGAGTCGTTCGTAGGTAAATTTTGTGAGAATTTACAGCGTAATATGAGATTGAGTGCCACACATAGAATGCCTCCGGCCAAAAAGTCCCGGTCGCAGCATGTCAAACATTTGAAGCCCATATTTTCAAAATACTCGGTATACGTGGGGTTTTATGTACTTTGTGCAGCCCACATAGAATGCCGCCAAAAACATATACAAATGCCATCGTTCTTTTATGAAACACATGGTTTGAAGGATTGTATAAATTTACTATTTCATATGAATAATTGTGTATAAATCCAATCTCA